AAATATAGAACAACTGCAACATTTTCGATCAAATTGTTATTCGATGTTTTGTAATTCAATTAAAATAAGCATTCGATGTTCTTAAAATTCGTTTAAATTAACATTCGACGTTTTGAAAATTCGAACAAATAATAATTTGATGTTTTAGAAAATTATCATATAAATTATTCAATATTTGTAGATTAAATCTAATAATTTTTTGACCGTTTAAAACTTTAAAAAATTTCATACAACCGTAAATTTAATTAAATGTCATATTACTTTTAAATTTCACGCTTTTTTATACCTAAGTTTACAGAAGTAATGTCCTTAAATAAAATTTTTTTTGCTTCATTAAACGCGAAAAATAATGTAACTTCTTTTATCCTTTAAAAGAAATTAAAATGAATTAAAATTCAATTACTTTCAAATTTTGCGCTTTTTTATACCTAAGTTCACAGAAGGAATGTCCTTAAAAAAATTTTTTTTTTGCTTCATTAAACGCAAAGAATTATTTAACTTTTTTTATCTTTTAAAAGAATTAAAATTAAAATGAATTAAAATTCAAATGATTTAAAATTGAAATGAATTAAAATTAAATTTGACAAAAACATTGATTGTCCCTTAAAAGTTAATCCGTTGCCTGCTTTTAGTGAAAATTTCATGTTAGTTTCAAATCAATATTCGCAAATTCCATTTTTTTCTCTGAGGTATACAATTTTTTCACTGTTTTCTAATTAAATTATTCTTTCTGTTTTAGGTAAACGCTCTTCAGTTGCTGTTTAATATACTTATTTCTTTTTTGTGTAAAATTTTCTTTTCATTTTTTTTTGATAAATTTTGTTTCTTCTATTTTTGATTAATGTGTTTTTTTTGTCTATTTAATGTTTATTTTTTGTAATTTGATTTTTCTCCGTTTTAAATTGTGCTCCACATTAAAAACAAAGTCTCAAAAAAAGTTTTATTTTTCGAACTCAAAAAAAATTAGAATTTGTAATTATTTTAATTTAATAATACCAAAAATCTGCAAATAATCTGTAAGTATAAATTTGTAATTATTTACATCATAGATTTAAACTCAATTGAATTTTAAAGACTTTGTTTTTATTGTGTTCAATCTGAGAAAAAACATATTTTATAAAAGTTTTCAATATTTATTTTATAAACATAAATATTGAATTACTAAGACAAATATTTATTTTTATTTGCTTCAAAGAAATTATTCTTGATTGAAATAAAAACTTTTCTCTCGTTGAAGGGAGAAGTGGATTAGGCCTACGACACATTAGCCCAATTTACAAATTCAAATGCGTTAAAATTGTAAACGTGTTTTGCTATAAATTTTGTAATTGAAAGAACTGTGTGTAATGGGGAAACCATACAAAAGCGCGTCTGATGTTCAACCTCTTGGGTGACGCGGAATAGAACATAAAATTTTATATTTTTTTTTTTGAAAAATAATTACAGTAGTTTATTTTTTGCTTTTTAAAGTCTAAGTAGTACAAGTCAATGTCAGTCAGACTATTTAATTTCTTCTTTTAAAATATAAACCATAAAGGAGGAAATAATTCACTAATAATTTATTAAAAAAAAAATATATGTGATTTCTACAAATTCCAAGAATTCAGTAGTACAAGTCAATCTTGGTCAGACCGTTTTTTAATATTAATAAATACTCTTTCTCGTTCTGAGATATTGAGGCAAATGTAATGTTAGTACACACACACACATCGGGACAAATTTTTAAAATCCGTTTTTTGGACTTCGGAGGTCAAAATACGTCGAAATTTTTTATTATTTATTTAGAACATTTATACGAGCAGTGTCCATTCGTTCATAAAGTACTAAAAGATTAGGTATAATGAAAAAAAATTTATAAATATGTCAAAAAATCGCAAAAGAAAATTTTGCTAAACAATCCTTCCTCTATGCTCGAAAGACTTTCCGAAAAAGATTTTACAAAAAATTTTTGAAATTTCCGAACATTTGCTATGTATATTTCAATTCGAAAAATTTCCAACTTTCTGTCTAAGTGAATCTATAAGAAAAAAAAGATGAACTGGAAAAGCTATAAAAATAGACCCTCTTACAATGAGGAAACCTTAAGATGATTAAACTATACGACAAACCAGATGTGACAAACTTTTGAAAACAAGAAAATACTTTAAACATTTTTTATATTTTTGCCTTTAGATGAAAAATGTTTTACAGTTATAATATTAATAAATTAACTGTTACGTAAAACACTCGTCACTCCATAAACCATAAAAATAATAGATTGCCAAACGTATGAGATAATATCTCAGACGTTTGTCAATCTATTATGTTTATGGTTTATGGAGTTGGTAAATTTTTTTCCTATTGACAGAGGTATGAATGCACCTTAATCGAAAGCAGAATGTGTTAGAGAAGGATAAATATGCATTATCCTTCTCTAACTTATTCTTACAGACATTGCGATTGTTATTACAACGAATTCAGGGGTAGAAAATATCACATTTGTAAAAAAAAACATTATTACAAGGCAGGATAATAAAGATATTAAGTATCGATAAGGTCAGTACACGTGGCGGATGGAAATTAATTCCCAAACATCTCTATCGGGATTTCACCCTTCAGGAGCTGGAGAAAAATATGTATAAACGCACTTGTTGAGAGAGATACAGAGCTTTTGGACACGAGCCACTTTACCATGATTCGTGTTCTAATCAGGAATTCAATACGTGAAGGACTTACCAAATTTTCCCCTTTAGTTTATTCACAAATAACATTCGATTTTCCAGATTTTGGTTGCGGCTCATTTTCTTTCCCCTCATTAGGGCCTAAACATAACTGAGTCGACAAATGCGGGATATGGGCCTCCTAACCTCAAAATATATGTAATTGTTACACTTGTTTTACAAGCACAACAATTTTTATTTTCTAGAGAATTTTGTTCGGTTATATTCTCGTAGATTTTTTTTCTAAACCTTTGGAATGAGAAAGACCTTTGATTATGAGAGAAAATTGAATTCAAAAGAATTTCATATTTAAAAATTCCGTCCTTCATGATATCATGAAGGACGGAATTTTTAAATATTTGAAATTCTTTTGAATACTGCGGCAATTTTGCTAAAGTGAAAAATATCCGATTAATCTTTCAATATTCAACGCGGAACATGATCAAAGTACCTGTTTAATTATTAACGTTAGGTAAAGATGAAGCTGGCACGTGTGAGTGGATCAGCAACAGTGATATGTCTGACATATCGACATTCGGACGTTCAGGGAGGTGTCTAAAGGTAAAGGGCACGACGGGTACGAGGTGTCCCGTGGGCTTTAGCTGCGAGGGGAGAAAACAGGGGTTTGGGTGCGACACTTGCTCTGCACTTGTTCTCACGAATACAAGAATACTCGAGCGTTTATATACGTTTACCCTCCTTTTTCTCGAATCATACACACTTGGGAATTCGCATCGTATACACAAAAGTACCACACGCTGCCGCTATATACACTTGTAATATATAGACTCCATGGACAATTGATATTCACATAAAGATATTAAAAATTAATGACAAAAGAATTAATTTTCCACTCCAATTCGACGATATTATTTTCGCTATTATTTTCTGCTATAGTATTTTTCTCACGTACAAATTAAATGATATACATTTAGTCGTCGATTTGGGAGAGTAATAAATTAAAATTAAAAATTGCAACTCCAATAATATTAAGAAAAGTGACTGTAGCTCCATCTGTTAAGTATATGTGAGTTTTTAAGGTACTAAATTTCCTGTGAGTTCCCCTTCTATTCACTTTTTACATTGTCAATGCTTATTTTCTGTTTCGATATATTTGACCTTCGCAATGTCTTTTTTAAGAAAGGGTAGTAACGCCTAACGCACAACTGAAATTCAATTTCTCCAATTATTGTTGACGTTGCTGACATAGTTACGCAAAACTTGAAAGAAACTATCATTAATAGTGTAGTTCTTAGTCGGTTATATTTCAGAGAGAATATTACCGAGAATGTAACCGACAATTAAATTCTCCGAGAATTTAAGAGAATGTAACATAACCTCACTTTTGTCATTTACAAACTTTTGTCATTTAACAAATGACAAAATCAAAGACTAATAAATAATAACGAAATAAATTTTCTTTTAAAGATTATAAGATCTGAAAACATTATTACTGATTGGTACAGAAAAGATACATATTCAGAAAGATTATTGAACTATTACTCGAATCATCCAATACAACAGAAAATTGCAATTATTAAAAATCTTGTTGATACTGCTTTGATACTTTCTGATAAAAAAATTTCATAATAAAAAAAACAATTTTCCAATTGTACTATTGCGTCCCTGTTGTGATCTGTAATGCACGAAAACAGTCCCCTTAACTTTACCCGCGCGGAGACTGGTATACACGTTGTATTCCCCTTGCCCTTTGGTGGTCTGGTATACATATGTCCTTGATTTGTCCGGAGAATAATGCTCTTCTGCAAAGTTGATTAAATATTGGTTACCGTGTTCTCGTACCACACCCCATACCACGTGCTACTATTGCTGCTACTGCTGCTTGGCCCACAGGAATACAATGTAATATATTTCTCCATGCGCGAATAATTATTTTTCTCTCCATCAGTTATATATATATACACACACCCAAAAAACAAACTGATTACTATCCTTTTGCAGAAAAAAGAAGGAAAATAATTCTTTTTCCTTCTTTTTTGAAAAAAGATTTATGTTCTATTAAATAAGTTTTATTTTATTAAAAATTAAAATATCGACTTTTTTCGGCTGCCTAACTGAATGTTACCCCTCAAAGTAGGTAATAAATTGAAAAGCTATTATATGGGATATTGTTAGATACAAAGGAACCTAAAATTCAATTTTTCGACAGTTGACAGTAATTCCTGATTTCTAATATAGATTCTTGATTAATTATAATATTATATAATTTAAAATTAAAACAAAAGTCTTGTGTTAATTTGAACCTTTTCTAAAAATAGAGGTTTAAAAGTGCAGCGGGTAAGAGAAATAGAAAAAAAGGACCGCGCCGCAAAGTTCACATAACATTAGATGATTCTGACTTTGTAATTCAATTAAAAGAGCACGGAGGGTAGAGAGTCGAGATGTAATCAATTTAGTAGAGGGGGTCAAGTTAGAAAACGGGGGTGACTGATACTGTAACAACCGAAAATACAGGTTAAGTCTAATCAGTAATGCATTACTGATTATTATATAAAATTACATTGTTAGATAATTTGTTAATATAATCAGAGATAAAAATTATTTCATTGATAAATAATAGGGGAAATATTTATCTGCCTCAGAACATTCTTTTCGTTGTTTCCAAGTTCCTGATTGAAGTGACATCTCTAGTCTGGTGTTATGATTACAAATTACAGAAGATTTTATTTTATTTCTTGTATAACAGATAAAAAGTGAACGACATTACCAGCCCGAGATTTTTTGAAGTCCCTGTGCAATCGTATGGTAAAGGCTGCCAGTTTATTCTTATATTCTCCAATCGATTCTGGTATGTTGGAAAACTCCTTAGCACTCCTAAGGTCATATCGACGGATCTCTTACCTGAATAATGATAATTTCAGAAAATGTTTCTGTGAATTTATTTTATCAGAATTAGTACGAAAGTAATTAAACAAAGTATAAACATTATTAATAGAGATTTCAGGTGAATTAACCCCTAGATTCATGAATTTATTTTTTAAATGGGTTGATATGAATTATAGTATTGCAGTTTATTACCAACAGAACACAGCATACCCGATGACGGTACACATAAAAGTTCCTCTCAGTTTATCATCTAAGTTTATCATCACGCATTTTCACTCATGTTTATCTTGATTGAAGTACATTCTCACAGTTCTAAAAATAACCATAACTGGGTAACAAAATATAATTAAAGATGAAGAAAAAGATTTAACGAGATAAAAAAAATTATTCCCGGACATTTACCACGAAATACCGCAGCACATCTCATTATAAACCCTAAGGATTTTAGTAATATAAAATAAATTTACTTACTTTCGGCTATGATGAATTCATGTCACAAAATTAAAATTCATATACAAACAACATATATCACTATTCAAAATTTTCTTCTCTTTGTTTCGAAACAAAACGTATATATGACCCGAACAATGTCTTCCAAAGAAAACTAGTTCTCAAAGTCAGCTGCTCATTCCAGCGACTGATTATGAACTATATAATTATTTTTTTTTTAATTTTTCTATACTCATTCCGCCAGCAGAAAAAATCGAGGAATCAAATTTAGACAAAAATATTAACATCGTGACAAGAAATTTTGAAATTTATTTAAGCAAAATTTGTTTTTTGTGTATTTAAAAATTGAGACATATCAGATTAGACCATGCATCTTTACATTTAAAAGACAAAGGTAAGACTGATTTTGTATTCCATGAGAAAATTGATTTTCTTCTTCAAGTCAAGAAGATCCTCTTCCTGAAAGGGTTGAAGAAAGAATAAGTATGTATAGGACGCATTGATTTTCTCCTTTAATGGGTATATTAAATATTAAAGGTCTCTAATTATACTATGTAGTGTATTCATTTAAGAAGTTCCTAGAAACGTACAAAGAACAAAGTAGACTAGAATTAATTTTTTTTTCAATTAAAAATTTCCTAGAAACGTACAAAGTACAAAGTAGACTTGAATTAATATTACATGAATTACTTCTAGAAATTGCTAGCTTCTTAAAAACGATTGACTTTATACTGAGAATAATATTCTTAAAGGTATAACTGTAATTATCGAATAATTTATAGTAGCAGTCTGAAAAGTTTTTGTGTTATATTCATATCAGACTTTGACATGGAAGCATATAATTCTCATATAAAAATTGTTGAATACTTAACACGTACTATGGGACTCTGGCTTTCTCAATCCAAATACCCTTTTATTAATTAAAGTTATCCTAGACAGTACAACTGGGGTATAAAAGTACACAAAAATTATTTTGTTCCTTGAACTTTCATATTTTTTATTTATTTATTTGAACATTAACGGGTTTCAAATAAACCCTTTCGTACAAAAGTACATAACTGTAATCATACAGCAAAAAGAAAAAAATAAGTATATTAAGGTAAGTTATAAAAAAACGCTTGGCTAGACCATAGTATTGATGATAATGGTACAACAATTGTCGCAATGCATTTACAAATCTATTCAAAGAAGTGTCAAAGAACTCAACTGAATCGCTTACAGTGTTTGCTTCCCTACTCAACCTTATTATCATTGAATTGTTTACATAGTTTGTTTTGTGATGTTCAATTTTAAATAATAAGCGGTATCTATTGATGGTCTAGAAGGCACACTTAGATTTATCCTTGACAAAAGCGTTGGACAATTTACAAAACCATTCAATAATTTAAACATAAAAATCAAATCTGCATATAAAAATCGAGTTATGATATTAGGCATTTTTAGACGATCACGCAAATCATCATAATTATGATCTAGAAAATTGAACGGTATATTTAACTGTCTCGCCGCAAAACGAAGAAAACGATTTTGAACACGCTCCAATCTTATAAGTAAATAAGCAAAATAAGGTACCCAAATAACAGATGCATACGGCACTGACTGTTTGAAATGACGTGAATTAAAAATAAAACTTGATCTACTTATTCATATAGTTTAATATACTTCTCTTGATATTATAAGTACTCATACACTAATTTTAAAATGCTTTATAACTTTATTTAATATATTTTTACTCTTTATCAGTTGAGCTTTTCCTTCACACCCATTTTTAAGTACCTGCTTACTTTCCGCTAAGAAATCCAAAGTTTCCACATTTTGTATTAGTTCATCATCAGAATTTCAATTGTCCTTTAGATTTTCTATCCGAAAATTTTTTCTAAATAAAGGAAGAGTTTCACATAATCCAAAAACAACTGCACTAAATTGAGGTAAAATAGAAAGTTCTTTTATTTTATTTAAAAGACGTGGAGCATCAAATTTATAGTTATGTGCATCTAAAATACATTTATTTCCAAAACCTTTTATGAACAGCAGACCTATTTCATTAAACGAACTGTTAATTTTTAACTATCACTATATCTATAAACTCCACTAAGTAAAATGAAAAAGTGATTTTCTTCGTCAGGTCAAGACAATCCTTTTCCTTAAATAATAACTAATTTTCAAACAATTTATAGAAAGCTGCGTCTAAAAAGTTGAACTTTTAACATCATATCAGACATCGGAATGGATGCATTTAATTCTCATGTTAAAATAATTGAATACTTAACACGTACTATGGGACTTTGGCCTTCTCAATCGAAAATTATAAAACGACAACTTACCTTCATTAATATCTGGTTTAGTGTTCTGAGGTCTCTTCTACAAGAAGTAAATCTTTCTTTATTACATTGCCTAAACAAAAAATATTATTCGGAAATAGAAAAAAAAATTGTATGAACGTATTATTTTAAAATTATATTAAATTCAATAGTTGCTGGCTTTAAAGAATAATTGGGGTGATCTGGACTTTCTTATTACTTTACTTACACCATGTCTCATTAATCTTGTTGCCATTTGTTGTTTAACAGCCGTTACAATCAATAGAAATCAAGTGAGATAATTTCTTTAACTATTTAAAGACTAAAATATTACAGAAACAATGTATAATCGTATTTTTGCACTAAAAATAAAATTTAGAAAATTGTTAACATTATATCATTTCGATTATTATTTTTAGATAGAAATGATTTTCTCAAAAATACAGGAAAATTATATGCAATATGAATCTGATTTAGAATATGAAATTTTGCAAGAATATGGACTTATGGCAAAAAATTCATACACCATTGAAGTTAGTAAGTAATGCGAAAATTATGCCTACCTTTAATTAATTTTACTTTTTATTTAAATAAAAAAAAAGATTGTATCTATTTTTGAAAATTCAATTGATAATAAGGTGTTTCAGTCATATTTTATGTCGTTGGAATAGAATACGTTTCCTTGACCCTTATTCCATTTTTTCTGGATATAGTAAGACCGTTAAATAAATCTCGACCAAGATCACTTATTATGCTTGCTGAATATTATGTTGATTCTACCAATGATTATAATTATATAGCAATAACAATACATCAAGTGCTCGTATCACTTATATTAGCTACAGTTATTGTAACAATTGATGGAATCTTTATAGTCTTTATCTACCATGCTTGTGGTCAATTTGAAATTTTAGGGTAACTATAAAGAATTCTTTTTATCTAAAAATATAAAATTGGATTACTAATCAAAAAATAAATTTCTTTGCAGATTAAAAATAAAAAATATTGTAAAACTTGATTATAATATGTCTAGTTCTGATGGGGACAATTTTAAAAATGAAATTAAATTATTTGTCTAAAAACATGAATCAGTTATAATGTTTGTATTAATCCTATTTTTTTACAATAAAATAAATAAAAGATAACTTTTTTAATTAACTGAATTCTTTTAAGGTTTGTAAATGAAGTTAGTGAATGCTTTTCAATGCCTTACTTTTTTGGTTTGGGATTGAATATGCTAATGATAAGCTTCACAGGAGTTCAGGTAAATGTTTTTGAATTACATGTACGTATAACGTACATGTAATTTTATAGTAATTTGCATAATCAGAGTGAAACTGTAAAACTTATGATATAATTATAGATCGGGGCAAATTGTTCGTCTCTTTTGTTTAGCATTGACTAGTCAGTGTCTAATTGACCAGAGTACTCTACTTTCTCAATATATATGTGAGTACCAAAAAAAGATATTAAACCAAAAAAAATTTAGAATATCGGTATTTGCGTTTAAATTTTGAAATTATAGATATGAAAGCTACTGGTATACTTTATCTTCCGAGTCAAAAGGAATATTAAGAATCTTAATGATGATGTGTATAAAACCCGTCACTTTTACAATAGGAAAACTTTACTCTTTTTCAATGAGTATAGCTTTAGTGCTGTTCGTATCAACTATAAATTTCATTTTTATTTTTATGATGATATTCGTTAATTAATCTTTTTGCTTTTTAAGGTGATAAGAACATCCGTGTCATATTTTAAAGTCTTGTTGTCAGTGCGTGAGTAGATGTACCCTAAAAATATTCTTCTATAAAAATAATATAACTGACGATTTTTCTTAATAATTACCATAATTTATGTAATTTTTTTATTTCTTCATTTGGTTCTAACACTCTATAGAATTTATGAAAAAAAACACTTTATATAGATGTGTATATTTTTTGTGAAAATCTCACTGCAAGGAAAAGTATCTTGTTACTATTTTTCTACTTTCCATTTTCTTGGCAGATACGAAGTAACCTATTTTTAAAATATTGTATATAGTTATTTAAAATAAAAAATTGTATTAAATCTATAATAAAAAAACAATACCTATACAACGTCAAAATTTGCAGTATTGGCGACATTTCCACAATATTGGAAACTTTGGAAAAATGTTGTCATTGATGCTGTAAATCCAGATGCTGCGTAGGTATAATTAATAAAAAATGTGTCGAATTATTTAAAATCCTTGTGACTATCGTGGCAGGACAAAAATGTTCTTTTTTATGTAGGGCTGTGTATTTAAAAATTAAGACATAACTCATTAGATATAATGCCTAATATATATTTCTTTCAGAAAAAGTTGATTTTCTACGTCGAAATGGAAGCATACAATTCTCATTTCAAAATAATTAAATATTTCGCAAGTATTCTAGGGTTATGGCCCAGTCAATCGAAATTTATGAAATATTCAATGACCACTTTTGCTTGGCTTCTCCTTATGAGTCTTCTGATAGCGCAAGTAAAATTTTACGCATTTAAACTATAAAGAAGAAAATATGATTTTTCAGAAATGGAAAAACATCTTTTAATATTAAGTATTTTTAACATTCGTTGATTATGCTTCTTGAATAGACAGAAAATTGTTTTTTTGTGATAAATTTTCATTTCAATATAGTTGCTGGCTATAAGAAATGTTTATGAAAGCCTGGACCTTTTGATTATTTGGATGCCACCTTTCATTGTGAATATTTTTGTTATTTGTTACTTAACAACCGCTTGTGTCAAAAGAAATAAGGTAAGAAACTTTATTTAACCATATTTGAAAAATTACTGAATAATGGAAAAATGAATTACTATTTTTTTCTGTTTTTATCCAATACCATATATATTAATTGATTTATAAAAATATTCCACTATACTTTTTTTTAGTTAGAACTAATTTTCTCAAAAATGAAGGAGAATTATCTGCATTATGAATCGGAGTTAGAATTCGAAATTTTAGAGGAATATGGACTTCTTACAAAAAATATAAACAAAGTTGCAGTTAGTAAGTAGTGATAAATATTTAGATTTTATTGTAAATCAAAGAGCAACAATTGCATTTTTAATTGTCATCCAACAGTCTGCTTAGGGTAGGACAATACTGAAATAATTATGTATGTTTCAGTTCTATTTTATACATTCTCTACAGAATATATTTTCTTCACACTTGTTCCATGTTTTTTGGATTTAATAAGACCGTTAAATGAATCACGACCAAGAACTTTTATATTAATTGCAGAATATTTTGTTAATCCTAACGTTTTTAATAATTATTTAGCAATATGGATACATCAAATGCTCATGACTACGTTACTAACTACAGTTATATTAACTATTGATGGAATCTTCGAAGTTTTTATCTTTCATGCTTGTGGTCAATTTGAAATATTAGGGTACGTAAATAAGATGATCTAAATTAATTTAATAAATACGGGTTAAATATAAATTATTTGATTCAATTAAATATCTATTAAAATTATTATATTATTAAAATTAATTTTATTATATGTATTATAATTTATGGGTCAATTATCCATTTTATTTCATCTAAAGTGGTCGCCGATTAATTTTAAAAAATTATAATATTCTGCAGGAAGGATTTAGATGTTACTAAAGTCACAAAATAAAAAGATTTTTTCAAAATAATTTTATATCTTTTGCAAAATATGAATTTAAAATGTTAGAGATGCTAAAAACTGTCAGTTTTTTTCAAGTAGAATATAATTTAGAAAGAGTACAATTTAGTACAAAAACATAACAAAAATTATTGGCATTTGTTAAGAATGTCTAAATTTATTATTATAAATTGATATAAGCATTTAAAAATATAAAATAATAAATTAAATATTATCCCAAAGTTTATCATTAAAGTTTATACTTGAAAAAAACTGACAGTATTCAGCATCTCTAACATTTTAAATTCATATTTTACAAAAGATATAAAATTATTTTGGAAAACTCTTTTTATTTTGTGACTTTAGTTACATCTAAATCCTTCCTGCAGAATATTATAATTTTTTAAAATTAGTCGACTACAACTTTAGATGAAATAAAATGTATTGACCCTTATTATAATTTTTTTTATAATTTTAAATATTTATATTATATTTACAGATTAAAAATAAAAAACATGGTAAAATTTGATTACAACCAGTCTAATTCTTTTGAGAAAAATGTAAAAAAGGAAATTCGATTTTTTGTTCAAAAACATCAATCAGTTATAATGTTTGTATTAAAATCAAATAACGTCAAATGTAAATTTTTCAAGATCATAATTTTTTCAATAATCTTTTTAAGGTTAGTAAATGATATCAGTGATGTCTTTTCATTCATTTACTTTATTGGTTTGGGATTCAATATGATAGTGATAAGCTTCACAGGAGTTCAGGTAAACTAGAAAAGTTAAATATGTTTAAATATAATAAAGTTTTAAAATAAATTCTTTTTTAAGTTTTCAATAATTTAACAGATAATCATGAATCTTGGTAATACGACTGAAACTACTAAAATACTGTCATATAATTTTATTCTAATTTTTCGACTATTTTGTTTAACACTGCCATGTCAATGTCTAATCGATCAAAGTACTCTACTTTTTGAGAACATGTAAGTGTAACAATATTTTCTTTGAAAATATATTTGACTTGAAGTTTAATTGAACAAGCCCATTTTATTAAGTTACTAAAAAATTCACTATAGAATATCGAATAAAAAAATGTGTTCTTGGCTTAGTTATGGTCTTATTTATTAAAGTTGGATCAGAAGTGTTACTATTACAAGTTTTCAATTGATAACATTTTTTGTTATAGTTTCGTTTATTGTCGTTCGTATAGATTCATAATTAATTTTAGTTCTTGATTAGTTTGTGTTTGAAGTAGTTCGTGATCTAATGATGATGAATCGAGAATCAGTTTTATAATTTTCGTATGATTAGTCAATATGTTTGCTAATTGATTTTGATCATCAAGAACTTCATCAAATTTGATTTTTAATAGCTACTAAGTCTGCATCATTCATAATTCCAAATATAAAGGCTTTGCTATATCTCCTATTGCTATATTGGCTAAACCTCTTTTTATTCGACGTTCTCCTAACAATTTATTTAATAAATCATGTTTGTTCTTCAATCTGTCAAATCGTCCCCTTATTAATTGAATTTCGTTCTCAGAGCTACAATAAATGGAACATGCAGCTTCACTTATTTGAATTTTTTTTCAATCATAAATCTATTGTTTATATAAGTGACGTTTATTCCAATTATTAATCGATATTTTTCGTGATACTGGTGTACAGGTCCTATGTCTTCTTAAAGATTTCCTTTCAATTCTGTTATATTGATATTTTCATATGTTAGACTAATCTTCAGAATTAATCAGTAGAATTATAAACTGAGAAAACTGGATAGTCAAACTTAGAGGGTTAGGTTTTGTGTGTTAACTCTGATTCTCTGGATAGGTAACTTTTCCCCTCCGAGTTAGTCAAATTAATCATCGGAGTGTCTATTTATCCCTCCAAGATTATTACGAAAAATTTAACCTCAAATATAGTCTGTTTGTCCCTCCAGATAGTTAGTTGAATACTCCAGTTTTCTCCGTGTGCTGATCATCATTTTCATCATCTGAAAAATTGTAATATGGCATTAACTGGTTGTATTGAAATCTAATTTTTTTGTTTTTATATAATACTTCATAATTATTGTTGTCAAAAATTTGTGTAATACTTTCTGGTCCTAATCAACTTCTTGGTCTTCGCGTGTCATTCAACAGGGATTCCCAGTTCAATTAAAAATGGTCACTAGTAAAAAAAAGTAGCTTATAATTGAAAATTGAACAATTGTAATGAAGTAAATAATTTGAAAATTTTAGATATGAATGCTACTGGTATAATTTATCTCCGCAGTCAAATAAATTGCTGGGAATCTTAATGCTGATGTGTATGAAACCCGTCACTTTTACAGCAGGAAAATTGTACACTTTTTCAATGAATAGCTTTAGTAATGTTGGTATCGTAACAATTTCTTTTTTTATTTCTTAAAATGTATAGACAAATTCTTAAATTATTTTTTTCTTTTCTTATAGGTGGTAAGAACGTCCGTATCATATTTTATGGTCTTGTTGTCACTACGTGAATAATTGCACTTGTATTACTCTTTTTCTTGGTGAAATTTCCACGAATGATGCAGACAACTGCATCTCAGTTTACAACGTTTATCTTTCGTTTACTGTCAGTTATTACAAAGTTACCTATTTTTGTAGTGATAGTTACTTAAAATGAAAAAATGTATTTAATCATCGATAATAAAAGAGAAATCCATCTATATTAATAATCGTTGTATTACGGTAATCACTTCGCAGTTTGAAGTTAGTTGTTGTTTGCTTTTTTGTTTCCTAACTTTTAAACTAAGTTTTCTTTTCAAATATTTTCAAATTTAAAATTAATTTATTAAAAATCATTGAATTCTTGCAAAGAATTTTATCAAAAAATTTGAGAATGATTATTCTCAAATTTTTGTGAAGAATTTCTTTGAATTTCTTGAAAATAATGTAGTTTCTTGAATAATTTTAATTGAAATTTTTTAAAAATAATTGAATTAAACAAAGAATTTTTTAAACATTTAAAATAATCGTGTCTGTTAATAATTATAATGAGATATTTGATTTTTGAAGTTTATTAAAATTGTTTTGAAAATAATTGAAATCCTCCGAAGAAGTTTATTATTTATAAAAAAAATAATTTAATTTTTGTGATGAATTTTTCTTTCGAAAGGCATTCTTGACAAGATTTTGTTTCAAATTTTTAGAAATAATTTAAATCCTTCGCGAAGAATTTTATTAATGAAAATAATTCAAATCTTCCAAAGAATTTGATTTTTTATAAAGATAATTTAATTCTTAAAAAAGAATTTTATTAAAATTTTCAAAAATAATTGAAATTTTCAAAAGAATTTTTTTTTATGAAGATACTTGATTTTTTAGGAAAAATTTTATTAAAGTTTTTGAAAATAATTGAAATCTTCAAAAAAATTTTACTTTTAAAAGATAATTGAATTTTTCGGAAAAATTTTATTAAAAATTTTGAAAATAATTAAAATCCTTTGAAAAATTTTATTATTTATGAAAATAATTGAAATCTTGCAAAGATTTTTATTAAAATATCCTTAAAATAATATAGTTTTCTATAAAAATATAATATAATTATAAAAAAATATAATTTAATTCTTTCGAAGAATTATATTAAAAGTTGTGTCAACCCAACGAAAAATGTAACCATATCGTTTCGAAACTTAAAAAGCTTGTGTTAAAATCTGAGACTGATCGGTTCAGTCGTTTTCGAGAAATTTTGCTCACCGACTTTAAAAACAGTTTTGAGAAAAACGCGTCCATAAAAAGGGTTTTAAAACCACTTTACTCATAGTAAACATTTTTTTTTTAACTTACATTGAATCGTCTATTTCAGGTCCATATAAGAAATCTTCAGCATCTTCAGCACCTTCTAGAACTTCTTTTTGGTCTTGTTATCAAATTTTCGTAATATAAAGTAAATTTACTTACTTTTGGCTATGATGAATCCTGTCACAAAATTAAAATTTACTACAAAAACGGTACTGCCTGGTTTAAATGACGTGAAATTGGTAAACAATCATTTTCAAACGAGTTTTTCTCTGCACACAAGCACTTTTTGCAAAATCTGAATCCGAACCAATGCGACACAAATCTTCTTAATTACCTAAATCCAAAATATTTTTTTAATCCATGCAGAAACGCGGTTGCAAAATGGTAAATGCAAAAGCAACAAAAGTAATGTAATGACAGGCGGCAAGACGTTTGTTACAACCATTTGCCATTAGAGGGCAGAAGCATGCAGGGAGCGTAAAGGCTCAGCTGTTAAAATGATTCGCATTACATTACTCCGGCCTTTCCCATTTTGCAACCGCGTTTCTTCAAGGATTAAAAAAATATTTTGGATTTAGGTAATTAAGAAGATTTGTGTCAATGGTTCGGATTCAGATTTTGCAAAAAGTGCTTGTGTGCAGAGAAAAACTCGTTCAAAAATGATTGTTTACCAATTTCACGTCATTTAAACCAGGCAGTGCCGTATTTTTTGGGTGATGATAGCGGTTTGTCGAATGTAATCTAGAAATTTCAGAGACCGTCGAACACCGTTAACTTTTAAGCACAAATGAAAGAACAAAATTTCAGGATAACGGGTATTTTTCACTACTTTGCAATAATTGTCCAAATTGGGAGAAAAATCCTTTTGAAATTATGTTTACGTTCAAGCAGCCATTTAGTTATTTAGTAAAACCTTAAAACTAAAATAATAATGTCTCATCTGAAAATAGTTGCGCGCGCATCGTGTGCGTTTTTTGTTCGTCGATCAGTCGATACGAAGTAAAAAATAGGCCTAGTAAAAAAGAGAAAGTTATACTTAAGCGAAGAAAGATATATTAACCAGCAGTAAAAGTGAATGTTTAGGAAAAGAAATAAATTTACACATTGGCATTGTTCTTATTTATTAATAGTGAACCGACTTTTTTATTTTTAAAGAAAGGTAATAAAGATATTATGTAGATAGATTTTAATTAATAGAATGAAAAAGTAAGTGGCCAATTGTGGTGGGTGCTCCGCCAATTATGGCAACTTTGTGAAAAATACAATAATTTACTATTTTAGAATATAATATATAGTTATTTAAAAAAGTAATTTTCGATCTTACCTCGATATAATATTGTACTTAGGTACTTAAAAAAGAACCGCTTATAGCGTTATGACGCGCAACATAACCTCTAAATACACGCTATTTTCGTCGCTATAATTAGTGCGATGAAATTGGCTCAATCGCGCTGTAATTGACGATTTTAATCTCACTTTTTATTGCTTTAATTTGTGTAAATAATAATTAATTCTTACTTCTTTTATTATAATCGTCAAAGTTTCTATTTCATAAAGCGTCTATGCTAATAAGCAGAAATCTCGCAACCTGGAAATATCAGTGAATTTTATAAACCTTGAAAAAACCCGGAAAAGTCAGGGAATTTTGATAGAAATCCTGGAAAATTTTTGTTTTTCTTAATTGTGTTTATTCTTGAAATTTAATTTTACTTCAATATTTAAAAATTAATTCAATTTTAAAAGAGTTGCGCTTACAATATTTTCATAAATAAATAAACTTCAAAAGATTTTAATTTGAAATTTTGTAAAATTTCAATTTTCAATTTTAAAAAACATAGATTTTTAACAAATTTTAATTTACTAAAATTCTTCTAAAATTAGTTAAATTTTTTAATATATATTAAATTGATTATTAAAAATAATGAATTTATATGTAGAAGAATTTTAGTTAAAAACTAAATTAAAAACAAATTTAAATTTGAAGCATCAATTACAAAATTATTGCAGAAATTCAATTATTTTCAAAAAGAGTAAAATTCTTCTCAAAATTTCAATTATTTTCTAAAATTTTAATAAAATTCTTGGCAAAATTATAATTATTTTTGCAAAAAATTTTCTCAATTCAATGATTTTTAATATCCACTAATTAAAAAAAAACCCCAAAAAAATTCAATTATAGTTAAAAAAATGTTTAATAAAATTTTAATTATTTTTATAAATTTAATAAAATTTTTTTTCCGAAATTCAATTATTTTCAAAAATTTTAATAAAATTCTTGGCAAAATTTCAATTATTTTTAATACAAATTTCTCGAAAAATGAAATTATTCTTAAAAATTTTATTAAAATTTCTCAAGAGAATTCAATTATTTAAAAATTTGATGATACAATTCTTTATGAAAATTCAATTTTAAGAAACATTCAATATAATAAAATATTTATTTTTGTATTTAAATAATTAAATTCTCGTAGAATTTTCTAATAAATATTGATTTAAAAATGAATTTCAGTTTAAATTTTAGATTATAATTGAATATTGAAAGCGTGAATTTTTTAGAAATAATTGAATTTTCAAAAAGTTTCAAATTCAAATCTTGGAAAATTTTCAATAATCGAATTCTTTCGAGAAAATGTAATTAAAATTGTATTGAAAATAATTAAATTCTTAGCAAGATTTTTATTAAAATTCTTTAAAATAATTGAATTTTTTCCTAGAAATTTAATTAAAATTGTATTGGAAATAATTGGATTTATGAGAAGAATTTTATTATTTACAAAAATAATTGAATTCTTGCCAAGCATTTTAGAATTTATAAAAATAATTGAATTATTTCGAAGAATTTTATCAGAATTATTTAAAATAATTGAATTTTTATTAAAATTCTTGAAAATAATTGAATTTAAATAACATTTTTAACCATAATTGTATTATTTCGAGAAATTTTATTAAAATTGTATTAAAAATAATTGAATTCCTCCAAAACATTTTCTTATTTATGAAAATATTTCAATCTTGCGAAGAATTTTCTTATTTATGAAAATAATTAAATTCCTGCCGAGGATTTTACAATCCATAAAAATAATTGAATTGTTTCGAAGAATTTTATTTTAATTTATGAAAATAATTGAATTTTTTAAAGGAATTTTATTACAAATTTTGAAAATAATTGAATTTCTTCGAAGAATTTTATCAGAATTGTCGAGAAAATAATTGGATTTTTATTAAAACACTTGAAAATAATTGAATTTAAATAATATTTTTAACAATAATTGTATTCATTCGAGAAATTTGATTAAAATTGTATTGAAAATAATTGAATTACTCTAAAAAAATATTATTATTTATGAGAATAATAAAATTATTGCAAAAAATTTTTAAAAGTTCAAAAAAATTTTTTTTTAATTTTTTTAAATTTTTGAATAATAATAAACAAGAATATTTAATATTATATACTTAATAAGTGAATTCTTTAAACTTTAAATCTGTAACCGTTTAAAAATTGATTTTTATTCTTGAAAATATAAAATTTTTTAAATTTCAAAATAATAGATGAAATACCGCATTTCGCGCGTATCATTCGCTAGTAAATTAATAAAGAAATAAAAAATATTAAAAGTGAATTTAGAATAGAATAGAAAAATTATTTTCGAATTCTTAATATCTGCAAACTTAATAATACTACTTTTTTTTATAATTTCAGATCGGCGTTGAATCGATAAAATGGTAGAATACTTTTGTCCAAACGAATGTATCGTTTGCAAAAAGAGAACAACCCTAAAGAGATGCAGTCGTTGTCGAATGATATCGTATTGCGGCGAAGAACATCAAAAAAATCACTGGCAGCTACACAAGGAAATTTGTAAAGTAATTTCCAATTTAACAAAAGAGAAGAAACTCTCCCATCTTTATGAAGATTTACGAGATTCCACCTTATCAACATGGGTAGATTCGAGAAAAACAATGATTTGTAAAGTATTTACCCTGCTGGGTCGCCAACCGAAAAATTGTGAATTTGAAATGTTACAATATCCTCGAGCCTGTTTCGTGTGTTATGACTCTAAACAGGAGAATTTAACAAATTGCGCAAACTGTCCCCTGGTGTCTTTTTGCCAGAAGCATTTAGATACATCTCTTCACGACGAAACATGTGCGGAATTAATGTTATGCCCAACTTTGGAGTTAGGAGATTCTCATCTTGGAGATGTGTTGAAAATTATGAACCCATCTATATTCGATTTATTATCAACGATGCCGAAGTTTAAAAAATTGCCAACTTCAACGGAGGAATATTTGAATCTACTCTTGAAAGCTGATATCAAATTGACTTTAAAAGTCTACTCCTCGTTTCTCGTTGTCCATCCATTGACAGTTTTCGGCGTTCTTCAAAAATTAAACAAAACTTCTTTATCAAAACTGACGATTTACATTCAAATGCATGAGGATTCTGACACATCTAATCAATCATTTGAAAATTTGTTTCACTTGCTGCCGAATTTAAAAGAATTGAAGATAGTAACTAACTTTGTTATTGAAGAACTAGCTTCTGGATTGTTGTATCTTTGTCCAAAGTGCAAATTAAGTAAACGAAAAATAACATTTCAGATTTACAACGAACGAGATTTCAATGAGTCGATCGATCTTATTGTTATTTTGAATTTAACTCCACCTGATAATTCGGGATCGCAATACAAAATGTTTCGTCACGTTCGTCATTTTTGTAGAAAATTTACTTGTCCCGTGGTTTTAACGGCAAATACAGAATTGGGAATTAGACAAGTAAGGAATTATTTCCAATCAGTTTGTCACAAGCACACGATTTTATACGATGGTCCGAATAATTTCTCGTCATTGTTCTTTGGTAGAAATTGGGAAGACTGGAAAGTGATAAAAAAATCACAATTTATGATAATCGCGGAATCAACAAAAACTTATACTGAGGATAATAACGACATTTATGAAAAACAATTATACGAAAGTATGCAACTAGAAGAGAAAGATAAACTACGCAAAAATTATCTTCGACTTCAGGAGAAAATTGATCGTTTGATGAATAATGTTTCCGAATTAAGTTTAAAATAAACATTAATAATTACTTTTTAGATAATAATATTATCTATACTAAATGTTTGATGTTACAAAATCAGTCTTAGACTGCATTATGCGAATATAATTTGCAAAATAAATTTAATGTAATTTATTATAATTCAACATTACATATTAAATTTATAAATTCTTTCAAAGTCTGAACTAGTGATTGTGTCATTTTAAAGTAAGAATTTTAATTTAGGAAAAATTATAGAATTATAAAGATAATAATTGTCCTCTCCCCTGAAAGGTTGAATCCAGACTGAGACAGCGTTCCTTTTCTCAAACCGAATTGATTTTATCCTTTAGGTGGTCACTATCTATATTGAAGGTCTTTTATAATTCACACTCATCTATAATAGTTTCTCGATAAAAATAATTTTGTATGTGACAAAAATAATTATCTTAAAGAACAATACCAGTCCGTGGAATTGAAAAATTAAATATTTAAAAATATTGCTTCAGAAACTATTAAGAATTTCTCCCTGTAAAGTGAAACAGTGATTTTACCCTTAGAATAATTATCTTACAGGTGACTGTATATTTTATATTTAGGGATGAATAGACCTGTCTGTTAGGGTATCATTTCATTAGAAGCCGTCGATATGGAAGCATTCAATTCTCATATAGAAATTTTTAAATTTTTTTCATCCTCAATGGGGTTGTGGCCTTATCAATCAAAGATGTCACAAAAATTAATGTTCATTGTTGTTTGGTTAACTCTTTTTAGTTTTTTAATACCACAAGTAAATCAATTATTTTAAAATATATTTTTCTTGTTTTACTTTTTGATAATAGACGAATTTCGATCTTTTTTCTAAACCCTGATGCTCAATTAGCATAGGCAATTAATATCAATCTCTAGACGTAAACGAATGTAATTTTATGTTTATTAGTTGGTGGCCTTAAAGACCAATTGGGGTAATTTAGATATTTTGATACCATGGGTACCACCCTACTTTGTTAATCTCGTTAGTATAATTTGTTACGCAGCTGCTTGTCTCAATAGAAATAAGGTACGAATCATTAATAAATATTTGCTTCTAGAAAAAATTGTCGGATCTTCATTTTTGTTTATTCACATCTTGCTTTCTTCCAGATAGAATTAATTTTATCGAAAATGAAAAATGATTGGCTTATTTGTGAATCAACTTCAGAATACGAAATTTTGATTGAAAACAGTCTTATGGCTAAAAATTTAATCAAGATACAACTCGGTAAATATGAGTTCAATTAAAAGATTAGGGTTCGTTTTAAAAATTTTTAATTTAGAACCTAAAATATACGAAAAGAAGGCTTTTTTTTATTATTGCATACTGTGTAATTATAATATATTATAAGAAAACGTTTTTGCAATAAGATATTTCAAACATATTTCAGTTGTAATTTATACAGCACTTGTGGAGTTCATTACGGTGCCTCTTGTTCCATTATTCTTGGATACCATAAAACCTTTAAATGAATCCCGTCTAAGAAGATTGATTATGGTCGCTGATTATTTAGTAGATACGGATGAGAATTTTAATTATATAGCAATAACGATACACGAGTGGCATGTAGCTTTGGTTGAAGTTACAGTTATTGTAACAGTTGATGGAATTTTTATAGTTTTCATCTACCATGCTTGTGGCCAAATACAAATACTAGGGTAAAGAAAAGAGTTTAAAAAAAAATTTCCCTTATATGCATGAATGTAAACTGATATTTTAACGCATTTTAAATTATCTCCGATTTGCAGGCACAAAATGAAAAATCTTGTTAAAATAGACTATATTTCTGATGCAAGGAGTACACAAAAAGAAATTAAGTTCTGCATTGAAAGGCATAAATCAGTGATAATGTTCGTAAACGAAATTAATGATTGCTTCTCGATTACTTATTTTTTGGGCTTGGGATTGAATATGATAATGATAAGTTTCACAGGAGTTCAGGTAATGAAACAACAGCTCTTTTAATTCTTATGTTTTAAAATTTATTAAAGATATTACAATTATCTTCAGTTGCTCATGAAATTGGACAATCTCGGTGAGACTTTTGCAATTCTATCCTTTAATATAGGTCAAATATTTCGTCTATTCTGCTTAACTTTACCAAGTCAACGTTTAATAGATCAGAGTAATCAACTCACACAGAATATGTAATTTTGAAAATATTTTTATCCTCCAAAATAAAACTACTATTTCCAAGATACTAGTAAAGATCCTTTCATCTTTTATCTTTTCAGTTATGACAGTTACTGGTATACCCTACCTTCGGATTCGAGAAATCTGTTGAAAACAGTAATGCTGAAATGTATAAAACCCAACACTTTTACAGCGGGAAAATTGTACTGTTTTTCAATGAGTAATTTCGGTTCTGTAAATATTCTTTTTATCATTATCTCCGTCAGTGTTGAATTATAATTTGAATAATTTTCTTTTTTATTTTCAAAGGTGATAAAAACATCATTGTCTTATTTTACAGTACTGGTATCTCTTCGTGAGTAAAATTCAGGTGGTAAGAAATAATTTACTGTTAACTTTGATTGAATAAATTTTTCATCATTTTCTACGTAAGTGAACTTAATTTATTTTAGTTTTATACGTATTTTATAATTGACAAGACGTTCTAGGGGTACCTTATTGTTAATATATTTTAATTTTAGTCATAGTCACTTATTGACATCCCTAGAACGTGGCGCGATATGATTCACCACAAAAAAATTATAAATAATTCTAGAATATAACTTTATTAAGCAAGTAAGATATAAGTTAAAATTGTAAAAATTGCGATAATTCGTTTTTGTATTCTCTATTTTATATTCTGAAATGTGATAAAAATTTTGTATTACTTGGCATCAATATAGTATAGTCGCCATTGGCTAAAAGTATCGGCGATAACGCTTGCTATTGGTTCATTGTCGAGAGTCAAGTACTTATATATATATATATATATATATATATATATATATATATATATATATATATATATATATATATATATATATTTTGAATTGAAATAAGGAATAGTTTTAGAATGCTAATTTAAAGTAAACAAAACATTTGAATAGTTTAATTAAAATGAAAAACGTCTTTGTTTTTGATAAATTGAAATCCTCTGAAATATCATCTAATGATAATGTATATGAAATATATGTTTCAATTGAAAACACCATATTCAAGGATAAAAACGTATCGCGAAAAAAATATTGAAAAGAGGATTACTTATTGAAAATGATAGTGGTTAAAAAAAATGTAGTGACTATGTTAATTCAAATCACCAGTCTCTTAAGAAATTTAGTGACATAGCTTCTGTTCATATTGATAATGATAGTTTTAATACAAATCATAAAATTCCTTCAACATCTGCTCATTTTAAAGAAAAGCTTATAGTTTCTAAAACAGATATGCTAAGTGAAAATCATGTTTGTGCATATGGAGAATTGTTGAGAAGAGAATCAAGTTCAACTTTTAATATGCAAAGCATTTTGTATTTATATACGCTTCAGTTTATTATCCCGATTAAACCTAATCAAAAGCATATTCAAATATTTTTTAGTGGTCCTTACGATTATGGTCATTGGATTTGCATTTATTATGATGGAATAAGAATTTATATTTATGATAGTCTTAATAAAGGATGTTTAATAAATAAGGACCAAAAAAATTATTTAAATGAATTATATCCTTTTAAACCACCAGTTACTTTGGAACTGTCCATCAACAATCGGTAGGTAGTCTTGATTGTGAAGTATTTGCAATAGCATTTGATTTGATTCCGATCAGTTATATGTTCTTTAAACTAAACGACGATATGTCTTGTTTTTCAAATCAAAAACGAGGTATCATGTTTTTCAACGCAAATCCGAGGTATCATGATTTTACACCCAGCAAGCAATTTACCCTTTCAAGGACATGACCCTCAATAGAGTACTGATATGGAACAATTGACTTCCCTCTCACAAATGTCATTACTTTGCATTTACCAATGTTCAATTTTAATTTATTATTTTTACACCAATTACAAAAATTTTCCACATTATCTTGCAAAACTTGACATGACTCAACATTAGAAATTGGAAGGTAAAGTTTAACATCATCAGCATAAAGAAGATGGTAGAAAATTAAGAAAAGATAGACATATCCTAGCCTATACTTGCAATGAGATAAAAGTTAGGGAATGAGTCAATCTTCATTTTAGTTCCAACCGGAACTTAATATCATGCATACATGAAAATTTATGGTCATTTGAATCCAAAACGTGTTAACATGTTAAATCAGAACTCTATACAGTTGGTATACAACAAGTGAATCCGGAATAAGTCCGAAACAGTCAAAAATTATTCCGGACAATTGTTAGTGAATATTAATAAAAAATAATTATACAAGTTATACATAATAATTATTATTACTTAATGGTACCATTCAACATATTTTTTTATGTACCTATAGCAATTTTATTTCCATTAACTTAAAATTTCTAACGCTTGAGGATTTGACATAATTTTGTGATTTATTTGTTCTGATTTTGTAATAATTTTAATATTTGAAAATTAATAATTGTTAAAAAATATTTCATTGTTAAATACAGTGGTCTTATGATGGTGTCAAACTTAGATACCGAAACGTTGCACAACTAATGGAATAGTGTTTCATTTATTACTCTTCCAATGATAATCGATTAAAAAATAATAAATATAACTCTTAACTTCTGTATTATACTATCAAAATAAGAAATAATATTTATTAAAAGAAATATTAGAATAAAATTTACCAAGTATATAAATTATGTTAATATAAATTTTGATGTATGAAATATTAAAAAAAATTTATTCTTGACTCTTTTTTTTTTTACTTGTATCGTTTTAAAGCAATTTACTGCCTTGAAAGAATAAATCCATACTGAACGAGTGTTCCCTAGAAAAACAAATTGATCCTATCCTTTCGATGTTTGGTATATTGAAGCTCCTTTATAATTTACATTCAATTTAATAGTTTCTGGATAGAAGATAAATATTTTCTCGATAGTAAAAAGAATTATTCGTGTATACAATAATTATCTTAAAGATCAATTCAGAACACGGTAGTGAAAATAAATATTTAAAAATGTTTCATCAGGAACACTTCCTTATGTAATGTGAAACGGTGTTTGTTTTCATCCTCTGAGTAATTATCTTATGGATTGCAATAAATAAATAATCGCTATTGTATATGTAGAACTTAGGTTAGGGTATCATTTTATTTAATGGACGTCGATATGGAAGCTTCATTCAATTCTCATATGAAAATCTGTAGATTCTTGTCAAACTCAATAGGATTGTGGTCTCATCAATCTAAATTGACACAAAAGTTAATTTTCATTTATGTTTGGTTTTCACTTACCAATTCTTTAATACCACAAGTAAATTTATGATTAATATATTTCTTTTGGAGGTATATTTAAAATTTTTACTTAATTTTTAATATTGATCATTTCATGTCCATTAGATTCTGATCTTAAAGAGCAATATGGGTGATGTAGATAATATAGTATCATGGCTTTCAAACTTATTTGGTAATCTCGTTGGTTTAAGTTCTTACGCAAATGCTTGCATCAACAGAAAGAAGGTACGAATTACGAATATTTATTTAATATAATATTAAATAGAAATTCAATATTTGCATTTAGAACTTAGAAATATTATTAATTCTTCGGATTTTATTATATTATCAACATCATGACACATTGTTTCAGATAAAATTAATTATCTCGAAAATAAAAAATGATTGGCTAAATTGTGAATCAACTTCCGAATACGAAATAATATTGGAAAATATATTTCTGGCTAACAATTTAATCAAGGCACAACTATGTAAGTATTTTTTAAATTTAAAATAGAATTTAGAACCATTTTTAGAAAGACAACAAATTGAAAATATTGTTGCACTGTTTTTTTACTTTGTGTAATATAAAAATTATAGGATACAAAACGTATTTCAGTTTTGTATTCTGCAGCAACGTTACATTTCATATCAGAGCCAATTATTCCATTATTTTTGGACATAATAATACCTTTAGATGAATCTCGTCCAAGGAAGTTAATTGCTGAAGCAAATTATTTTTTAGATCCGGATAATACTTTTAATTTCATAGTAATATCAATAAACGAGATTCAAGTAACTGTTGTTACAGTTATAGTAATGACAACTGTTGACACAATTTTTATATTTTCTGCGTATCATGCTTGCGCCCAATTGCAAACAATAGGGTAAAAGAGTAGAAAAATACATTCTTATCAACATGAATCTAAGCTGATATTTTAATATTAAAATTCTTTCTGATTTGTAGGTACAGATTTAAGAATCTTGTAAATGCAGATTACAATGTGGCTTTTTCTGATAAAAGAGATACGCAAAAAGAAATTAAGTTCTGCATTAAAAGGCATAAATCAGTTATAATGTTTGTATTCAAGTTTCAATATTAGCTAATTCAATTTTAATTTAAAAAATTCCTCGACATATTTGATTATAGAAACTTTTTTTTTAAGGTTTGTGAAAGACTTTAATGACTGCTTTTCAATTCCTCTTTTTTTTAACATGGGATTGACTATGTTAATGATAACTTTCGCAGGAGTTAAGGTAAGGAAACATATACAGAGTTCAGTCACACTATCTCATTTGGCAATTCACTGGATTCATTATTGTTCTGTGAAATCTGGTGAAAAATTTATTACCTTTCTAGTAACTTCCTAATTATAACTACCTATAAATATTTTTAACAAGTTACAAGAAAATTATTAATTTAGAGATGCGTAGAAAATATCTAAAGTCTGCTACAGGACCAAAAGAAGTTCATTGCAAACTTTAAAAATCTTTTAAATTTTCTAAAAATTTAAGAGTATATTCAAAATATTTTTAGTTTGTCACGAAATTGGACAATTTAGGAGAAGCTTTCACAATAATGTCCTATACTATAGGTCAAATATGTCGACTATTCTGTTTAACATTACCAAGTCAGCGTTTGATAGATCAGAGTAATGAACTTTTTCAGAATATGTAAGTGTGAAAATATTTTTAATAACTTATTCCAAAATAAAGATTAGTTCTACTATAACCACTTTTATCTTTTCAGTTATGACAGTTACTGGTATACCCTAACTTCAGATTCGAAAAATTTGGTAAAAACAGTAATGCTGAGATGTTTAATACCTAACAGTTTTACTGCGGGAAAATTGTACTGTTTTTCAATGAGTAATTTCGTTACTGTTAGTATTAATTTCAACACTAGGTGTACAAATTTAAACTTTCCTTCTGCAAATAAACGCTAAGTTCTATCATTTATTTGCAAAACCCATGTAGAGCAGTATTATGTTTTTATAATAAGTGTTATCACTGTTTATAATGTAATTAATTCCCTTTATCATTTTTAAGGTGGTAAAAACATCTTTGTCGTATATAACAGTGTTACTATCGATTCGTTAGTAGAGATAAAATTAATGTCCACGACATTGATCAACGAAAACGGAAATTCTTTTTTCTAGGTATCATTTATGATCCTTACTCTAAAGAAAATTGGGGTCCACTTCAGGAATTCTTATCAATATTACGCTTTTTTCACCTTTATTATTCACTTGGCATGTCACTATCGAACTGTACAGCGAAGCTGTACTAATAATTAATTTAATTAATTTACTGTAATAATTATTTTAATTATTTTCCTCTTATTGTAGGAATTTCCATATTTTTTTAATGTATAGGTACATTTATCCGTTTCTTAATAATTGTTAAAAAAATATTTCATTGTTTAATAAAGTGATCTTATGATGGTGTCAAACCTAAAGACCGAAATGTTGCACAACTAATGGAATAGTGTTTCATTTATTATACCCTTCCGATAATCGATTAAAAGAATATTAATAAATATAGCTATATTAAATGTTGTATGATACTATCAAAATAAGAAAAAAATATTTATAAGAAGAAATATTAGAATAAAATTTACCAAAACATAAAAATTATGGTAATAAGAATTTTTATGCAGGAAATATTTAAAAAATGTATTCTTGACGCTTCTTTGTACTTCTACGATTTGTGAAATTTTGATATTGTATTTATATTCTTTTAAACTACCAGTAGTTTTTGCAACTGTCCATCAACAACCGGTAGGTAGTCTTGATTGTGGAGTATTTGTAATAGCATTTTCAATAGCATTTGCAATATCTTTATACTTTAATTACGATGCCGAATACGCTTAATTATGTTCATGATGAAATGAAACAGTGCCTTACATTAAAGTTTACAAATAATTGTTTAATACCTTTTCCAGCAAAGCCAACTACTAAGATAAGATATTTCATTGTTGAGAGTGTGATTGGGAAAGTCTTTCAATCAATTATCGAGCTACGGAACTTTAGTATGGAAGATTGAAGACTAAAAAAAGTATCGTGAAATGAAAAAATTAGAACGAGATTTAGTTATTAAAACAGTAGATAGCAATAATTATAACTTACAGCCCAATATACTTTCCATATCTGTTGAAAAGTCATCTGTTAATAGTTTTAGAAAAATATACATATATTAAACAAAACCATATGCAGGACTTAAAAAATATTGTAGAAACAAAATTGTTCCCCATTGTTCATCAGTGCTTTTATTTTAATTGTCACGTTTATTGGATTCTGTAAAAGTTTACATAGAAAATAATTAGTAAACCATGGAGCAAGAAAAGTAAAAAGAAATCAGTTATTTTTACATATTTCATAGTGGTCCAAGAATGAAATGAATTGAAACATTTGTTCTAGTAACATTTATAGAAAAAATTGATTTCCCTCGAAAATATAAGCGATAATCATTGTCCTCTTCCCTGAAAGGTTGAATCAAGACTAAGACAACTTTCCTTTTGTCAAACCGAATTGATTTTATCCTTTAGGTGGTCACTACCTATATTGAAGGTCTTTTATAATTCACACTCATCTATAATAGTTTCTCGATAAAAATAATTTTATTGTATGTGACAAAAATAATTATCTTAAAGAACAATACCAGTCCGTGGAATTGAAAAATTAAATATTTAAAAATATTGCTTCAGAAACTATTAAGAATTTCTCCCTGTAAAGTGAAACAGTGATTTTACCCTTAGAATAATTATCTTACAGGTGACTGTATATTTTATATTTAGGGATGAATAGACCTGTCTGTTAGGGTATCATTTCATTAGAAGCCGTCGATATGGAAGCATTCAATTCTCATATAGAAATTTTTAAATTTTTTTCATCCTCAATGGGGTTGTGGCCTTATCAATCAAAGATGTCACAAAAATTAATGTTCATTGTTGTTTGGTTAACTCTTTTTAGTTTTTTAATACCACAAGTAAATGAATTATTTTAAAATATATTTTTCTTGTTTTACTTTTTGATAATAGACGAATTTCGATCTTTTTTCTAAACCCTGATGCTCAATTAGCATATAGGTAATTAATAGCAATTTCTAGACGTAAACGAATGTAATTTTATGTTTATTAGTTGGTGGCCTTAAAGACCAATTGGGGTAATTTAGATATTTTGATATCATGGGTACCACCCTACTTTGTTAATCTCGTTAGTATAATTTGTTACGCAGCTGCTTGTCTCAATAGAAATAAGGTACGAATCATTAATTTAATATTTGCTTCTAGAAAAAATTGTCGGATCTTTATTTTTGTTTATTCAGAACTTGCTTTTTTCCAGATAGAATTAATTTTATCGAAAATGAAAAATGATTGGCTTATTTGTGAATCAACTTCAGAATTCGAAATTTTGCTTGAAAACAGTTTTATGGCTAAAAATTTAATCAAGATACAACTCGGTAAATATGAGTTCAATTAAAAGATTAGGGTTCGTTTTAAAAATTTTTAATTTAGAACCTTAAATATACGAAAAGAAGGCTTTTTTTATTATTGCATACTGTGTAATTATAATATATTATAAGAAAACGTTTTTGCAATAAGATATTTCAAAAATATTTCAGTTGTAATTTATACAGCAATGGTGGAGTTCATTACGGTGCCTCTTGTTCCATTATTTTTGGATACCATAAAACCTTTAAATGAATCCCGTCTAAGAAGATTAATTATGGTCGCTGATTATTTAGTAGATACGGATGAGAATTTTAATTATATAGCAATAGCAATACACCAATGGCACGTAACTTTAATTATAATCACAATTATTGTAACTGTTGACGGAATTTTTATAGTTTTCATCTACCATGCTTGTGGACAAATACAAATACTAGGGTAAAGAAAAGAGTTAAAAAAAAATTTCCCTTATCTGCATGAATGTAAACTGGTATTTTAACGCATTTAAAATAATCTCCGATTTGCAGACACAAAATAAAAACTCTTGTTAAAATAGACTATATTTCTGATGCAAGGAGTACACAAAAAGAAATTAAGTTCTGCATTGAAAGGCATAAATCAGTGATAATGTTCGTTAAAGATGTTAATGATTGCTTTTCGATTTCTTATTTTTTGGGCTTGGGATTGAATATGATAATGATAAGTTTCACAGGAGTTCAGGTAATGAAACAACAGCTCTTTTAATTCTTATGTTTTAAAATTTATTAAAGATATTACAATTATCTTCAGTTGCTCATGAAATTGGACAATCTCGGTGAGACTTTTGCAATTCTATCCTTTAATATAGGTCAAATATTTCGTCTATTCTGCTTAACGTTACCAAGTCAACGTTTAATAGATCAGAGTAATCAACTCACACAGAATATGTAATTTTGAAAATATTTTTATCTTCCAAAATAAAACTACCATATATCTAAGATACTAGTAAAGATCCTTTCATCTTTTATCTTTTCAGTTATGACAGTTACTGGTATACCCTACCTTCGGATTCGAGAAATCTGTTGAAAACAGTAATGCTGAAATGTATAAAACCCAACACTTTTACAGCGGGGAAATTGTATTGTTTTTCAATGAGTAATTTCGGTTCTGTAAATATTCTTTTTATCATTATCTCTGTCAGTGTTGAATTATAATTTTGAATAATTTTCTTTTTTATTTTCATAGGTGATAAAAACATCATTGTCTTATTTCACAGTACTGGTATCTATTCGTGAGTAAAATTCAGGTGGTAAGAAATAATTTACCGTTAACTTTGACTAAATAAATTTTTCATAATTTTCTACGTAAGTAAACTTAATTTATAAATTTAATTCTATACGTATTTTATAATTTACAAGACGTTCTAGGGGTACGTAGTGCATTTTTGAAAATTAATATTTCTATATAAGATATCTTTTTACGATGAGAATCGTTGATGCTATTTTAATTTTAGGTAATCACTTGAAATCCCTAGGACGTCGCGCGATATGATTCACCACAAAAAATTATAAATAATTCTAGAATATAACTTTATCAATAAGCAAGTAAGATAAGTTAGAATTGTAAAATTAACGATAATGCGTTTTTGTATTTTCTATTTTATATTATGATGAAATGTGATAAAATTTTGTATTACTTGGCATGAATATAAAAATGATGTCGATAAGAATTTTGATGTAGGAAATAAAAATTTATGTTTTGTACTTCAACGGTTGTAAAACTATTTTCTTTCTTGAAAGGCTAAATCCAGACTGAGAGCGTGTTCCCTAGAAAATCGAATTGATCTTATCCTATAGGTGCTTACAACTGAATCTATTATGTAATTACTTAATAAGTTTACTGTTCTTAATTAATTAATTAGTAAAACTAAAACATTTCTGGAAAATGTTGCGCCCACATTATAATGACAGTGAGTTCTGCTTGTGTCGACACGAACCAAGAAAAAGAAAGTTGTTTTAGAAGCAGCAACATAAGACCATCCTTTTGAATCTATAATAATTTCATGTAAAATTCCAATGGTTAATAAGTTTTTGTCTTCGATTGTTAAACTAGGAAAAGATGCAACTAACAAATGGAACCAAACTGGTATTGTTTACAAATTTAATTGTAATAATAGTGTTTCATTTATTACTTTTCCTATAATCGATTAAAAGAATATTAATAAATATAACTATTTAACTATTGTATAAATAATACCATCAGAATAAGAATCTCATTGATTGATTGTTCATTCTATTAACAGACGCCGATATGGAAGCTTTTAATTCTCATATGAAAATCTGTAAATTCTTTTCATCTTCAATGGGATTGTGGCCTCAACAATCTAAATTGACACAAAAATTAATTTCCATTTTTGTTTGGTTAACACTTACTAGTTTTTTTATACCACTAGTAAATTTATAATTTCGTTTTAATATTTTTCGTTTGAAGGCAAATTTTCAAGAATAATTTAATAACTCTGTAACATAAAAGTAGTATTGATCTGCTTTGTATTTTGTGTTTGCTGCCTTTTCTTGATCAAATATTCTTGTATTCTATATTCATTCTATTATTTAAAACGCTTATCAAAACATACAGTCAAATTGAGCAGAGTTGATATTATTTATTCTTTTAAATTAGCCACCAATTGTGCAATCGGGAAACTTTTATTGCACAATTGGCATATTTAAAATGTTTAAACAATTTTTAAAGATTATCGATTATTTTATGTCCATTAGCTTCTGTCCATAAAGAACATTAAGGGTAATTTAGACATGCTAATACCATGGCTTGCAAACTTTTTTGGTCTTATCGCTGGTGCATGTTCTTACGCAAATGCTTGCAACAACAGAAAGAAGGTACGAATTACGAATATTTATTTAATATACTTATTTAATAGAAATTCAATATTTGCATTTAGAACTAAGAAATATTATCAATTCTCCGGATTTTATTATATTATATTTATGACACATTGTTTCAGATAAAATTATTTATCTCGAAAATGAAAAATGATTGGCTAAATTGTGAATCAACTTCCGAATACGAAATAATGCTGGAAAATGCATCTCTGAATAACAATTTAATCAAGGTACAACTAGGTAAGTCATTAATTTCTCTTAATATGAAACGCTTATATTGCCTTCCACTTTTAATGGATCACCTCGAAATATGATGCAACAATATCAGGATTCAGCCCCTTAGTGACTAGTATTTTATAAATTTAAAAATTTCTAATTTAAAACCATTTTTAGAAAGACAACAAATAGAAAATATTGTTGAACTGTTTTTTTTAACTTTGTGTAATATAAAAATTATAGGATACAAAACGTATTTCAGTTTTGTATTGTGCAGCAATGTTAAAGTACATATCAGAGCCAATTATTCCATTATTTTTGGACATAATAATACCTTTAGATGAATCTCGTCCAAGGAAGTTAATTGCTGAAGCAAATTATTTAGTAGATGCGGATGATACTTTTAATTTCATAGTAATATCAATAAACGAGATTCACGTAACTGTTGCTGCAGTTGTAATAACGATGACTGTTGACACAATCTTTATATTTTCTGCGTACCATGCTTGCGGCCAATTGCAAATACTAGGGTAAAAGAGTAGAAAAATTCTTTCTTATCTACATGAATCGAAACTGATATATTTTAATATTATAAAATTCTTTCTGATTTGTAGGTACAAATTTAAGAATCTTGTAAATGCAGATTACAATGTGGCTTTTTCTGATAAAAGAGATACGCAAAAAGAAATTAAGTTCTGCATTAAAATGCATAAATCAACTATAATGTTAGTATTCAATTTTATTTTTATAGATATTAAGATGTCAAAATAGTCGGAATATCAAGGACTTTTTAGAAACTTTTATAATAAAAGTACATTTTTTATGTTTAATCATTTTCTTATCTTAACCATTTAATTTAAATTTGTTCGACATATTGGATCAGCTAATAATGTTTAATGTAACGCAAACTGTTTTTTTAAGGTTTATAAATGACTTTAATGACTGCTTTTCAATTCCTCTTTTTTTAAACTTGGGATTGACTATGTTAATGATGAGTTTAGCAGGAGTTCAGGTAATTTGGCCATTTACACTACTGTGAAATCTGGTAAAAATTTTGTTTTAAAAAGTTTCTAGTAACTTCCTAGTTAGAGCTAACATTTTTAAGAAGTTAGAAGATAATTACTAATTTAAAGATGCATAGAGCATATCAAAAGTCTAATACAAACCAAAAAGTCCCTCAGAGCAAACTTTAAAAATCTTTTAAATTTTCTAAAAATTCAAGGGTATATTCAAAACATTTTTAGTTTGTCACGAAATTGGACAACCTCGGTGAAGCTTTCACAATGATGTCCTATACTATAGGTCAAATATGTCGACTATTCTGTTTAACGTTACCAAGTCAACGTTTGATAGATCAGAGTAATGAACTTTTCCAGAATATGTAAGTGTGAAAATATTTTTAACTTATTCCAAAAAAAAAGGTTAGTTCTACTATATAATCACTTTCATCTTTTCAGTTATGACAGTTACTGGTATACCCTACCTTCAGATTCGAAAACTTTGGTAAAAACAGTAATGCTGAGATGTTTAATACCTAACAGTTTTACTGCGGGAAAATTGTACTGTTTTTCAATGAGTAATTTCGTTACTGTTAGTATTAATTTCAACACTAGGTGTACAAATTTAAACTTTCTATAAAATGTAGCGTAAAAAGGTTCATTTTAAAGAGCAGTGTTCAATCTTTAATTCTTAATATTATCAAAGGTTTATAATCTTTTTTATATCCACGTCAGGGTTTAGCTCTAATTTTTAAAAATATTCATAAATACCATGTTTAAATCCATGTAGACCAGTATTGTTTTTATAATAATTGTTATCACTGTTTATAATGTAATTGATTTTCTTTTTCACTTTTAAGGTGATAAAAACAGCTGTGTCATATATAACAGTATTGTTATCGATTCGTGAGTAAAGTCGTAGAGACCAAATTGTCCACGTCAATGATCAACGAAAACGGAAAAAATTAAGCATTTCTTCTTCTTCTTCTTTCTTCTTTTTCTTTATCGGCCTGTTGATATGCATCAAATGGCTATGAATTTAAAAAATAAACCAATATAGTGTAGACTACTAAAAGGTAAAATTGAAACTTTAAACACAATGCGCACCAAACGCTGTTTGATCTTCAAAACAACTATTTTTGTAAACGTAAAAAAATTAAACTACATATAAAAAAATAAATCTATAATTTCTAAAAATAAGTAACTTTAAAAACAAACAAAATTATCCTAAATAATTGTAAAATTGCACATGTTCAGTCAACTTTTACGTCAAACATTGAATAACATCGGACAGATTTAAAGAACTTCAAGATTCATGAGCTTCGCATTACTAAAGATTCCGATGATTTACAATCAAGTTAAATATTCAACTTTCAGGATATTTTCGGTGCTGTGTTGGTAGAAAAAAAAATTTATCCCTGTCGTACGTAATATTAAAATTATAATTTAGAAAATATTTTTAAAAAATGTATTCATAAAGCTTCTTTCTACTTCCACGATGGTAAAAAGTACATATAATAATATTACAATCACTTCAGAGAAATTGTTTCCCCTTGAAAATACAAAATAATAACTATCCTCTCCCTTGAGAGTCTAAATCCAGACGGTGGCAACGTTCTTTGACAAACCCAATTGATTTTATCCTAAAGGTTGTTATTAAATTCAAAGTCATTTAAAATTCACTTTCATTTCATATTTTTCCCCTGAAGTCAAAAGAATCATGTGTGCCAAGTTCTTAGTGAAATATTTTTTAATATTTAATTCTAATAAAACGTTCTGTATTGTTCTTTAAGATAATTATCTTAAAGAATAATACAGAACGTTTTATTAGCGGTAAATATTTAAAAATATTTCACTAAGAATACTCTTTGTACGTGTAAAATAAAGCGGCGTTTGATTTCACCCTTAGAATAATTCTCTATCTGACAGTTGAGCCGTGAGCGTGACTACGATGGCTATTCGGTTTGAAAAAATAGTTATGAAATAATTATAAAAATAAATTGTAAAATAAGAACATGTTTAATAAAATCTACAATGTTGGGATCTAGATTATAAAAACAATTTCTTTCAGTTCGAAATTTCAAATAATTTAGTTTATTCGCTTTTAAAATTCAAATTGTAGAGAAAATAATTTATAAAGCTGAATTTCGACAATTTATTATAAATTTATATCCTAAATAATATAATTCTTGTTGTCGATAAGTCTCATTCTCACAAATAATAAATATAGTTGTTCTTCTAGAAATTCAGTATAGTCTTCCAGCATTTTTAAATTTCTCCAAAACACTTTCGCTGTATTATTATAGTCTTAACCGAATCGTTTATCCCACAAATCCTTGATCTTTGTTCTGTAAATTAAATTATAAATATATTATTTTTTCCAACTTTTCCGTCGCATTAAAAAAGTTTCTCTAAATATAAAATTATTTTTTTAATTTTAAATTGTAATTTTTTATTTGATTTATTAATTTTTATTGAATTCGCTAATAAATTAAATTTTATATTTTTATTCAATTATTAGATCTGTCTAGTATAATGAATAGAAAAAATTTTTTTTTTACTTACGTGCGACATTGGCAGACGCCACCACTGCAACTTCCTCCAGCTTTTCCCATGCTTAAACAATTGGCAGCGCAAGCACTGTCTCCCACCATGCCAGCGACTGACAGAAGATCACAAGTCACTCTTCTTTGCCTATCAGCTCGTCCTTCATCTTCTAATTTAAAAAAAACAGTACATTTATCATTTTAAAAATAACAAACATAACCTACAATTTTTTAATACTTCGGTACTTTTCTTCAGAGCGCGTCACTAATTATAGTAAAAATATGAATACTATTATTTATTATTATTATTATTGTTAATTTTAATATTATTTTATAATAAAAGGGCCCTTTAAATGCAAATCAGGCCTTTTTATTACAAAATAATTAAAAAAAAAATTTTTTTAATAATCAAAAAGACGATTTCAACAAAATGCAAATAATAACAACAGCAATAATAAACAATAAACAAAAAGGTAAAATTTATAACACTTACCTTCCATTGGTGCACTCATAACAGTCATAACAGCAAGACATAAAAATACCAAAAAAATGCAAAGTTTAACCATTTTTAAATTTTTAATTTAATTATTATAAAATTTAAAAATAAAAATATTAACTTTAAATAATATTTAACTTTCAAATAATAGACAATATTCTATTATGCGCTGAGAGTAAGGAATGATTTCAATAGCGACACGTTGGGGCTTTTTATATACCCATCACATCAAAAATATGGCAAATAATTGAATTTTAATTTCCGTTTATTTTTAATCTCAAGATGTTCTTCCCCGACAAACGTCGCAATACAGATAAAAAAAATGTTTGTAAACGTTCACTGAATCATTCATTATTGATTCATTTTTTTCTTCTATTATAAGTAAATGTGCTGTCTTGCATAATATATGTATATTTGCAGCTTGCAACGGTCAATATTATCTAATATAATAAATTATTTTCTTTTTTCTTCATAAGGAAAATATAACAGGGAATTCCTACTGACAATGGGAAATGAATGCTCACAGTTGCTATATGCCACGTTTAAATTTTTTATTTAATTAGAAGTCAAACGAGAAAAATAGAAGACAAACGATTGTTTTTTTTCCTCTTATTTAGAAATTTAAAAAAAAATAAACCGAAAAATATATAAAATATGAATTTCAAATTTTTCTTTCAATAAACAATTATTATTCTTAACACTTTGTTAATTTACTATTATTTTTATTTTTTGTAAATTTAAATATTTCTTTGTACAAAATTCGAAAAAAATAAAATAATAAATACAAATTTATTACTAATTATTATTTTTTTCATTAATACTATTAAATGAAAATAAAAATACAATAAAAAAAATTAAAATAAAAAAAAATTAAAAATTAAAATAGTAAATAAAAATAATTAGGAGAAAAAAAAAAATGCTAAATACGTAGATTTTTTTTGATAATTTATTTATCGGTGAAAAAATATTAATGAAATTTAAAAAAAAGGAATTAATAATTAATAATAATAAATACGAAAATTTAAAAGGAAATGAGTCTCATGCTGTTGAGATATTTTATTTTTGGAAAAATCGCTTACCTCTTTAACATACAAGGGAAGACGTATCACTATAAAAAGCAGAATAAACTATATAATACAATAGCAATTAATTAAAACTTATTGGTACTTCAATTAATAACTATACTTAACTAAAAATATGTAAGTAACGTAACATTTAAAATTATACGTTCTGCATACTAACTCGACTCGGAATTTTTCCTTTTTTCATTAATAACAAAAATATTTTTTTCAAAATCATATTTTTGATTTTTGTATTTAAAATAATTTTTTTTAAAATTATTTTTCATTATTTTTACTTATTTCTATTAAATTAATTGATATTTTTATAATTTTTATATTTGTGACGCGCACTGAAGAAAGGTACATAAGAAGTAAAAAATTTGAGGTTATGTTTATAATTTTTGAAATAAAAATGAAGAAAGAAAATCAATTATTTTTAAAAATTATTAACCGTCAAGGCTTCATTACATAAAAAATATTTTATAAAAATTAATTTCAAATTTACAAAATTAAAAATGAACTTTTAATCGAGATTCGTTTGCTGAAAGCATTTACTTAGGAACCTTTCTTGGAACGCATATTTAAAATTTTTATTATTTATTTATGTAATAAACTCGACATGCCCATCATTATTATTACTATATATTATAATCATTCAATTTCCTTTAAAATAAATATTTAATTTTCTAAATTAAAAATAAAAAAAAATTTTTTTGTTAAAATTTTGAAATTTTTTTATTTGCAATTTTGTTTTTTTAATTTTTATTGATAAATTTTACTAAATTTTTATATTTATAACAATAAAAAATAAAATTTTAATACTTCAACTAAATAATGAATTTTAATTAATAATTAATATTTTTGTGTTTAAACTTTAAAGTAAAAAAAAAATGTTTAAAGAAAACTTTATTTCTCGTTTTAAATAATATTTTTCTTAAAAATTCGTTTCTAAAATTTTCACTTGTAGCGCGCTTTGAAGAAAGGTACCGAAGGTACCACAGGAAGCATATCATTTTAAGGTTATGTTTGTATTATTTTTACCCTTATTAAAAGTTTCTGTTTAATTCTCTAAAACTGAAATCAGTTTATATTAAATATTTTTTATGCAAAGAATATTTAAACTTTAGTAAATTATATTTAAAGTTAATCTACTTTGAGTATTTTTATTTTAAAAATTACAAACATAACCTTCAATTTTTTTACTTCTTTGATACCTTTCTTCAGTGCGCGTAACATTTGTCGGTTTATAGATAAACTCCTCCTACTTTTCTTTTAAAAAATTTCATTTCTAAGCTTTTGATTTGTGCGTTCTAAAATAATTGCTTTATAATTTTGTTTTTAAAAATTTGTTTCTAAAATTTTCACTTGCTTATTAAAAATAAAAACCTAAAATTTTCGCTTTTAAAAAATTTTTTTCTAAAATTCTAAAATTCACATTATTATGAAAAAAAGTCGAGTTAGTATTGCGTAAATTTTTTAAGAGTTGCAATTTCACTTTTTATTTCATTTTTGAAACAAATTACATAAAGAACATTGAATTTTTTTTTCTTGTTTAATTTTATCGAAAAAGTCAATTTAAATGGGAAAAAGCAACTCAACTTAAGAATTGTTTGAAAAGAAAAATGAAGATACACAACTTAAGGAAACTCTCCTTTGACAAAAAATACTATTTACAAAATTGACTCAATATCGCTTTATAATAGAACAATTTCAGGAAGAGCCAACTTATTAAAGCTGGAAAATCTATTGTCAAAATATATCGAACACACCAGGGGAGAAAAGCTTTCTTTTTTTTGAAAATCACAAAATTATTTTTTTTTCTTGTTTTTAGTTTTTTTAAAATCGCGGAAAAATTCTCTTTTTCTTATATTTAAGTCACTTTTGACACAATTTGTATTTTTTTTTCTCTCTTCAATTTTCCCTAATAAATATTTTTAAATATTGGCACGTACAAGAAGAGCGTAGATTTAAAAAAAAAATCTTTTTACAATTTTTAACATTTTGATATTTTTAATTTACATGGAAAATAAAAATTTTTTTTTTTATTTGAAAATGTAAAAAATCATTTTTTGATGTTTCTCAATGATAAAGTTACTTTTGCAATGAAACTATGAGAATGTGAAATGTTTTCTTTTGATTTCGTTTATAGTTAAAATTAAAAGTGATGAGCTATCGATTTTAAAAATTGTGAAAAATGTTTTTTTTATCCTTCTTTATAATTTTATCGACTGATATTCTAATCGAACAGAATAATCTATTTAAATATTTTTTATAGTAAACAAAATTCTTCTAATGGTAAAAAAAAAAATTTTTTTTTTTTAAATATTTCTATAACGAAAAAAAATTTCCCAATTCTACAAGCATTGTTTTTAAAATTTTGTTCATAATTTTGTCTATGGAATAATTTAAATTATGTATTTTTAAATAAAAACTTTTTTTAAATTAAAAAAATTTTTTTTTAAATAGTAAATTTTTATTATTTTGTCCGTTTTAAAATTAATGGACCCTAATTAATGAAGTCGAACATTTTTTTCAAAAATACAAGCGGAATATTCTGTAAAATTAGAATATCGATAAATGTATCGAATTTTTTTTTTTTATTTAAAAAATGAATTAAAATAAATCCCATCACACAAATGCCGAAAAAATTAGCATTTTCAAAATTGATTTCTACGAGTTCTAATATAAATTGCGTCAATTAAATTTACCTCGCTGTACAGAATCGCGTATTATACAATTTATTTATTTATTTATTTATTTTTATCTACAAAGTCTAGGATTTTTCGTTTTCTTAATTTTTTAAATTCCTTTCAATCATTTATAGTCGATTGTTGCTTGTTTTCACTGTCAGACAAAAAAGAAAATTATTTAAGAAAAGATTTTTTTTTTTTTTTTTTTTTTCTTTAAGTATATATTAATACTTGGTCATAAGACTCTGGTCCTTTGGAGATGAGAATTAAGAAAACAAAATTAATATAATTATAACAATGTTAATAAATTTCAGAGCGATAAAATTGCACTTACTTAAAATTTATAGGCCTCTCAGGTGAAATTGATCGAAAAAATACGAAATAAAAGAAGAGTCGAGACATTTTTTTAAAAACTTATTTCAAAAAAAAAGTCTCAACTTTCTTATATTTGAGTAACAATTCAATATGTGCGCTTTCGATCATAAACTATATATAATATATTATATACTTAATTAATCTAAAATCAATTTTTGACTCAATAAAAGTCATAAGAAATATATTTTTCCCGAAAAAATTTTTCTACTACGCAAGCTTTTATAAAGGACGTATTTTTAAAGTTTTTTAAAAAGAAATTCTCTCTTTTTCTTTCTAAAATATTATTTTTAAACGCGACGCCAAAAATGAAATGACATTTTTTTTTTAAATTATTGCTAAAAAGTAATGCACTTGGCGAATCCCTGATAATAAAAAAATTGGATTTTTATTTTTCTCTTCTCGTGAATAAAAACATAATCCACCTTTTTGACAATTTAAAAGACCAATTAAACTAAAATTATTTTTTTTTCATTTTTTTTTTACAAAAATATTCTTATTTTCACAAATTTTCTATTAAATACATTACATGGTGTTAAAAATTTGTTTTCAGACAATACTTTGAGCAGTTTGATATGAAAAAAAAAGAAAAAAAAATTATTCCAAATGTATAAAAATTCGATAAATAGGGAAAAATTGTTTGTTTTTTTTTAAGTAAAACTGGACATAATTTGGCAAAAAAGTGTTTTTTTTTTATTAACTAACTATTTTTGAGTTGAAACTCTCAACAATATCTCAAAAAATTTTAGATTTTTTTTTTCACACGGAAAAAGTTTAACGATATTTGTTATAATTTAACATAAAATTAATTTAACATAAAATATTTCAATCAATAAATTCGAAAAACTAATATTTTTTAATTAATTAATAATAGTTTATAATTAACTCAATTTTTCCAGTAAATTATTAATTTTCTTGAAGTTTAATTGTGGACGCGTCTCAAAGTTTAATTCAAAGATTTATTAATTAATACTAATTGTATATTAATTAACATAATTATGAATTTTGAATTATATTAATTAATATTTAGATTAATATTTAATATCATATTCAAATAATTTAAGATTGCTTTTTACAATTAACAATAAATGTGATTTTTAACTTATTAGGAGATAAAGAATTTCAACTTATATTAAAATTGTCTATTAAAAAAAAAAAAAAAAAAAAAAAAAAAAAAAAAAAAAAAAAAAAAAAAAAAAAAAAAAAAAAAAAAAAAGTTTTTTTAAAATGTTTTTTAAAAAATCTAAATATAAAAATATTTAGTTTTTTTAAAAAAACATTTTTAACATATAATTACGTTTTTTTTTACGTTTAAGGACACCACTTGCCACAAATATGCGACAATTTAAAAGTAACAGAAATCTTCGATTTCCGATAAAATATAATTATAAATAAAAAATAATAAATATAGACGTAAATCACAATTTTAAATAACACTCATTATTACTATTAAATATAAATATAGCGTCTTTTCTAAAAAAACAATCTCTTTTCGAAACAAAAAAAAAATGCCTTGAGAAAGAAAAAAAAACTATGTACCTAATAGTAAATAAGTTTTCGGATTTAATTTTCAATTGAGAATTGAAAAAATGTTAAAAATTAAACAAAAATAAAATAGGCGGTAAAAATTAAAATTTTGATTATTTTGTATAAACTCTAGAGTAAAAATAGAAAATGGCGGAGAGTCCGAACAAAATTTATAGTCAAATGCCATAATTTCGTGATTTAAGTGAAAAAAAACAGTCAAATTTAAATTCGTTTTTGTAAGAAAAATTAAATTCGTTTTTGTAATTATTTAATTTTCAATTCAAAAAATTCTAAACTTTAATAAAAATAATATTAAATTTTAAAGTTTTTGTTAAATTTTAGGTTAGGTTAGGTTTTAGGCCTGTTGTCCCCGAAAGTCGAATAGTCACAACTTTTAGGTTATGTTGCACCAAAAAAGTTTTTATTGGCTGAAGATCTGTAATTTTTATTCAAATGCAAAGTTAACCTTGTACCCTTGCTTCAAAACGAATTCAAAATTCACTTTTTTGATCTAAAATACAAAAAAAATAATTAAGGTACTCTCACAACTGTGTTGTCATGGTAACGTACGAGAGTAAGAGAGAAAAAAGGTATTTGATTCGATCTTTCCGTCTCTCTCACTCTCGTGCGTTACCATGACAACAAGCATTAGAACTGTGAGAGCACCTTTAGACTAACCGTCATTTCGATACACTTTTCTTCACTAAAATCCCAGAGAAATTGTTGAGAGTTATAAAATCTCGTGTATATATTCTTATCGCAAAGTTTTGTTTCGTTTGTTTGTTATTATTATTATTTTTTGTTTGTTTTAAAAGTTAACAAAGAAGACTTGATATATTTTAAACTTAAGTGACTAGTAGGCATCACGAAAGTTTGGACTTGTTCTTCCTAAAGGCGGGAAAATGGAGCTTTCTACGCCTGCGCTTCTGCTCGTCATTATCCGCCGTGGAATTTGAATCTGTCGATAATGTCTCGTCATCGACGGACATTAATGTGGGCAATTCCCTGAGGGGCTTTTTATTACTTGGGACAATTCGATTTACCTTCTCCGTAATGTCGAGGGCATTCTCGGAAAATGATGTTTTCGAAAGGAATGATGAGGTAGATTTGTCAATGTCGCTACTGTTAAGCATATTTGTGTCTTGACTAAATGAACGCTGCATACCGACGACGCTCTTCTCTTTTACATTGGCTGTGGCGGCGCCACCACCACCACCGCGTTCCCTTATTGACTCCTCACTGCTCTCGCCAACTGTGAATTGCACCACTTCTGGTGGTGTCTCCTTACCAGTTTCGCTGCTCGACGAATCCGGTGGGATTGACGACTCCTTCCATGTTATATTCTCCATTAAACCTGTTGACAGTCACTTATTCATTTATACAAGCAAATAAAGCGGTTTTCATACATGACAATGAAATAATTAAGGCCTGAGCACAATGAAGTCGGGATCATAAAGGCCTGAGCAGAATTAAAACGAAAAGCGAACTTGCGGTTCGCTTCCCGATTTAATTCTGCTCCTGGCCTTTATGTTTCTCGCGTATGAGATAGAAAAGGACAGACGATATTTCTGTCTTTTTCCACCTCATGCTTAGGGTGACTTCCGGTTTTATTATGCTCAGGCCTTAAAGGTGCTTCGCACAGCTGTTTCACGCATGCAAAGCATAATATGGAGTTTTTTTTTCTAAAATCGTCAATTATATCTTCGAACAAGTTATTCATATAATCATATAATTATGATAGTACTTCACTTGTAAATTAGTTTAATAATTAATTTTCCATGGGAGTTGTCAATTGTAAATTATTTTAATCATTAATTTTCCATGGGAGTTGTCTGCCACTCACTGATTACGAATCTGACATCAGATTTGCAATAATCAAAATGGTAAATCCAAAATGGCGGAAATTTTTAAAACTACTGAGATTAGATATATTATTAAATTTAAAATGGCGGGAACTTTTAAATTATTTAAAAAAAATTTTTACAAAATTCATCCAAAATTCAATTATTTTCATAAATAATAATAAAATTTCTTTTTCAATTTTTGTAATTTCTTTCTTAATTTCAATATATGAAAATTTGTAAATTTCTCTAAAAAAAAAGTAAATTATTAGTAAGTAAACTAAAAACTAATGAAAAAGCGCATGACCACTGTAAGTTCGACTGAGCTTTACATTCAAGCCTTACACTATAGACTAAAATTTATCACTAACATTTTAAAACATTGTTAAATAATTTTAAGCTTCTTATTTTCAGCCACAAGCAAACAATAAAGAACAGCATTTTTTTTTTTTTGATTGTAGAAAATATAAATAAAAAATATAAATAAAAAATACAAATAAAAAATAGAAACATAAAAAATAGAAATAAAAAATAGTAATAAAAAAAAATAAAAAATATAAATATAAAAAATAAAAATTGTGTTAGTAAAATGAAAGCGTGAGTTAAAAAAAGCGCAATGCTAGAATTGGATCAAATAACTTTCTATTTGTTTTGACGCTTCTCGGCTTTATTAATTGAGTATAAAAAAATATACATAATTAATAAAATACTATATAATAAAAATTTACTTTAAACACATTAAGTTATTCGATATATCGACAATTCAAAATCTCTAAATTTTTTTCGTACAAAATACATTTTTTTTTGTATTCAATACACTTTTTGGTATTTAATACATTTCTCTTATATTTAAAAATCATCTCCCTTTAAAAAACAACGTCAACAATATAAAATCTTTTTCATAAAAATTTATCAAATACTAATCTAATGTGTCTAAACTTAAGTCCAAACTCATTTTTTATGTACATTGTGCGTGGCACAAAATAGTTGCCTGATTAATAATTATATTTTCATATATGGCACGACGTAGTTCATTTTTTAATCGACTACAACTTACCTACTTTTTTAAACATTCATTTTTCTCTAAAGAGAATTTTTTTTCTCTAAACTCTAAAAAAATTAATTCTTCGCATAGAATTCTGAATTTTAGAATTCTAAATTTTAGAATTAATTTTATCGGAGAATTAAATTTAAATATATAAAATTTTCTACTTTTACCAATTAGACAAAAATTGGTATAAATATAAATTAACTCTCGACGATTTTTCTAAACAATTCACTACATTTTTGTTATTGTAAATTAAATTACATAACGAATTATTTTTCATTAGTTAAATCTCTTAAATAACAAATTGCAAGTAATTGCAATTTTCAATTTTTCAATTCTTAATTTACACTATTGTTAATATTATTTTAAATTCAATTGATTTTTTTTAATTAAAAATCGAACGAGATTTTTAAAAAATTTTTAACTTCATATTTACACTAATGTTGGAACTTTTTTTTAATAAAAGAAAAAATTTCGTTTAAAGAATAAAAATTCGTTTATATTCTATTCTTTGTTTTGTACTTGTATATTGCAAAAAGTACTTTCAACATTAGGATCATTAAAGTAACTAAACAGAAAACCGAAACAATTTTTTTTTTTTTAAATACAAACTGAAACTAATTTGAAAAATTTAAAACAAAAGTAGACGAAAAAATTAAACTCGAATTAATAACTTAAAAATTAGAAATTAAAGTGATTAAAATACCAGATTTTTTCATAATAGGAAAATATTTTCTTCAAACTTGATATGATCCTTTTTCAACATATTTATTCCTAGCCTTCCAACATTGAAGATGAATCTTCCTTTAATTTCAATTGACAACCTATTTTTCAAAGGTAAATAATTTTATAAAATTTTTGTTCCGAACTAATAAAAGAAAAAAAAAATTTCGGAACGAAATAAATTTCAATTTTTGTAATAAATAGTCTCGCTCTCGATAAAATCTCATGAAAATTGCAAACTAAAATTCTATTTTTAAATTTCAAACATTTTCTCCTCTCCACTAGTTGTATTTTTTTTTCGTTTGTAAGAAATTCACTTTTCATTTTCAGTTATTAAACAATTGAGCTCCCGCGTGCAATGACTCGATCTGCGCTCGGACGCACTCTCTAATACCAGTCGGGTGGCAGTGAGTGGCGCAGAGGCGCTCACTGCTCCCCGACTGGTACTAGAGAGTGCGTCCGAGCGCAGATCGAGTCATTGCACGCGGGAGCTCAATTGTATAAAACAGATAAAAGCAAAGGAAAGAGCATAAAAATTGTAAAATTTAAAGTAAACAAATTTTTACTTTAAATTGTAAAAACAATAAAGAGACGAAAAAATTATAACGCAGATTTAATGCCAAAAAAAAAAAAAATCAAAAGTCCGTTCACAATCAAGTAAAGTACTTTTACGCGTAAAAGTAATAAATTATTCTTGTTTATTATTTTCTGAGAAATTTTAAGAAAATTCTTCGCAAGAATTCAATTATTTTAATTGTAAATAATAACATTCTTTGGAAGAATTCAATTATTTTTTTTAAAAATAGTAAAATTTTTCAAGGCAATTCAATTATTTCCTAAAAAATTGATAAAATTCTTGGAAAAAATTCAATTATTTTTATAAATTGTAAAATTCCTCAAGACAATTCAATTATTTTGTAAAATTTTGATAAAATTCTTGAACACAGTTCAATTATTTTTATAAATATTAAATTCAATTATTTTCTTAAATTTTGATACAAATCATCGAACCAATTCAATTTTTTTTTATAAAAATAATAAAATTCTTTGCAGGAATTCAATTATTTCCTAAAATTTTCATAAAATTATTCGAAACAATTCAATTATTTCTATAAAAAGTAAAAACTTTCAAGGGAATTCAATTATTTTCCAAAATTTTTGTTAAAATTCTTTGAAACAATTCAATTATTTTTATAAATTGCAAAATTCTTTGGAAGAATTCAATTATTTTTGTAAAAAATAGTAAAATTTTTAAAGAGAATTGAATTATTTTCTTAAATTTTTATAAAATTCTTGGAAACAATTCAATTATTTTTACAAATTGTAAAATTCTTTGCAGAAATTCAATTATTTCCTAAAATTTGGATAAAAATCTTCGAACCAATTCAATTATTTTTATAAAAATAATAAAATTCTTCAAGAAAATTCAATTATTTTCCAAAATTTTTGCTAAAATTTTTCGAAAAAATTCAATTATTTTTTTAAATTGTAAAATTCTTTGCAGGAATTCAATTATATTTCCTAAAATTTTCATAACATTTTTTGAAAGAATTTAATTATTTTTAAAAATTTGATAAAATTCTTGGGAACAATTCAATTATTTTTATGTATTTTAAAATTATTCGTAGAAAAACAATTATTTCTTAAAACTTGGATAAAAATCGTCGAACCAATTCAATTATTTTTATATAAATAATAAAATTCTTCTAGTGAATTCAATTATTTTCCAAAATTTTTAATAAAATTCTTCGAAAAAATTCAATTATTTTTATAAATTTGCCAAATTCTTTGGAAGAATTCAATTATTTTTATAAATTGTAAAATTCTTCAAGACAATTCAATTATTTTGTAATATTTTGATAAAATTCTTGAACACAGTTAAATTATTTTTATAAATAGGTATAAATATTAAAATCAATTATTTTCTTAAATTTTGAAGCAATTCTTGAAAACAATTCAATTATTTTTAAAAAATTTTTAATTCATCGCAGAAATTTAATTATTTGTTAAAAATTTGCCAAAATTTTTTGAAACAATTCAATTATGTTTTATAAAAAGAATAAAATTCTTCAAGAGAATTAAATTATTTCCTAAAATTTTGTAAAAATTAGTAAAAAATTTTATCAATTCGTAAATTACGAATTTTAAATCAGAACATTTTTTCTTATAATAATGAGATTCACTTTTGTTAATTTACAAGATTTTGAAAATTTTCTTTTTTTAAAAAAAAGAAAATTATACTTAATAGTGAACGGACTATTTTTTTTTTTTTTTTTGTATTGAAAAAACGTAACCCAAATCAGTGCAAAAACAAAGCGGTGGAAAAGTGGAGAGGATCTACGTGTGAAAAAAAAGTGGTAAGTCGAACAAAGATCAGTCAATTCTCGTGTGGTCATGGATGTCCGATTCCTGCTTACCTGCGCCGGAGATAGACGGAGAGTAAAGTGAACTTGTATCGTCATCTAAGTCATCTTGGCTACTCAATCGACCTAAAACGAAAAACAGAACAAAAAATTATTTATTCATTTTTTAATTCTCCTTTACTCTATTCAAAAATTTCAAAAATTTCCTTTAATTCCACTTTTTGGTTATTTTTATATTAAAATACATTTTGTTTATTTTATATTAAAATAAAAAAAAAATGTTTCAAATGCATAAATGAATAAACAAAATAAAAATTCACCGACGGAAAAGGAAGACTGTCGTTATGTTGTTATTATTATTACTACCATCTGATTATATTCTTTTTCACAAAACATAAAAAAAAAGGAATTTAATTGCTTAATAGCGTTAATGTTCTTTAAAATCGTATATCAAAAACTAGATTGCGATCGATAAAAGAAATCAAAAGTTAAATAACATATTGAGATATTGAAGAAATTATCGAATTTAATCGCAAAAAAATCAAATCTAAGAACAATATATAGGTTAAAAAAGTTAAAAGTATGTACTTCTTTAAAAAAAAGATTTTAAAATGAAAAAGATGACAAAATAAAAAATTTGATAATATATAATAATTAAGAACAAAATATGTTTTATATTTATTTATTTGTTAATATAAAATAAATAAGATAAAATCCATAAGATCTTTTTATTAAGTTGCCAATGAAAAATAAATGAAGGTCAAATTCTACGAATGCTGCGATTAACGAATTAAAATCCTCTTACATAATAATTAGTTTCGTAAAGTTAATTGTGTTTTTGGATTGTTGTCATTTCTTTTAACACTCAAGTCCAACAATATTCTATTTTTTTATCTTTCTTTATCATTTTCTACTTTTTATTATTTACCGACATTTTAAAATTTTTGATTTTTAACTTTCTTCTTATTATTTATTTATATCCTACTAATTATGTAATTTCTTAATTATTAATTTTTATAAATTAATAATTCAATTTCTTAATTTTTAACACCTTTTTTCATAAATAAAAAAAATATTTACAGAGATTCAATTATTTTCATAAATAATATTCTTAAGGGTCATGGAAAAGGTGGAAATTATTTTTGGAAATCAGGGAAAGACAAAATAAAAATTTTTTTGTTGGCAACCCTGGAGAAATGAGTAATTAATGAAAAAGAAAAAGAAAGTAGAGGAGTAAATTTGAAATTACCCCTGAGGCCGAGTCCTCTTCCATTAGGCGCTCCCCTGTACAAAATATTCTCGAGATAACTGAGGCCGCTATTGTTGATTATATTGAATCCGCACAAGAGTTCAATTTGCTTCCAACGATGAACGCGTTCTTGTAATTCCACGGTGACCTCATTGAGTGCCGTTCTCGCTTCGACGATACTTTTGTCCACCTCGTCGATTGACTTCCCGTGCGTCGAAACAAACGCACCCACCAAACTCGATCTCTTTTTTCTCAATTTCTCGCACTATTTTCAACAATAAAATAAAAAATCAAATTAATATTAACATTAACTCAATTTAAATTGAACGTTGACTATATTTTACATTAATTAAAAAACTAATTAGTTGAATAAATAGTTAACTAATTAGTTGAATAAATAGTTAACTAATTAGTTAACTAATTCAGGGCTCGAACTGGGTAAAGGTAAAGGTCCTTAAAAAATTGCTCGAAGTCCGTAAAAGTCAGTTTTTTTTTTAAAAAAAGTCCGTAAAGTCAGTATTTTAATTGAGAACAGACGAAAAGTTGGTAAATTGTACAATATAATTTGGAGAAATTGTAGATGGAAATTTTGTTTGGATATTTAATTTAATTTAATTTGGCGAATTTTAGAAAAATTACAAATGATTGCAAAAATACAATTATTTTCAAAAGTAATAAAATTCTTCGCAAAAATTCAATTATGATTCAAAAACTTTTAAAAAATTCTCGACCAAATTTCAATTATCTTTAGAAATAATTAAATTCTCCTCTAAAATTCGATTATTTTCAAAAATTTTAATAAAATTCTTGGCAAAATTTCAATTATTTTCAAAAATTTTCCACCATTCAATTATTTCTTTAATATCTACTATTTTAATAAAGTTCTTTGCAAAAATAATTTTTTTTTTTTTAATAACAATATTCATCACAAGAATTCAATTAATTTTAAAAGTAATAAATTTCTTCCTCAAAATTCAATTATTTCAAAAAATTCTAATAAAATCATTCTCAAGAATTCAATTATTTTTAAAAATAAAAAATTTTTTTTACAGAATTTCAATTCTGTAATATTAAAATTTTTAAACATTTTAATAAAATTTTTCTCAATAATTCAATTATTTTCATAAATAATAAAATTCTTCTCAAGAATTTAATTATTTTTCAAAATTTTAATAAAATTCTTTGCAACTATTCAATTATTAGGAGGATTTCAATTAATTTTTAACAAAAAATTTTCCAGGAATTGCTCAAAAATGTAATTATTCTGAAAAATTTTATTTCAATTCCACGAAAAAATGAATTATTTAAAAAAATGTTTTTTAAAATTCTTTGGAAGAATTCAATTATTTACAAATTTTTTTGAAATTTTAATTCAATTATTTTTATAAATAACACAATTCTTCTCCGAAATTCAATTATTTTCATAAGTAATAAAATTCTTCTCCAAAATTCAATTATTTTCAATATTTTAATAAAATTCTTGTGAAAATTTCAATTATTTTCATAAATTTTCTCAATTCATAGTTTATAATTTTATTTCATAAAATTTTCCAAATGAATTCAATTATTTACAAATATTCTTTTGTAATAATTCAATTATTTTCATAAATAATAAAATTCCTCTCTAAAAGTCAATTATTTTCAATATTTTAATAAAATTCTTGGCAAAATTTCAATTATTATCAAAAATTTCCCCCAATTCAATGATTTTCAATATCTACTATTTAAATATATATACAATTTTCCAAAAGAATGCAAATTATTTAAAAAAAAATTCTAAGCAAACATTTAATTATGTTCATAAATAATAAAAATTTCACATAAATTCAATTATTTACAAATTTTCCATAAATTTCTTCCCAAGAATTCAATTATTTTCATAAATAATAAAATTCTTCATTTAAATTAATCGAAAGAATTCAATTATTTAAAAATTTTGTTGATAAAATTCTTTATTGGAAAATTGAATTTTCAGAAAAAATTGAATTATCCAATAAATTGTTTATTTTTGTAATTTTAAATAATTGAATTTTCTAATAAAAATTGATTTAAACATGAATTTCAGTTAAAATTTTACATAATAATTGAATATTAAAATTATTATTTAAGGAAAATAACTGAATTCATTTAAGAATATTTACTAAAATAGTAGATTTTAAAAATATTTATTGAATTGTATTATTTATGAAAATAATTCAATTCTTGCAACGCATTTTATTACATTTTTTTTGTAAATAATTTAATTCAATTAATAAATTTAATTATTTAAATAATTGAAAATTTTATTGAAATAGTAGATTTTGAAAATATTTATTTTAAAAAATTTTATTATTTATGAAAATAATTGAATTCATGTGAAAAATTTTATTACTTGTAAAAATAATTGAATCCTTGGGAAGGATTTTATTAAAAATTTTGTAAATAGTTTAATTTTCTTTTGAAAAATTTTATGGATATTAAAAAATTTCATAAATAATAAAACTCATCATAGAATTTCAATTATTATTTGTAGAATTTTAATTAAATTCGTCGAAAAATGTAATTATTCTTGAAAATTTTATTAAAATTCGGCGAAAAAATTGAATTATTGAAAAATTTGTTGATAAAATTCTTTACGAGAATTCAATTTTAAAAAACATTCATTTATTCAATAAATTATTTATTTGCATTTTATTTGTATTTAAATAATTGAATTCTAGTAGAATTTTCTAATAAAAATTGATTTTCATTTCATAAAAATGAATTTCAGTTAAAATTATAGATGATAATTGAATATTAAAAAAACAATATTATCGTGAATTTTTAGAAATAATTGAATTTTGAAATTAATTTTTTTGAAAAAGTTTAATTGAATTTTTTTTATATTATTTAAAGTTTTTATTTTCTAATATAATATTTAATTTGAAGAATTTACAAATAATTGAAATTTCGTAAAATTAAATATTGTAAAGTAATGAATTTGAAAATTGTCAAAAAACTGTTGCAAAAATTGTTAAAAGAAGAATTTTAGTTAAAAATTTAAGAAAATTTAAAATTCATTAAATTAAAAAAATACTCTACTCGAATTTTAAACACAATAATAATTAGAATTAAATAGAAAAAAAAATTAGAGTCGTAGAATTTTACTTACAGCTTCTCTTGCGCTTTGGAGTTGTTTTTCGGCGCTGATTTTTTTCTTGGTGTAGGATTTGTTTTCGATTTCGTGCGTCATCTGCAACCAGTGCTGCAGGCCGACCGGCGGCGACCAACAACGATCCTCGAGTTCACCTTCAGCACGTTGTAATTCCAATTTTAACATCTTCAAACGGGAACATTTCACATTAAGTACACAAAAACGACGACAACAAAACAAAACGAAACACGTCAACATTTACGAAAAAAAATAAAAAACAGATTCACAATCACTAATTTTTTCCAAAACTTTGACAAAATTTGATTAATATCAACTTTTCAACAAACCTCAATTTCTGCTTTAAGTTGCGAGACCTCGAGATCCGAGTACGATGTATGAAGTCCCATACTTTCGTCTTTTAATCTCTTCTCTAAATTTTGCTTCTCCGCTGTTGCACTTTCCTGCTCAACTCGCGCTCTCTCGAGTTCTTTCTAAATCGAAACATAAATCATTGTTGTATTAGAAATTATTGTCAACTAGCAAATACAGTATTCAATTTATTATTTTACTTCAAATTACAAAAATGTTATAGTTTCAAATATAAATTTCCATTTTTCAATAATTTTAGATTCTAAATTTAAAAAAATGATTCATTAAGTAGGTAATTAATTCTTCTTCTTCATTATTTTTTCACAAATTTTAATAATATTCTCTGGAAGAATACAATTATTCTTATAAAGAATAATAATATTCTCTGATCGAATTTAATTATTTTTATAATTAGTAAATTTTCTTGCAAAAATTCAATTATTTTCAACAAAATTTTAATTAAAGTGTTTTACGAAAGAATTCAATTATTTTTATAAATTGTAAAATTCTACGCAGGAATTCAATTATTTCCTAAAATTTTGATAAAATTCTTCAAAAACAATTCAATTATTTCTATTAATAGTAAAATTTTCAAAAAAATTCAATTATTTTCACAAAATTTTGATAAAATTCTTTGAAACCAAATCAAAATTCTGTGAAACAATTCAATTATTTCTTAAAATTACAAACATTTTCAAAAGAATTCAATTATTTTCCAAAATTTTGATAAAATTCTTCAGAAAAAATTCAATTATTTTTATAATTTGTAAAATTCTTCACAAGAATTCAATTATTTTTATAAATTGTAAAATTCTACGCAGGAATTAAATTAATTCCTAAAATTTTAATAAAATTCTTTGAAATAATTCAATTATTTTTTAAAATTGTAAAATTCTTCCCAGAAATTCAATTATTTCCGAAAATTTGGATAAAATTCTTTGAAACAATTCAATTATTTTTTAATAAATTATAAAATTCTTCGAAACAATTCTATTATTTCTATAAAGAGAAAAAGTAAAATTTATCAGTGAATTTAATTATTTTCCAAAATTTTGTTAAAATTCTTGGAAACAATTCAATTTTTTTTAACATGCTGAATTCTTTGCAAAAATTTGGATAAAATTCTTTGAAACAATTTAATTATTTTTCATAAATTATAAAATTCTTCGAAACGATTCAATTATTTTTACAAATTATAAAATTCTGCTCGGAAATTCAATTATTTCCTAAACTTTTTTTTACAATTCTTCGAAACAATTAAATTATTTTTTAAAATTGTAAAATTTTCAAGAGAATTCAATTATTTTCTGAAATTTTGAGAAAATTCTTCGAAAAAATTCAATTATTTTTATAATTTGTAAAATTTTTCACAAGAATTCAATTATTTTTATAAATCGTAAAATTCTGCGCAGGAATTCAATTATTTCCTCAATTTTTAATAAAATTCTTCAAAACAATCCAATTACTTTTTAAAAATAGTAAAATTCTTCTCAGGAAAATACTGTTTAAAATTGTAATAAAATTGTTCAAAAAGAAATTCAATTATTCTCAAAAGTTTTGATAAAATTCTTTATAAATTTCAAATATTTTCAAAATTTTCAATTCAAATTATTTTAAAAAACTACATTATTTTCAAAGAAATTAAAAGAAATTCTTCTGAAAAATTTAATGAAGTTTTATTTACGAAAACTCCAATTAAATTGTTTAAAAAGAAATTTAATTTTGTATAAATAATTTTAACAAAATTTAATAATAAAATTATTAATTACAATTGTTAATAAACACGATTATTTAGAAAACTTAAAAGAAATTCTTAAAAGTTAATTTTTATTATTTATTTTATTTAATTATTTTATTTTATTATTTTTGCAAAATTTTAAATAAAAATTTTTTTTAAAAAATCCATTATTTTCAGAAAGTTTAATAAAATTCTTGACAAAAATTAAACTATTTTAAAAAATGTTGATAAAATATATATACAAAATATATAAACAAAATTAAAATAATAATAAAAAATAATTTAAATAATTTTTAAAAAAAATTGTCAAAAATACCTGAAGATCTTCGAGAGCAATTTCCGCCTTGTGTAGACTCTCCATATCCTTCATCATTCTGTGAAGATGTTTTTGCGAATTTTTTTTCTGTTGGTACGCGTACCAACAACCAATCAGAGCACCAAATAACAGTGTAATTAACACCAAATCTTTGACATTGTGACCTGTATCTAAAAAAAGCGATAAATTCAATTAAATTCTTTTAGAAAATAATTTTAATAAATTCTTTTCTTCTTAGTAAAAAAAAAAAAAAATTGATAGAAAATTTCATTTTACCTTTAGGTGGGCCGAATAATACGACGTCCATCGCCTTAAGGGCAATTTTTTGCTTATGAATTGGATCCTTGATCCCTAATACGTTACTAAGATAGTGCATGTTATTCACAGCCAATCTAAAAAAATAAACAGTTTATTTAAAAAATAACATATTTAAAAAAATTCGGGTTTTTTCTGGCAACAATTTGTTTAATAAGTTTAACTATTGAAAAATTTTCTAAAACTTAAAAATTTTAGATTGAAGCTAAAATTTTAGTCTTTATTTCAATTTACACCAAATTTTACTTTAGATTTTATTTAAATTTAGAAATTTTACATCAGATTTTATTTAAATTTAGACCAAATTTTACTTTAAATTTTATTTAAATTCAGACAAAATTTTACTTTAGATTTTATTTAAATTCAGACAAAATTTTACTTCAGATTTTCAAAATTTAGTTTCAAATTTAGTTTCAAAATTTCGTTTCTGGTTTAGAATTTCAATTCTTAATGCCAATTTGATTTGCAATTATAATTCTATTTCAAATACAATTTTTAGTCATCTATTTATCGAATTTGAATTTCGATTGTATCTTTAGTATTTTAATTGTTAAAATTTTTTAAAATTGTTGATATTCAACGAAATAGAAAATGAAAGGAAAAATTTACCTGGGAAGAGTCGCACCCGTTACACGGTGCTGAATAAAGTTAGGAATATACTGAGGAAGCTCGACGTTTGTCTTTAGCCATTCGGAAGTTTGCTCAATCGTCCAATTATGAACCTATTAAATAAATAAAAACAAAATTTTACGACACCTCCACATTTAAAAAAAAAAATCCAACATACAATTTAAAAATACTTTAAAAAAAAAATAAAACACGTTAATAATAAATAAAAAGCAATCAAGATAAAGAAAAGGCTAGCAAAAAAGATAAAGAAGAAAAAAAAAATAAATAAATCCAAAAATCAAATTTTTATATAAAAATGAAATTTTTCAAATATAAAGACAAATTGATATTAAATTTAAAAAAATAAAAATAAAAAAGTATTGCGTAATATTTTGGTGATATTTTTTTACCTCGGATTTGAGCCAAGCTTCCCACAATTCTCGAACACTGATTTGCATATCATCATTGTGATGGAAGGCCCTTTGCCTTCTTTCGTAACCCGCTTCATATTGTAATTCTTCTCTCAAAAACTGTTCGAAAACAAAAAAAGCAGCAATTTTTAAGAGAAAATCGATCGAAAATTTCTTCTACAAAAAAAGTGAAGCCATAAAGTTTAGAAGTAATTATTATTATTTAATTACTTGCTATTTATTATTAATTATTTTATAAATTATTTTTTCGATTTTATTATTTTATTTCTTACAAATTTATTTAATTCTAATTTATTATAACATAATTAACTAAAATAATTATTTCAATATTTAATGAAAAAAAAAAAATAAAAACATTAAGTAAAATAATAATGAAGAAAAAAATAAAAAGCATAGATATTAAATAAAAAATAAAATTATGATAAATAACTGTCGTCGTAAATAATAATTAATAAGTGAATAATAAAGAAATAAATACACAGGTAAATAAATCAAAGCAAATAGTTAGTGAAGTATTAAGTTAATTTAATAATTCATTAATTCTATCAATTAAGAAATTATTTAGCAATAAATAATAAATAAAATCGAGTTCAAAGCCGAAAGTCAAGAACTGAGAATAATAAATAATAAATAATAAATAATAAATAATAAATAATAAATAATAAATAATAAATAATAAATAATAAATAATAAATAATAAATAATAAATAATAAATAATAAATAATAATAATAAATAACAGAATTTTAATCTTTAACAAAAAATTATTAATAAATAACGGAATTGAAAAATTATTTTTCAAAAAATAAAATAAAAAAAAAAAATAGTGTGAAATAATTGTGATTAAAAGAATTTATCGTAATGAAAAAAAAAAATGATGAAGAATCACTAATTTCAGAATATTGCGATGGAAAATAAATAGAAATTAAAGAACGAAATGGGTTAATAAAATACTTACATCATCAGATTCTGAGAGATCGACATTTCCATTGGCATCGTCGTCTAGTTGACTGTGAAGAGTTTTGATAGCTTCCAAGCCTAGTCGATCATTGGAGGCCATCGTAAGGCACCCGAGGTCATCGTTACAAGTCTCAGTGCCTTAAAAACAAAACAAAAAAGACGTAAAATAACCATTATTTGAAAATTGAAATAATTTATTCTTTCAACCCACCGGTGAACTCACAAAATAGAAACAATTACAAAACCAGAAAAATTCATTTCATTTTTTTATAACTCCAACAAAAAATATTTAAATACACATTTACTTAAATCAAGTAATTTTTTCTTTTAATATAAAGAAAATTATCGTAAATTTTTTAAAAAGACAAACAAAATTTTTATTTAAACTCAACAAATGTAATACATTATTCTTTCTTTTTTTATTATTATTATTATTTTTATTTACGTTTTTTTATTATTCTTATAAGTAAACATTTTATTTTTTTTTCATAGCACTTTTATTGTCAAATTAAGAGACGAAAGAAATATTTCAAACATTGTGAAATAATTTATTTTCCCCTCTAATATTAATTATTATAAATTATTATTATTAAAAAAAATTTATTTTAATTATTTATTTCCATTAATTATTTTTGTTTATTTTCTAATTAAACCATTAATAACACATTCATGAAAATATCAGAAATCAATTCTCTTTCTTTTTGGCACAAAATTTTTTTTTCTTTTCTTCAACTTTCGTTTATAGAAATAAATAAATAAATTTTCAAGAATAAAAAAAAATTTATTATTACACTATTTATCCACATAAAGTTCATATTTATGAAGAAATAATAATTGCAAAAGAAAAATAATTGTCAATATAAATTCAAATAAGGAAAATTGACAACATACATACATAAACATATATTATATGTTGCGAGAATGTATATACGAAATATAGTAAATAAATGAGGAGAATTGAAAGAGAAGGTTAATTAATCAAAAGACACAAGAAGATATGTCTTGATAAGTGTAATCGATTAAAATGACTCATTGACTTTATATAATGAAAAAAAAAGTTGCAAAAAATTTTTTACATACATCAAATTCGTTTTTCTATTTTACGAGAGAGCCGAAAGAAAAAAATTCGAATTCAAAATTATGTTGCGAACAGAAAAACAGAGTCAAAAACTGATTTTAATTTTAAGTACCTAATAAACTATTTTTCGAAAATTTTCTATTTGTAAATTTTTTTTACACGCTAATTTATTTTCATTCACATATTTTAATCAATAATTAACAAATTAATAAAATTGATTATTTATTTATTCAGATTAATACGTTTTTTTAAAAAATAACCAAAAATTAAATTTGTTTCTTTCGTTTTAAAAATTTATGATAATGAAAAATGAAAATGAAAAAAATAAACAAAAAGCCGCATAAACAAACAATTAGCAAAATTATTATTTATTATCATATACTCAATTTTTTCCCTTAATTTTATTATTAACTATTCTTTTTCGTTACAAAAAACAGGGTTGCAAACAAAAATTTAATTTTGTTGTTTCCGATTTATTTTTAAATCACTTTTTACTAAAAAATTTCTACGATAATTCAATTATTTAAATACAACAATAAATAATTTATTGAATAATTGAATTCTCATAAAGAATTTTATCAAGAAATTTTTAAATAATTTCATTCCTTCGACGATTTTTAATAAAATTTTTAAGAATAATAACATTTTTTGAGAAATTTTGATTAAAATTATATTAAAAATAATTGAAATTTGCTATAAGTTTTATTATTTATGAAAATAATTGAATTCTTTTGGAAAATTTGATTAAAATAAAATAAAAAACATTAAATTCATGAAATTTTTGAAAATAATTGAAATTTTGCCAAGAAATTTAATAAAATTTTTGAAAATAATTGAATTTCAGAGAAGAATTTTATTATTTATGAAAATAATTAAATTTATTTAAAAAATTTTATTAAAATAAAATTATAAACATTAAATTGAGAAAAGTTTTAAAAATAATTGAAATTTTGTCAAGAATTTTATTAAAATTTTTAAAAATAATTGAATTTTGGAGAAGAATGTTATTATTTATGAAAATAATTGAATTGCTTTAAAAAATTGAATTCTTTTAGAAAATTTTATTAAAATAAAATTATAAACATTGAATTAAGGAAATTTTGAAAAATAATTAAAATTTTGAAAAGAAATTTATTAAAATTTTTAAAATAATTGAATTTCGGAGAAGAATTTTATTATTAAAGAAAATTTAATTATTTCAAAAAAAAAATTTATAAAAATTTTGTAAATAATTGAATTTCGGAGAAGAATTTTATTATTTATAAAAATAATTGAATTATTTCCAAAAATTTTATAAAAATTTGTAAATAATTGAATTCTTTTGGAAAATTATATTAGAAAGAAATTATAAACATAAAATTGAGGAAATTTTATGAAAATAATTGAAATTTTGTAAAGAATTTTATTAAAATTTTCAAAATAATTGAATTTCGGGGAAGAATTTTATTATTTATGAAAATAATTGAATTATTTCAAAAAAATTTCAATTAAAAATTTGTAAATAATTGAATTCTTTAGAAAAATTTTATTAAAATAAATTAATTATAAACATTGAATTTAGGAAATTTTTGAAAATAATTGAAATTTTACCAAAAAATTTATTACAATTTTGAAAATAATTGAATGTCGTAAAACCCTGTAAAATAACAATTTTTTATTTATTGCATTTTTTCTTGTTTTTTATTTATTTAAAAAAAATTTGTATTGTATTTTATTTATTTCTTTTTATTTTTTACAAATTAAAAAAAAAATATTTATGATTGCTTTTAATTAAATATTTGTCATTGAAAGAATAAAATACGAATTAACAATATTAAACAATTAATTAATTTATTTATATTTTATTAATTTATATTTATTTATATTTTATTTATTTATATTTTACTTATTTATATTTAATTTTCAATTTTTAATTTAATTTTAATTTTTATTTATTAATAATTATTACTTTATTATTGTTATTATTATTTTTATTATTTATTATTATTATTATTAATATTATTGTTTATTTATTTTAATTATAAAACAGCCCTTAATCCTTTCGCAATAATTGTTACTTATTTATTATAATTATTATTTACTAACATTTTCAAATAATTAATTTTAAAATTCTGAAGAATATTTTGTATTGTAAAAAATATTGATTGTTGCTTGAAATTGATTTTTTTTTTAATAACTTAATAATAATTTTAATTATTATATTTAAATTAATTTAATTTATTTATCAATTAATTTAATTACCTTTTAAAATTCAAATCAGTTTGTTATTTGAATAGAAGAAAATCGTATAGCATAAAAAAAATTTTGAACTTAATTGAAACAAAATGCTCCACGTGACAAATATTACGAAGTCATAACAAAAACATTAAATTCCGAAGCATCTTCATTCTATTCTCCAATGAGTTTTCAATTATTGGAATTAAAAATTAAGAGTACGTAAAAAAGAACGTAAATCATTTTATTACTAAATAGTTTATTCTGCCCTGCGAAATCAAAACATCTTTTTCTTAACGAAATTTTCTTTTAATGGCGAAAAAAAAGTAAATAAGTAAGAAATCAAAGTACAATTTTTTGTAGAATTTTACAGAAGAGAAAGAAAAGATTTTATATTGATAATTGGAGTAAGAATAAAATCTCTAATTTGAACGATAGTTTATTTATTTCTCTATTGTATGCACTTTACAGAAGTTTTACGATAGTTTATTTATATTAAAGGTGGAGAAGTTATAATAGTTTATTTAGTTATTTTTTCTTAAAAATTTCTTTATTTGTTTTCTTTTCTTTCTTTGCGCAATGTTTTTATTTACTTTTGTTTTATTTTTCGTTATACTTTTTGCAAGTGGGATAATTATTTATTAAGGAAAGAAAGGCAAACAAGACAAGTGTAGAATACAATGAAAAAAAATACAAAACGATTTAAAACTGTGGGTGAAAATAAAGAAAAAAAACTTACCAGTTTCGTAGGCAACGGCCTGAGCGAGTCCGTCGGTGAGGCTGGTCGAAAACGAGGACAGCTTCGATGTTGGTGTGTGTGTTGGTCCAGCATAATAACTGGATGTTGAATCGAGAGCACCGCCACTGGCGAGAACATTGACACATCGCCAGGACAATAGATTAAGGCAAAATATTACGACGATATCGGCGATCGCCGCTCGCATTTTAGGTTAGGTTCATCCACCGTGACCACTCTTTTCAATTATAAATATTATATATAGTTCGCGCTCTCCGTTTCGTCTCAACGACGAAAATATTCCGACGGCGAGAGATTATTATTAAGTAAGAAAGCAGAGGGAAAAAAAGGAAACAAAAAGGGGAGAAAAAAAAATACTCAACACTTGTCACCACCACACCACCACCACCACTAACACTATCTCACACTTCTTCTCATCAACTGTACAATTGCGATGTCGCGAAATTCTTTTGTCAAGGTTAACGATTTTTAAAAACGGGGCCCCAAAACTTTTTCGGGCCTGAATTTCTATCAATAAAGCACGTGCCCCCCCTGGGCAATCGACGATTTATGAGAACGGCAAACGCCGCGCTATTGAACTATCAAGATTCCTCTGTGACTCCATTAATGCGGTGCCCGGCTACCACGATCCTTTTTAACGTTTGATTATTTTTACTCGTCGGGATTTTAAGTACACTGCTCCAAGAAAATCAGATGTTCAGTCAAGGCCATCGACCATAGATGACGTTGCAGGAAGTTTCGTACATAGATGGGAAAACTCAATTTTTTCTCGCATATCTTCAGAAACAGGGTTGGGACGTTCGGAAGAGTGTTCGGAGTAATAAAGGTGCCGTCACACGGTCATTTATCAAACTGAATCAAATTTAGGGGCTTTTTACAAGTTTTGAATTAAAATAGACATTGAAAATTTAAATAGACATTGTTTCAAAACTTAATTAATGATTTTTAATAAAATATTTAATATTTATTTAATATTTTACTTTAATAAAAATTCCTAAAAGAATTCAATTATTAAATAAGTAAAGTGTTTTTGAAGAGCACAAAAATAATGAAGCTAAATGACATAAAAAAAGAAGAAAAAATAATGAATTTTAAGAAATTTGGTTTTTTGAATTTTTTCGAATTTTTGATAATTTTAGATTTTTTACCAAAGGTTGGAGACTATTAAATAAGTAAAGTATTTTCCAAGAGCCTAAAAATAATGAAACTAAATGACATAAAAAAGAAGGAAAAATGTTAAATTTTAAAAAATTCGGTTGTTTGAATTTTTTCGAATTTTTTAAAATTTTGAATTTTTTACCAAAGGGTTAAAACTTTTTAATAAGTAAAGTATTTTTGAAGAGCACAAAAATAATGAACCTAAATGACATAAAAAAGAAGAAAAAATAATTAATTTTAAGAAATTCGGTTTTTTGAATTTTTTCGAATTTTTGATAATTTTAGATTTTTTACCAAAGAATCGAGACTATTTAATAAGTAAAGTATTTTTGAAGATCACAAAAATAATGAAGCTAAATGACATAAAAAAGAAGGAAAAATGTTAAATTTTAAGAAATTCGGTTTTTTGAATTTTTTCGAATTTTTTAAAATTTTGAATTTTTTACCAAAGGGTTAAAACTTTTAAATAAGTAAAGTATTTTCCAAGAGCCCAAAAATAATGAAGCTAAATGACATAAAAAAAGAAGAAAAAATGTTGAATTTTAAGAAATTCGGTTTTTCAAATTTTTGATAATTTTTAATAATTTTATATTTTTTACCAAAGGGTGGAGACTAAATAAGTGAATTTTTTAAATTTTGAATATAAAATTATTTTAAATTATTTATATTTGAAAATAAAAAATTTTGTAATTTACTTTACAATAATAAATTGAATATCATGTTCCACGCGTATCATTTGCTAGTTTATTTATATATTAAATATGATACAAATAATAAAGACAAGGAATTTTTAGTTAAATATTAAAATCTTTTATTCATTGTAGTTCATTTTGTAATTTTTTTTCATTTTATTAAAAAAATATTCAACATAAATAATCGCGTATAGAAATATATAAAAATATTATGGTTTTTTAAAAACCGGAATAACAAAATAAGACCATATAATGATACTTGGGGTTAAAAATAGGTACTTTCTTTTATAATGTCAAATAATGCTTGTATCTCTACATCCTTCTCCAGATTTCTTAGATAATATTATTTATTTCCCTTTTCATAAAATAGAAGAATAGTAAATACGTCTGAAGACCGTTGGTGCATTTTTACCAGTTTTAGTCAAAAGATCCAACATTAATGGCAAATCAATTTTATTTTTTTCCAGATTCATGAGAATTGCACTTTTATTTCCTTGCGAATCAAACCAAAGTTTATATAAATCTTGAAAAATTTCTGTTGTTTCATTACCCGTAGCTTTTAGAACTTTAAACAGTTCTTGTAAATTAACTTTCTCTTTTTCGAGAATATCGAAACATTCCGTTTTCTCACCGATTGAATCAAAGAAAATATCGTGGAATTCTTTAATATTTTCAGCAGCATTGAAACCCGATTCTCTGAAAACAGAACTAATCTTTCCTGGATTTATTTGATTTTTTTCGAAATTTATCAAATAGTGAGTTTTATTGCCTGTTGCATCGAACCAAAGTTGATGTAAATTTTCAAAAGCCTTCACTGCATTAATTCCTGAGCCATAAAGAATGGGTAATATTTCGGATAATTTCACTTTTGCTCGATATAAAATTTTTAAGCATTCATTCATTTTACCGCTTTCGTTAAACCAAAGGTTGTACAGTTCCTTAAATGATTTGATGATTTTAATCGGAGATGTTATTCCTTGGAAAACTGGTGCCAAATTATCCAAAGAAATACCGTTTCTCTGAAAAACTTCCACATACTTTTTTCCTTCTTCATTAATTAAAAAATATATAAGTCCTGCAAACTCTAAACTTTTTTCATGAAAATGAAAAAATTTAACGAAGCTAATCTCCTTCTTGTGGTGTAATTTAGAAACTTGGAATGTAATGTCCTTTGGCAAATCATTACTGTTAATAACACTTTCTTCCATTAATATCGTATCTCTATTTTTATCTAAAGTTGATTTCTTTTTGTCTTCTTCTTTTTTTGATGATTCTCCACTTTTTTCCATTTTCATGTTCTGTATGTCCTTCAATACTGTATTCAATTTTTTTCCTTCTGTTCCTATGCTCTGTTTCTTTTCCAAATCATCAGAAATTTTAATCATCAGTTCCTTTGTCAATTTATCATTTTCATGCGACTGTAGATAAAATAATCCAATTTTGTACAATTTTCAATAATCATAAGGCACTTTCGGCTTATGAAGCTTATATTTTATATCTTGATCGAGAGTTTTACGCAATTTTTTACAACTTTGTTGATTCGTGGCAAAAACAAGTTTATTCAAAAATATTTTCTTTAACTCAATATCTTCACTTTTTTGAAGAAATTGCGCATTTTTCCCTCTTTCTTCACCTGATGAAAATTTGTACAAGTTCTTAGAGTTTAAATGACTGAGAATTGAATATTTTTTATCAGCGATATTTATTTTGGTAAATTTTTGACTATCGGTAGAATCATGTGAAACTAAATTATTTCCTGTGATCAACTCTCGAAGGAAGGCAATATCGACGTTTGTGTAAATAACATAAAAGTCGGTATTTTTATCCACTTGGTGGAGAAAGGAATCAAAATGAGCATCAATGGAAAAAATATCTCGTTTTTTGACTTCCTGAAGTGATAATCTGTTGAGATCAATTTCAAGTGCATTGATTTGTAGAATTTTGTTATTAACCTCAATCACGATAGTGGGAGATTGAATTCTCTCTTCGAATCGAATAGAGTCGATATTTTTATTTTGAAACATTGTGTGAGCGTAGAAGACGAATAAATTAAAACTATACACCATTGATCTTAGGTATTCGCAATCTTTTAGTTTTACATATTCCCCGTTTTTTATCAATTGATCCAAAACTTCGTCTCTTGAATTATCACTTTTCTTCATCTCCCGTCGAACCGTATCGCCAATTTCCTCTATTGTCCCTTGATTCACGGCGAAGATTAATCGTTTAAAAAAAGCTCTTCTTACTTCTTCCGGAGAAAAGCCTTTCTTCTTCATTTTACTTCTAATCTGCCGATTAAACGCCACCAAATTCTCCAGAATTTTTCTTGTCTCCTTACTATCATCGAATCGATAAAATTTTCCCCTACTTCTAAAGAACTGAATTAAATTTTTATCAGTCTTTGGATTTACCTCATTAAATTTAGGTTGTTTAGAAATATTTTCCGTTTGTTTGAATTTCCCACTTTTTGTGATATCTAAATCCCCATTCGTGAAGATAATTAAATATTTCGGTGTTGATGCTGAAGAAATAGAATCTGATTTTTTGAGTAATTCGGCTGCAAATTCGTTCAGGTATTTTCTAATATTAAATTTTCCCTCAATTGAAGAGAAAAGGGAATTGTAATCAAGACACTTTTGTGAATAATGAGTATCGAATTTTTAGATACGGATGTCCTGAGTAAAGATAACGCGGATAATTCTAATTGATACATGAGACTTAATAAGCGATGAGGATGAGTATTCTCGAATTCATTCGGAGGACAACTGGCATCTTTTTTTTTAATTTCTAATTTTTTTTCCATCTTCGGTACTATTGAGTTGATGAATAAATTTTGATTGTTGTCGCAACTTATAAAAATCTGCAATTGAAGAAAAAATTATGTTTTTGAGTCAATCGATTATATTTCCAAATTCGTTACTATTTGTAACGAAGAAGAAATTAAGGTACCTAAAGAGTCATAATTTTTAAATTCTATTTGATGTTTTAGACGTAAATAAAGAACCCTGCTGGAAGTAAATAGATAGAAACCTTTTCTCTTTTAATCCCTTTCTATTGCTAATATAGAAAGAGATATGAATATTGTATAACTTTTAATCTCTTACCTATACTTCTTTATGCCTTTCTATTCCTACCTTTATCAACTTGTTCGCTATTTCTTTTAATCACCTTTTTTGAATAACTTTTAATAGCCATTTTAAACCCTTCTATCTCTTTTTATATACAATCTTATTACAACTTTTTGATATCCCTTTCAATCACCTTTTCTCTATTACTTTTAAAATCCTGTCTATTTCCTTGTATCTCTTTTAATGTTAGACCTTATAGACACTATTCTTTATGCCTATTAATAACCTATTCTCAATACCTTTTAATAACCTGTCTATAAACTTTTATCTCTTTTTATGACAGAAGTTCTCGATACTCTTCTTTCTCCTCATTTATAACCTTTTTTTAATAACTATTGATATCCTATTTATACCCTTCCATCGCTTTTTATGTAGGATCTTATTAACATTATTTATTACCATTATTCCCATTATTTAGATAGAAAAAGATAGAAATGCGAGACTGCAAAACTATAAACCTTTTTTATTCCTTTTTATCATTCTTCTTTTCCGAATGTTATTTCTTTAATCTTCTTTCAATCCCATATTCTATCTCCTTACTTCATTTAGAAGAGATAGGGATAGTTAAGAATATGGGGATTTGAGGAGATATAATAAGATTATCTCTTCTAATCTACTATAGTATATCCCTTTCTATATACATACTCATAAACTTATACGCGCATGCGTCGATCTTCCCAGCTGTTATGTGTCATGGCGTCGGGTCAGTAGATCAGAAAGCGTGTTTTATGCACTGTGCGATTTTACGTTTTTGTTTGAGTTTATAACTTCCATATTTTTAAAGTTTATTGTAAATATATTTAATCAATAAATGTTTATCAGTAATGGACAACCAAAATTAGTTTTAAACTCACACAGCATCGAAACTTTTCTAAAAATTTATTAAAGATTTACTTGCAAATTTTTTATAGTTAATCGTAATGAATTAGAACAACACGATTAAGAAACTCAATTAACAACAATAGAGAAAGTTTTTAATTGAAATTAATCGATTTCTTCTATAAGGGATATCTCCTTTTTTACTTTCCTTTGGATTAGAAAGGATGTGAAAATGGATAGAGGAAGACAGAAATGTATGAATAGAAAGAGATTGAAAAGTTCTATCTTCTTTAATTCACCACTTTGCATCCCCAATTTTTTATCTCTTTCTATATATTTTTTTCTATATATTTCTATATCTAAAACTGTATATAAAGAGATTAGAAGGGATAAAAAGAGATATAAATATAAAGTTATAGAAAGAGATAAAAAATTTGTATCTCTTTTAAGTATCCATTTTGCATCTCCAAACTATTATATCTTCTAATCTTTTTTTTATCCCCTTTTTTTAATCTCTTTGTATCTCTTTACTTCCAGCAGGGAATAATAATGTTTAATTATTAGTTTTCATTGAAGGTTATAAATTTTTACTTTAAATATAACAAACATAACCTATAATTTTTTGCTGCTTAGATACCTTTCCTTTCTTCATAGTGATAATCACATTTTTAGAAAATGTTTAGGCATTTACATTAAAAATCAGAAAATAGTCAATAAAATTTCTTTATTTTGATGATAGATAATAAACACAAGATTCAAATATAATAAACAATAGTAAGTAGAAAAGTTATTCAATAAAACGTACATGCTTTACTGGAAGAATCAACTCATTTCTTCATTGGTCCTTTTGTTTACCGCCAGACGGTTTAATTTGATGATTTATTTTGATTAATTCCTTTTTTATTATTTGAAAAGTTGAATTGTTTAATTTATTAAGTTCAATGAAACTGAAATTATAAAATATTTAATACAATAATTGACGTATACACCTTTTAATATTTAAATATAATTTATATAATTTAATATTTTAATATTTAAATAATATTAATATATTAAGGATATTGGAGCAAAAAAGGTATTTAAAAATGTCGATTAAAAATGGCGGTTAAAGGTAATAATTTTTTTGAAACTAATTTTTAATCTCCGATGAAGTATATAAGTACTAACAGCCATTTTTTAAAAAGGTTTCTTCTTATATTCCAACAATGTTAATATTATAAAATAATTTGTTTTCTCTTCAAAAATTTAACAAATATTTAATATTTTATTTGAGCTAAACAGATTATTGACAAATTATTTTCAAACCTTACCAGTTTTTATACAAAAATAAATATTTTAAAATTTTTTTCCTTAATTTTAGTAGTGTTTCTGGTACTTTTTCTTTGCAAACTTGAAAATTTGAAAAATTTTGGAAATTGATTAAATGGCGGCCATTTTTCGAAAAATCAAAAACCTATTTTTAATGTAATATTTTATTAATAATAAAAGTTTAAAAATTAACATACATTTGAGTTATTTAACTTTTTTTTAAATGAATGATGATTTGCGGTTCTTTTTTGGAAAAAGTTCCTTTTTTTATCAAAAAATTTGCAGAAAAATAAAAAAAAAAGATGTTTTTGAAAAAATTGAGTTTTTTTCGAAAAATGGCCGCCATTTTGTTAATTTTTAAAATTTTTCAAATTTCCAAGTTTGCAAAGAAAAAGTAGCAAAAACGCACTACTAAAATCAAGAAAAAAATTTTTTTTAATTTTGTAAAAACTAGAAAGATTAGAAAAATAATTTGTCAGCTGTTCAGGCTCTAAAATCACGATATGCCCTTAAATTTTCAAATAATACTCATAAAATCAGTGAAAACATTTTTTTTTCGCCAAATAAAAAAATACGTGTCTCTTATTTATTTGTCTTGAAAAACAAGAAAAATCACTGATCACATTAAACTTGATTTAGAATTTTCAACCTTTTCGCCCTGCATGAATTGAAATATAGAAAAACAGTCTTCTTTAGAAATTGAAAAAATTTATGAGACAAAAAGTGTTGGTTTTAAAATAAAATTATTTTGAGAATATTATTTAAAGGATGTAAATGTAACTTACATAATTAATAAATTAATATCCTATAATAGTTGAACGGTGAACGTGGGTTGAACGAAACGTGTTTCGAATAGAAATAAAAGAACATAACCTATCTGGACATCTGGTCCACCTCCAACTGGCTGCGGTTACACCTCTGCAGGCTGCCTGCCTGCGCAGGCAGGAGCAACGAGAGTAAGGGAGAAGTTTGAAGTCACTGACTCTCTTACTCTTGTACGTTACCATGACAACCTGCAGGCAGGCAGGCTGCCTGCAGAGGTGTAACCGCAGCCTAAGGCTATATTCACAATAGATTGCTGTGTACTTGCCTTTACCCCTGCAGGTGACGCATTTGAGAATTGAGAGGTTTAAATCAAATTATTTAATTTTTATAAACTTTATTAAATGAATAATATTAATTTTATAATTAATTTAAAAGTTTTAAAGTTTTAATAGTTAATGTGTCCACATACACAATAAATGAAATGAAATCGTCATCAAGAATTCAAGAAAGTGAGGAGGTGTCACAATTCGGAGGTTCTTCGAAATATTCACTCTTATTTTTGTACACTACACTCCCAACCCTGGCATTGTTCAATAAGTTTTTTTTTGCTGCTTGTTGTCACTTGTCAGTATTTTATTGTTGCTTTTTCTCGATTTTAAATACTGACAAATACTACAAGCAAAAAGAAAATATTTCTGCTTTTGGTAAAGTACGTCTTTATTTCGAAATCGAAATTAAAAAAAAGTGATTCGACTTTTTTTTTGTATATTTTACATTTACAAGTTATTCACTTAGTTTGTGATGTAAAAAAGATCCTTGTTTAAAGAAGGTAAAGAATTTTAATAATGAAAGTAGTTAATTTTGAAATAAAACTCATTTTATTAAGTAGACGTTTATGTAAAATCAAATTATATCATTTATGTGATTTTAAATTTTTTAATTTGATAAAATTACGATAATATTTTTAAACAAAAACCGTTAAAACATTCTCCTTTCTGTGAAGTGCGCTGCGCTTTTGATAAAACTGACAGTTTTGTTTACACAATCACAAAAATGATCATAAAAATTAGAATAAATTTACAAAAAAATATTTTATTTTTAAAAAAATATACTAATTTAACACATTTAATAATCGTTTTCTAAATAATTATTTGCTAACAAAATAACTGCGAGTTGTAATTAATTTTTCGTCTCTTTTCGATATTTTCTATTTACAAACGTTACAAAATCTTTAAAATTATCCGCAAATAAAACATACCCAATATTTTATTTATATATTTATTTATTTATTTTTATGAATTTCAGTTACACGTTTTCATTCGTTATCAATGAATTCTAAAAAAATGAAAAAGCGACCCAACTCGGATGGGAACAATTGCGATGTACCTAAAAAGAAATTATTAAAAGAGAATTGTACATCCGTAGAGCAAAAGAAAACAATTAAAGAGTCTGTTACTAAAAGAAAAGCAACGGATGAATTAATTGGTTATGAGAATAAGAAAAAATGTAGGTATTTCAATAATTAATATCACTTTAAAAATTATGTATAAAATTTTTTTCTCTATCTAATTTTAAGAACTGCAATTATTTACAAAAACCTATTTTTCGAATTGAAATAATATTTAAGATCCACTTTTAAAATTATACCTAATAAAATAATTAAAATTTATATTTTTAAAAATTATTTAAAAGAAAATTTTAATTATTTTATTATAATTTTAAAAGTGTATTTTAAATATTATTTTAATTTGAAAAATAGTTTTTTTTAAAAATTAAAAGTATTTTTCAAACCAATTTTCAAACTAAAATATTACTTTTAAAATCCATTTTTAAATTTAAATTCACATTTAAAACTTATTGTAAGAAATTAAAATTATTCTTAAAATCTATATTTTCAGACTAAAATTATTTCTAAAGCTAAATTCTAAAATTTAAATTGTTTATAAAATCGCTTTTCAAAATTAAAGACTATTTTTAAAAAAACTAAAGTTTTTTAAAAGTCCATCGTAAAAATTAAAATTATTCCGAAAATTTATTTTTCAACTAAAATTATTTACAAAACCTATTTTTAAAATTTATTTTTCGAATTAAAATAATGTTAAGATTATAGGTAATAAAATTTTATTTTATTTTATATTTTTAAAACTTATTTAGAAGTTAATTTTAAAAAAATTTTAATTATTTTATTATAATTTTAAAAGTGGATTTAAAAAATCAATTTTCAAACTAAAATTACTTTTGAAACACATATTTTTAAAATTAAATTCATATTTAAAACTTAGATATTGTAAGAAATTAACATTATTCTTTAAATCTATATTTTCAAACTAAAATTATTTCTAAAAAAATAAGTTTAAAATTTTATTTAAATAAGTTTCTAAATTTTCTTTTTTCAAAATAAAGACTATTTTAAAAAATTAAAGTTATTTTTAAAATCTATTCTTAAATTAAAATTATATTTTAAATCGATCGTAAAAATTAAAATTATTCCTAAAATTTATTTTTCAACTAAAATGACTAAAATTATTTCTAATTCTGCTTTTTAAAATGAAAATGTTTTTCAAAATATTTTTTCAAAATTGAGACTTTTCTTTAAAAATAAATTATTTTTAAACTCTCTTTTCAAAATTAGGATTATTTAAAAAAAAATCAAAGTTATTTTTAAAACATATTCTTAAATTTAAAATCTATCGTAAAAATTAAAATTATTTCTAAAATTTATTTTTAAACTAAAATTATTTATATAAAACCTCTTTTTTAAAGTTAGAGATATCTTTAAAATATATTTAAAAATTTACAAATTTTTATTAAATTTTACATTGTTTTCAAGATTTTTTTTTAAAAATAAAGATTTTTATAGCATCGTCGTCTTTATCTCAAAGATAATTTAAAATTTTTACTGATATTCAAAGTTTTTATTAATTTTTCATATAAAAAACTTTTTAAATATTTTTTTAATTTAATAATTTTTTATATATTTTTCTTATATCATTTTTTACATTATTTTAATTTTTAAAATAGTTTTTTTTACATTATTTTTCTTATTTATTTATTTTTTAATTTATTTTTTTACGTTATTATTTTTTTTCATTTTAGAAATTTTGTAGTATTAAAAAAAAGAACGCTGTTACATTATATTTTTTAAATTACGTTAATATTTTTTAGAAAATAATTTCTTTTGATAAATATGAAAAATTTCCAATTCAAATTTAAAATTTTGTTTCTTTTTAATTTTAGGTGCTGAGACATCGTCAAATAAAAAAGCATTCACAAATTATAACACGATGCATGCGGATGCTTTGGAAAGAACAATGAAATTAAAGGAAAATGTGAGAAATTTGGAAAAAATCCAAAACACCTGGACATTTGATGAACTCAAAAATTCTTATCCTCATCGTCTATTGAGCCTCATGTATCAAATAGAATTATCAATATTGTGTTTAATCAAAAAATCAATTTTCGAAAATTCCACTCGTCAAGTATTTTTCGAAAATTCCACATCCGGTCAATTCAATAACATTTCTCTAAAATTTAATAATGAGGCCTTTCAAATAATGGTACAGCACATTGATACTTATTATTTAAAAGAATGCTTGAATTTCAATTCTTTTTTTTCTACGAGACAGGGGAATTTTACTCTTCGCAATTATTTGAATGAATTTGCCTTTCAATTTTGTTACTCGAGTTTGGAGAAACAATCGAATTATTTGATTCTCTATACAAATGGAAATTTGGATTTGACTGAGGATGGAAAATTAAGGCATGATGAATTGAAAAACTTGGAGTTCGTCGAACTGACTTTGGAGACTGATCCAAATTTGATAAATTTACTCAAGGGGACAAATAATAATGGCAAGGAGAGTAATTCTTTCTATCGATTTGCAAACAATCAGGCGACAAAGAGTGACTTGAAATTTTTAGTTAAATTTACGAAGAGTATGGAAAGTTACATAATGATGAAAGGTTATTCTTTTAGTGAAATAAGAGATGCTTTTTTTGAGCGATTAATATTTGCCGTCAATCAGCCGTCGATTGAGGAGATTGTCGAAATTGTCCGAACGGAAATTAGAGGAACGAGGGAAAATTATAGTTTACTTCGTAATCGAGTGTTACGACAATTGAAAGCAAGTGACGACAAGAGTAGAAAAAAGTTGCAAAATTTATCCTCAATTGTCTATAGTTTCGATCTATTTAATCTTTGCGTTCACGATACGTTCGTGAATAAAAATCCGATTAAATTTCACGATACGTTTGAATCCTGCGATATTGCTGTTAATTTAAAATCGAGTTTCTTGTATCTCCGGGTGGTTGATGCTGATGTTATTCACTTGCCGATTGAGGATTATATCAAGCAACAAGAATCGTTTGCTATCGATTCTCAGTTTGCTTTCTTTCTCCAACATTTGGATGAGGACCTCGAGTATTTTGTTATTTACACAAATGGAAGTCTCCCATTGATTGAAGATTTGATACTGGGGACGAAATTCAGAAATATTGCGGATGTTTTTTGTCGAGTCGATACCAACAGGGAAAAATATTCCCCCCTTCGGCAAACGTACATAAAGAGCGATAATAATAATCTCTATCGTTTTACGGAAAAAGCAAAACGGGGATTGTCACCAATTCTTAATTCATTCTCTGCTTTGAAGAAAACGGAAAAATTAGCCCACCTTTCGAAGAGTGAGATCAAGGAATTATTTCTTGACAAAGTTATTTTCGCCGTCAAGCAGTATGATTCGGAGGAGATTTACAAAAGGCTGGAGAAAAGTTCGAGTTTAAATTGTACCCAACTTGCGAAAATAGCATTTTGTTTTCTAAAAAGAAGAAGCAATGGTTCGTTGACGAAAGGGAAGATATTTACGTTTTTGAAAAGTCCACAATCAAGTAGTTTCGAGACTTCAAGTGAGGAAATCGAATTAGCGGAACGGGTGTTAATTCTACAGGAGACGCAGGAATTTTCTCAATTTATGGAATTTTTGACTAAAGGGATCGGAGGGGAGTGTTTGGATACTTATCGGGAGAATGGAATTAAAATTTCCTCCATCGCTCTAATTCTCTCTGGTTCGAAGAGAAAGGGGGCGAAGAAGGTTTTCCTCGATTTGTACAATTTATTATTCACTCGCAAGCGCAATAAATCGAGATTGTTGCATCTTTTCGAAAAAGCCGGATTTACTGTCGAGATGTTGGCGAAGATTTTCAATGGTTCGGGTTCGAAGGCGCCGGAAGTACTTAACGAACTCTATCAACATTGGTTTTGTTCCGAAAGTGATTGCTTGTCCCCCTTGAGATTGGAGGGAATCGACGCTGAGAAATTAACGATTCTTTTGGAAGAAACAGGAGCCGAGTGTTTAAAAAAATTCCACGAACTCAACGCTCTTTGGTTCGATACCTTAGGAAAGAAAACGGACCAATTGGAGCTTTTGGAGGAAAATGGAATTAATCTCAAGATTCTCTTTTCTATTTTGTTCGTTACGGATTCTACCGATCTGAACAAAACCTTTCACTACCAAAGTTTGTACGATCTTTGGTTCAACGAAAATGGTGAGATGACCCCACTGGTGAAAAATTTACAAAACTTGGGAATTGGATTGAAGAATATCGCCTCGGTTCTGATTGGTTCAGGAAAGGCCGCTGCCGAAGTGTTTCAAAAATTGTACCATCTTTGGTTCGATTATAAGGAGCGGAAAACGGTCTATTTGTTAAAATTCGAAGACGAAGGAATTCCTCTGCGGCTTATTTTTGATGTTCTCGCGAAAACGGGTGAGAATATCGTTTCCACTTTTCTTCAACTCTATCGACAGTGGTTCGAACCTGATGGCACAAGAACCCAATGTCTAAAAATTCTCGAGGCGAATGGCATTTGTTTGGGGGACGTCTGCAAACTTTTGTGCAATGAAGGCTCCCAGGTGAAGACATTCGAAAATATCTACCAGTCCCTGAGTCCTCAGTTTTCGCCAAGGGAAATAAAAACAGAAATTGAAGAAGTCGAAATTCAAAATCTTGTAGAAACGGAGAAATTGGAAATTGGAGAAATTGCAGAAAAAACTCTACAACCCGAACATTCAGAACAAGAGAAAAACACTGAAGAAAGCGTGGAAGTAAAACTAGAAATTGACGACACAGTTCAAATGGAAAATTTCGAGAAAGAGACGAACACACTTCTAAGGGAGATAAAGCAGGAAATTAGCAACGTAAAAGTGGAAATCGACAGTGACTATGAAATTTTCTGCAATGATTCCTTCATTGAAAGACTAACCACCGATTATATGGAGATAATACAATCAGTGGAAATACAATCAGATAAATCGGAGGAAATCAATAATTGCACGGAGAGGCGAAAAACAATTGCTTCGAGGAACAATTCAAAAGCGAAAATTCACAAAAAGGAAAGTAAATTCATAAAAATTGTTTCCAGTTTCAATGATGAATTTCCGGAGGATTCGGAATTATTAAAATTTCTCCTCGAGGGCGACGGGAGACGTTACTTGAAAGTTTTGCGAAAGAACAAAATTCCCTGGAAGTTGGTAGCAAAAGTCCTCAATGGTTGTTCTTCAAACGCAGAAGTAGTTCAAGAATTTACAAATTTGTACAAACTCTGGTTCAATGACAGTGGAGAACAAAGAACCAATCTCCAATGTTTGGAAAAATCGAACCTAAAATTGAGACATTTACTAAAAATTCTAATTGGTTCGGGAAAACAAGCTTCGAGGGAATTTGAAAATCTGCAGCAAGTTTTGATCGATTCTTCAGGTGGGAAAACTTTGCAATTGAAATCCTTTGAGGAAAATGGAATCAACTTTGGAAGAATACAGAAAGTTTTGAAAAAAACAGGCGATGGAGCGGCTCAAAAATTTTTAATTCTCTACGAGCTTTTCTTCGATTCTGACGGAGGAGAATCATTCTACTTGAAAAATGTAAAAATTGAGAATCTAACTTTGGAAAAATTGATGAAAATCCTTTATAAAACGGGTAGGAAGGCAGATCAACTATTTTTGGAGATCTATCAAATCTTTTTTAGCTTCAAAGGAAACAAGAATGCGATTCTTCTCGATTTCGAAAAAAATGGTGTCAATTTAGCAAAGATTGGCAAAATTCTATCAAAAACAGGAGAGAGGGCAATCGAGATTTTCGAGAATTTCAGTCAATTTTTCTTCGATCGAGAAGGAAGGAAACAAAAACATCTGTTAATTTTGGAACAACAAGTGCCTATTGGAACGATACTCGAAATTGTCGACGACGATGAAAAGGATTTCAACTGTATCGAAGAATTATACGATATTTGGTTCGATTCGAAAGGAAATCCCTCTTATTGTCTCCAGAGTCTCGAGGAACTCGGAATAAATTTAGAATGTTTGACTAAATTCCTAAAAGGTACCGGCAACCATGCTTCAGAGATATTCTGCAGAATTTTCCTCTATTTATTCGATCAGAACGGAAATAAAACCCTACAGGCAATGAATTTGGAGAAAATTATTGAATTAAGGGCAATGTTCGAAATTGTAACTGGAGCAAAAAAAGGGGTTTTCGACATTTTTGTGGAATTGTATAACATGTGGTTCGATTCGCAAGGAAGGAAAACAAATCGACTTTTAGTTTTGGAAAAAAATGGGATTAGTTTAATGGATATTTCGATAATTTTAAACGGATCGGGAGCAAAGGCTGTTAAAAGATTTAAAACACTTTCCGATTGCGTCACTAAGAGGAAATTAAATAAATACAAACTATTTATTCGACTTTTTGAAAAAAAGTAAAACCAAATGCAATGCTCAAAGAATGCTTTTAATATTGTTCAAAAAATTGTATATTTTATCTTTTTTTTTTTGCCGTTATTTAGTATTGTACTCGTAGATCAACAGTATTTTTAAACTTTTATATTCGAGTCGGTAGAGTAAATATTGATGTATAGATTTTTTTAAATAGATTTTAAGATCTGCAATAAAATACCTACTTATTAAATTTGTTTATTTCTTTAGAATTAGAATTTCTAATTTAAAAAAAATTGATAAATAAATCATTATTTTATAAAATAAAAGAATATTGTTACTGTAAATTCATAAAAATTATTTTCATTTCAATTCAAATATTTTGTTGAATTTAAAACTAAAATTCTTCTTTAAATTAATTATTTTTAATAATTTTTGAAAAACTTCTTTGAAAATCTTCAAATTTTTTCAAATTTTTTTTTTTACAATTCAATTTTACGAAATTTCATCGATTATTCGGAAATTCTTTAATTAAATATATTATTAGAAAATAAAAACTTGAAATAATTTCAAAAGAGTTTCAATAAATTTTTTTAAAAAACAATTAAATCTACACAATTTTCAGTTAATTAAAAGTATGAAAAATTCAAACATTCAAAGATTATAATTTGAAACTTTTTCAAAATTCAATTATTTCTGAAAAATTCACACTCTAATGCTTTTAATATTCAATTATAATCTTAAATTTAAAATGAAATTCATATTTAAATCAATTTTTTTATTAGAAAATTCTACGAGAATTCAATTATTTAAATACAAATAAAATGCAAATAAATAATTTATTGAATAATTGAATGTTTTTTAAAATTGAATTTTTTTAACGAATTGTAATAAAAATTTTTAATAATTTCACTTTTTCGAGAAATTATATTAAAACTGTATTAAAAATAATTGAATTTCTGTAAAAAAAAAAATTTGATTGAATTAAGAAAAGTTTTTGAAAATAATTGAAATTTTGCCAAGGATTTTATTAAAATTTATGAAAATAATTGCATTAAGAAAAATTTCTGAAAATAATTGAAATTTTGCCAAGAATTTTATTAAAATTTTTGAAAATAATTGAATTAAGAAAAGTTTTTAAAACTAATTGAAATTTTTGAAAATAATTGAATTAAGAAAAATTTTTTAAATTTTGCCAAGTTTTATTAAAATTTTTGAAAATAATTGAATTAAGAATGTTTTTTTGAAAATAATTGAAATTTTGACAAGAATTTAATTAAAATTTTTGAAAATAATTGAATTAAGAAAAGTTTTTGAAAATAATTGAAATTTTGACAAGAATTTTATTAAAATTTTTGAAAGTAATTAAATTAAGAAAAGTTTTTGAAAATAATTAAAATTTTGACAAGAATTTTATTAAAATTTTTGGAAATAATTGAAATTTTGCCAAGAATTTTATTAAAATTTTTTGAAAATAATTGAAATTTTGATAAGAATTTTATTAAAATTTTTGAAAATAATTGAAATTTTGCCAAGAATTTTGTTAATATTTTTTTATGAATTTGAATAAAATTTTTAAGAATAATTACATTTTTTGAGAAATTCCATTAAAATTGTATTAAAAATAATTGAAATTCTACTGATGATTTTCATTATTTATGAAACTATTTTTAAAAATATTTTCAAATAAATTTTGAACGATAATAGTTTTTCAATTTTGAAAAATTTCCAAACAATTAAAATTTGCTGTAATATATTTTGATAATTATTATTATTTTTGAAAATATGTAATTAAAAATATTGAATTTTAAAAAATTAGAAGATTATTTTTATTTTTAAATTTACTTTTAAAGATTTTTCATTAAAATGTTTGATACTTTATTCAATTATTTTCAAAATTTGCAATTTTGTTGGAAGGAAAGATGAAAAAGTCGCAATTTTTGAAAATAAGTCGGAAAAAGTCTACACTCACGATGTGATCGTACCCTTATATTATGAATTACTTCAGAGTTCAGAAGTGTCATGTGCCATTGAAACTCAGGTTATGTTATTGTTATTTTTATTCAAAACACGTTTCGTTCAACAATTAGGACATTAATTCATAAATTTTGTAAGTTACATAAACAAATTTAAACATAATTATTCTTTTATAATAATATTTTCATAACTTTTTATTTTAAAATCAACACTTTTTGTCTTATTAAATTTTTCAATTTCTATTATAAGAATTTTACATCAAAATAAAATAATGATCTATAAATAGTTGATAAATTTTTGAAATGAAAACATAGTGGCTATTTTATATTATTATTAATAGAAGAATATTCGAGTATTTTAGAATATTGATGAATGTATTAATAGATTGAAAAATTACTCTTTTTCTAAAATACAGGTTAACAATTACATTAAAATCAAATCTGGAGAATATGTCCAGAAAATATTTTAATCTTAAAAAATAAAATATACAATTAGAAGGAAAATCAGTTATATGTTTGTGAGTGCACTGTGATATTCATGAATATTATCTACTTATCTCTATTGTCATAGAGAGTTCATAAGTGCGAGTTAAGGAAAAATGTTTTTGCCCAACTGAGAAAAAGGTAAAATATGTATTTATATATAAATGAAAATATATATTTAACATAAAATCTAAATTAAAAATTCATTATTATTATTATTATTTAAAACTGAAATTAATCGTATTAGTGATTTTGTTTTAGTAATAAAGTTTTTATTAGAGTCAATTAGAGTCCAAAAACAAGAGATCTGTTTTTAAAATTATGTTCGCCGGCTAACATAACCTTAAAACTGAAGTAAAAGCGGTAAAGGAGAAGGAGAAGCATAAATGAACTTTAAAATATTATAAACCACTAAATATTAAAAGGTACGTCAATTTTACATGTATTAATATTTCATAATTCCATTTGTTTCAGTTTCACTCAACTTAATGAATATTAATAGTATACTATTCAACAATTCGAACAATAAAAATAAGGAGTCGAACAAAAAAAAAAGTCATAAAAATTGAAGAGTCTGATAAACAAAAGGCCTAATGAAGAAATCAATTGATTCTCCCAGTAAAACATGTACGTATTATTAAATAACTTTTTTATTACTATTATTATTTATTTATTACGTTTACTAAAATTCTTCTTTAAATCGATTATTTTTAATAATTTCGCAAAAGTTCTTTGACAATTTTCAAATTAATTAATTTATTTATTTATTTTTTTTTATTTTTTCAATTTTACAAAATTTTAATTATTCGTAAATTCTTCAATTACATATTTAATAGAAAATAAAAACTTAAAATAATATTTAAAAAAATTCAATTAAACTTTTTCAAAAAAAATTAATTTCAAAATTCAATTATTTCTAAAAATTGACGCTATATTTCTTTTAATATTGAATTACAATCTAAAATTTTAACTAAAATTCATTTTTATGAAATGAAAATCAATTTTTATTAGAAAATTCTACTAGAATTCAATTATTTAAATACAAATAAAATGCAAATAAATAATTTATTAAATAATTGAATGTTTCTTGAAATTCAATTCCCATAAAGAATTATTTCATCAACAAATTTTTAAATAATTGAATTCTTTCGACGAATTTTAATAAAATTTTTGAGAATAATTTCATTTTTCGAGAAATTTGATGAAAATTGTATTAAAAATAAATAAAATAATTGAAATTCTAAGATAAGTTTGATTATTAATAAAAATAATTGAATCTCTAAGAAGTTTATTATATATTATTCCTCTTGAAAATAAAAAATAATTGAATTTCTGAAATAATTTCTAACTTTTCCAAAAATTTAAACTTTTTTTTCCTTTTTTTGACTAAAATTCTTCCAGCAATGCATTATTTTTAATAATTGTTGAAAAAGATCTTTGAGAATTTTCAAATTCATTTGTTTTTTAATAAGAAATTTTAATTCATTTGTTTATGATTCAATTTTACAAAATTTCAATTATTCATAAATTTTTCAATTAAATATATAATAGAAAATAAAAATTTCAAATAATTTAAACAAAAATCCACAATTAAACTTTCTCTGAAAAATTAATTCCAAGAATTTGTTAGTTAAAAGCAGTAAAAGAATGAAAAATTCAAATTTTCAAAAAATTTAATTTGAAACCTTTTTAAAATTCAACTATTTCTAAAAATTTACGTTCAAATACTTTTAATATTGAATTATAATCTAAAATTTTAACTGAAATCCATTTTAAAATCAATTTTTATCAGAAAATTCTACTAGAATTCAATTATTTTTTTTTATTAAATACAAAAAAACGATTATTGATTAATTGCTTAAAATTAAATTCTCATAAAGAATTTTATCAATAAATTTTTAAATAATTGAATTCTTTTGACTAATTTTAATAACATTCTTAAGAATAATTACATTTTTCTCGGAATTCGATTAAAATTATATTAAAAATAATTGAAATTCTGCAATTATTTATGTAAATAATTGAATTTCTGTGATAAATTCTAATGTTTTTTTGTAAATAAAAAATAATTATATTCTTCCAAAGAATTTAACAAAAAAAATTTTTTTTAATAATTTATTTTTTCGAGGAATTGAAATAAAATTTTTAAGAATAAATTACATTTTTTTTTTTTTGAGCAATTCGTGCAAATTTTTATTAAAAATAATTGAAATTCTGCTGAGGAATTTTATGATTTATAAAAAAAAAAATTGAATACATAGTTGCAAAGAAGTTTATTAAAATTTTCGAAAATAATTAATTTTTTGAGAAGTATTGTATTATTTATGAAAATAATTAAATTATTGCAAAAAATTAAATTAAAATGTTTTTTTTAAAAAAAATTGAATTTCTGTGAAAAATTTTGTTATTTACGAAAATAATATTGAATCCCTGTAAAAAAATTTTATTATATTTATGAAAATAATTGAATGATTGCGAAAAATTTTATTAAAATGTTTAAAAAGAATTCTTTTTAAAAAATTTAAAATAAAATTTTTCGCAATTTTCTCGCTTTTTCGCAAAAGAATTCTTTTTAAACATTTTGATAAAATTTTTCGCGCAATCATTCAATTATTTTCATAAATTATCTGTGAAAAATTTTCTTATTTACGAAAATAATTGAATCACAGTAAAAAATTTTATTATTTATGAAAATAATTGAATGATTGAGAAGAAATTTATAAAAAAAATTTTTGTAAATAATTGAATTCATGTGAAATTTTTATTATTTTTTTAAAATAATTAAAGATTTGCGTAGAATTTTATTAGATTTTTTTTTTTTTAAATAATTGAATTCTTTTGGAAATTTTTATTAAAAAATCATTGAATTGAAGAAAATTTTTGAAAATAATTAAAATTTCCCCAAGAATTTTATTAAAATTTTTTGAAAATAATTGAATTTCAGAGAAGAATTTTAATTATTTCTAAAGATAATTGAAATTTTGACGAGAATTTAAAAAAAATTTTGAACATAATAATTGAATTTTTGCGAAGAATTTGATTAATTTTTGAAAATAATTGAATATCTGCAATTTGTAAATTGTAATTTCTCTAAAATTCTCCAAAAGTATATCGTACAATTTAGAATTTACTATGTATATTGTCATCGAAATTTTCTGAAAATGTGACTCACTGAAGAAAGATATCTGAGCAAAAAAATTATAGGTTATGTTTGTAATATTCAAAGTAAAGTGTAAAAAAGAGGATTAATAGTTAATGAAAACTAATTATACTCAAGTCTTCAAGTCTCAAACATCTAATAAAAATTATTGTTCATTTTACTAAATTACAAAGATAAAACATAATTTTTTGCTGCTTTGCTACCTTTTCTTCACTGCGTCACTGCGTCACAAATAGTAACGATTTTGATGTGAAATATAATAGAGAAAAAAAATTTTTTGCCACAGTTGCAGATGTTTGCAAAGCGTCACCAGACAAACTTCAGTCCTCAACTCAAGCTGCCGACGATGGAAAAAAATTGGAAATTAAGAAAAAAGATGCCAATTGTCCACCGAAGCAATTCGAGTATACTCATCCTCATCGCTTATTAAGTCTTTTGTATCAATTAGAATTATCCGCATTATCTTTACTCAGGACATCCGTATCTAAAAATTCTTCAAAGCCTATATTTCAAAATTCCCTAGACGGTCAGTTTAACAATATTGTTCTACATTTTAATGAAGAAAACTTTTGCATCAAGGTACAATATGTCGATACTCATTATTCACAAAAGTGTCTTGATTACAATTCCCTCTTCTCTTCAATTGAGGGAAAATTTAATATTAGAAAATACCTTAACGAATTTGCAGCCGAATTACTCAATTATTCAGATTCTATTTCTTCAGCGCCGAAATATTTAATTATCTTCACGAATGGGGATTTAGATATAACCAAAAATAGAAAATTCAAACAAACGGAAAATATTTTCATACCACAATTAAGTGTCGTAAATCCAGAGACTGATAAAAATTTACATCAGTTCTTTAAAAGTAATGGTAAATTTTATCGATTCTCCGATGATGAGGAGACGAGGGAGTTCCTGGCGGATATGGTGACGTTCAATCTGCAAATTAGAAGTAAAATGAAGAAGAAAGGTTTATCTCCAGAAGAAGTAAGAAGGGCTTTTTTCGATAGATTAATCCTCGCCGTGAATCAAGCGAAAATATCAGAAATTAGCGATACGTTTCGACGGGAATTGAAGAAAAGTGACGATACTCTTCGACGGGAATTGAAGAGTGACGATTTTTCAAAAATCGTACTTGCTCAATTGTTAGAAGAAGGAGAAGAAGAAAACATAGTTGGTTGCGAATATCTAAGATCAATGCTGTACAGTTACAATTTATTCATCTTCTGCACTCACTCAATGTTTCTTGATGAAAATATCCACTCTATTCGATTCGAAGAGAACTTTCAATCACACACCATCAGAATTGAGATTAATTCCAAAAGTCTACAAATCAAAGCACTTGAAATTGATCTCTCCAGATTTACGCTTCAAGAATTAGCCAAACAACGGGATATTTTTTCCATTGACGCTTATTTTGACAACTATCTCAAAATGGAATTCAAAAGCACCAACTATTATGTTATTTACACAAATGTCGGTTGTCCCCTACTTAGGGAATTGATAATAGGAAATAATTTCGATCTCCTGAAATATGATCCTACAGATGGTCCACAATTCACCGAGATAGATAACGACGATGAACGATACTCAACACTCAAGCATTTGAATTTTAACAATTTATTCAAATTTACATTAGGTGAGACAAAATATTGGTATCAACCGGAAATATCACCATTTCTCAAAGTGGGCGATTATAGAAGAAAGAAAACTTTTGCCGAAATGCTTGAAATTGAATTAAAGAGGGAATTTCTGGAGAGTATTGTCTTTGCTGTCAAGCAACCGACTTGTGACGAATTGTACAAAAGTATTGGGAATATTAAAAATACGCCACAAGTGCCTTATGATACTGTGAAATTGGATAAAATCGCATTGTCGTATTTACAGTCGCATGAATATGTGACATTGACAAAGGAACTGATGATTAAAATTTCTGATGAGTTAGAAAAAAAACGGAGCGTTGGCAATTATGTTGAAATCGAATTCGCAAAACGGGTCCTCTCGGCGGATTTGCCGGAATTCGGTCAATTTATAGACTTTCTGATCAGGGGTAATGGAAAGTGGTACTTGGACATTTTGAAAAAGAATGACGTGAGCATTTCCTCTTTGTCGAAGGTTATTGAGGGAGCAAAGAGTCATGAGGTCATACAAACTTTCACTGATTTTTGCAACATATGCTTCGATCCCGAAGGAGGGAAAACTGATGTTTTGAAAAATTTCGAAGGCAAGGGACTTCCGATAAACTTCTTTTCTATGATTCTAAGAGGTTCTGGTTCGGAAGCTCCTAAAACACTTCGAGATTTACACGATCTTTGGTTCGATGATTTTGGAAATCCGACAAATTACATGCGATCGATGGAAACTGAAGCGGTATTAACACAAATACCGATGGTTTTTTACAATTCAGGAGCCGATTGTGTGGGACGATTGAAAGCATTTTATCATTTTTGGTACGATCCAAATGGAACTAAAACTCAAAGTCTGAAAAATTTAGAGAACAACGGAATTCATTTATCAGCTATTTGTAGTATTTTAACGAAATCAGGCGAAGGGTGCTTTCAAAAATTCTACGAACTCTGGTTTGAGGAAAGTGGAAAGAAAACTACACGTTTGCAAAAACTGGAAGAAGAAGGAGTTACTTTAGTTCAAGTCTGCATGGTATTGAGACGAACCGGCAAAAATGTTGTCGAAGCTTTCGATAAATTGTACAGCATTTGGTTCGATGATTCGGGACTAAAAACACACTATTCCTTGACATTATTGGATGAGAATGTACACTTTTCAGATATAGTGGATATTTTACAGAAAACCGGATCCAACGCTCTGGAAATATTTAAAGATCTCTACGTCCGTTGGTTTTTAGATGATGGTACAAAAACTAAATATTTGAAAATTCTCGAAGCAAATGGAATCGATGTTCTTAAAACTTGCAAACATTTAAGTGCTGCAGGACTTCAGTCTGTTGATAAGTTTAAAATTCTCGTTAATTCTTATGATCCACTGTGTCAGTGGAATGTACAAACAACGCAAACTAGCGAAGAAGGACAAGTTGTGGAAAAAATTCCAAAAATCGACAAAAAGAGAGAAGAAGAGGTGAATACAATATTGATGGATTTTACGAAAAAGGAACCTAGAGAATCAAAACAAAAAGAAGAAGAAAGAACAACTTTAGATTCAGATACGGATCCAGATCCAGATCCAGATGAAAGTGACGATAATTCCGAAGTGTCAAGCAATGATGATCTTCTGATCACAGATGTAAAATACATTGGTTATTTTCTCCCGAAATCAGAACGATTAGAACTCAAGAGGAAACATCAATTCGTCAAATCATTTGATTTTGGTGAAACTAGTTCAGAATATAGACAACTTTTAAAATTCCTAACCAAACAAGATGGGAAAGAATATTCTCAGGTTCTTATGGCAAATAATATATTTTTGAATAATTTGGCATCAGTTTTTAAAGGAATTACAACTCCACTTGAAGTCATTAAAGTATTTAGAGAATTATACACACTTTGGTTTAACGAAACTGGCAAAATGAATACATGCTTAGAAATTTTATGTCGAGCAAAAGTACAATTATCTGAAATAATAATCATTCTCTATGGATCAGGAATTAATGCTGTGGAAGCCTTTCAAAATTTACATCAACTTTTGTTCGATTCATTGGGAAATAAAACTCGTTATTTGACAAATTTCGAAAAAAATGGAATAAATGGAACGAACATTAGTTCTACTTTCAGGGAATCAGGTGTCAATGCTGCTGAAAATATTAAAGAGGTCCACGATATTTTCTTTGATTCAATCGGTGAGAAAACGGAACGTTTCAATATTCTCGAAAAAGAGAAAATTAATCTACAAGAACTGTTTAGAATTCTAAAAGCTACGGGTAATGAAACAAGAGAAATTTTTCAAAATCTATATAAACTTTGGTTTGATTCACAAGGAAAGAAAACCGAATTTCTCATGAATTTGGAGAAAGAAAAAATTGATTTGCCACTAATTGTGGAACTTTTGGCTAAAAGTGGTCAAAATGCACCAGCTGTCTTCAAACATCTTTACTATTTTGTACTTGATAAAAAGGGATCTAAACAATACTATATAAGAAAACTGGAAAAGGATGTAAATTTACGAAAACTATTTTACATTGTAAGTGGACGTTGTTTTAATCCTGTGCATTTAAAAAAATTATATAAACTTTGGTACAAATCGAGTGGAACTAAAACTACTGGTATTTTAATGTTGGAAAATTGTGGAGTTACTTTGGATTTAATATCAAGTTTATTGAAAGGAACAGTTGGAAACGCCCCTAAAATTTTTAATAATTTAATTAATTTTTTGCTCGATAAAGAAGGAAAGAAAACGCAGGAAATGAAAAATATCGAAAAAGTTATTGAATTAAGGGAAATGTTTAAAATGATAATGGGAGCAAAAAGTAAGACGTATAAAATTTTCGTTAAGTTATATAAACTTTGGTTTGATGAAAAAGGAAATAGAACAAATCATCTTTTAATTTTGGAGAAAAATAATATTACTTTAATGGATCTTTCAAGTCAATTTTATGGATCAGGATTTGATGTTATTGCAAATTTTAAAAAAATTACTAAATCTTTAAGCAACGTAAAGTAAAAAGAAATAATTTTTTTAGTATAAGTGGAATAAATTCTATTGATTCTCCACTTTTTTTCACTTTTTTTTGTAGGTACTTTTGATAACTACCGACGCATTTATTAACTATAAGATTTATTATTTTGTTATCCGGTTTTTGAAAAACCACTTTGAAAATAAATATTTTTATACATTTCTATATTATTTATATTGAACACTTTTCTATAAAACGAAAAACAAAAAGGAATCAATATCAAAGAACACAAATGTGACGCGCTCCGAAAAAAGGTTCCTAAAAAGGTTCATTAGAACCTTCATTAAATAATCTTTTTTTAATTTACTTTGTTTGTCATTTACGCATAATATTAAATAAAAATTGTATTTAAGTTTTTATAATTAAACATTTTGTGATTTTTTCTAATAATTGTTTATGTAATTTTGCATTCCTTTGTAATAAAAAGAAAATTTTTTATTTTTCGTCAAAAGAAGTAGACAAATTTGTTATTACAATTCGGTTATTATTTGTTACAATTTATTATTATTTTGTTATTACAATTCTTTATTAACCCTCCGTCACACACCTAGGGAGGAATTCCCTCTGCGGTTTCAGTAGTTATTAAATGACTTTAATTTCCTCATTGCAAAATATAATCAGTTTCTATACCTTTCGACAATTTACTCCTCAACACATTTCTAAAAAAAACCTTTAGTTTAAACATAATTAATATTTAATTATGAAGCTTCAAAGCCAGAAAAAACTCGAAATAGTGAGGTTATGTTAAATAAAAAAATCAAGTTTTCAAAACATTTTTTGTTCCACTGTTGGTTAATGACAAAATTATATTATAAATATAATTAAAATATATTATTTAATGCTTATTTATTATTATTACTACCATTATTATTAATTATTATTTTACATATTACTATGGTTGCTATGGAATTATGGATCATACGCCATAGACTTAAAACATTCTTATGGAAGGCACACCACTTTTCAAAAAGGTTGTCTAAACCGGAAGGAAAATATTAATTAAATTTTTGCAAAGAATTTTGAATAATGAATGAGATAGAAAAGGACACAAATACATCTCTGTTCTTTTTTAATTTTCATTTTTCAGAGAGTTACATTTATTTATTATTATTTATTCTGTAATAATTTACTTCAGACACAAAAAATTCCATTCTGAACTCACCTTCAGGTGTCGTCAGCGCTACTGGTAGAAATACCGATTCTTCTTAAGCTCCCCAACCCTGTTAATCTTCTTCAAAGTTATTTGTCAACTACCCAACGCTGTAACACTTTGCAACCATTGTTTATTTTTGTTGAATTTCGACCGCGTTATTATAGTAAATATTTGTTAGTTTCTTTATAATCATTTAATTTAATTTTCCCTAAAATTAATTTCTCCTATATTATCCAATTGTTCTTTTACTTTCTATATTTATATACTCTATGTTTATAAAAATGAGTCGTTGACAAGTAAAAATAAAATAAAATTTTCTCATCTGGACAAATGAAATACAAGAGCAGGAGAATTTTATGACAAATTATGCTTGCCCACGACTCAAAAAAAAAACTAATTTTATTTCGTAAATTATAATTGTTTTTCTTGTTAACAATTTCAGATTTTGATAAATAATCGATTTAGTTGTAATGGATACTAATAGAAATAATTTTCTCGCATCAGAACGAGTATCAAATAATGACAGACTCCTCGAAAATAATGAAATAATGATTGTAGAATCGACCAATAAACGAAAAAGAACAAAGGAATCAAACAATTACAAGAATAAAAGAAAACGTAAGTATACAATTGTCGAATTAATCTCTCGTTACTATTTTCTACTGTTTTTACTGGATTTTTTTAATTTAAACTTTTTTATTTTTTAAATCTACTTATATTTATTTATTAATTTATTATGACTATTTATTCATTATTTTATTTTGTTAATTAATTATTTATTGATTTATTATTACAATTATATGTGACGCGCTCTGAAAAAAGGGTCTAAAAGAAGTAAAAAATTTGAGGTTATTTTGTAATTTTTCAAATACGAAAATACACAAAGAGGATCAACTCTTATTATTGTTATGCAAATTACAAAATTTTTTATTTTCAAATATAAATTTTAAAACAATTTCATAATCAAATTTTAAAAAATTCTCTTATTAAGTACAAAATTAATTATTATTGTTTATATTTTCAAAAACTTTAATAAAAATTCCTCAGAAAAATTCAAATATTTTCATAAAATTCAATTATTTTCTAAAATTCTAATAAATTCTTCGAAACAATTCAATTATTTTTATAAATAGTAAACATTTTTTTCAAAAATTCAATTATTTTTAACAAAATTATAATAAAATTTCACGAAAGAATTTAATTATTATCAAAAATTTCCATAAAATTCAATTTCAACAAGAATTTAAAATTCTCTAAAAAAATAATTCAATTATTCTCGAAATATTTGAAAAAAATACTATATATAAAAATTAAATTACTTTCAATACAATTTTTAAATATATTCGTAAAAAAAAATTGAAAGAATTCATTTATTTTCAAAAAATAATAAAATTCTTGTGATGAATTCAATTATTTTGAATATATACTTAATTTTAATAAAATTCTTTAAAGAAATTCAATTATTTTCGAAAAAACTATAATTGAATTTCTCAAAAAAATTTCATTATTTTTAAATATTTCTATAAAATTCTTCATAAAAATTTAATTATTTCTTAAAATTTTAGTAAATTCCTTGAAACATTTCAATTTATTTTTATAAATAGAAAAAAATTCTTCGCAAGAATTCAATTATTTTTATAAATTGTAAAATTCTGCGCAGGAATTCAATTATTTTCAATTCAATTTTAATAAAATTCTTAGAAACAAATCAATTATTTTTTGAAATTGTAAATCTTTTCACAGAAATTCAATTATTTCCCAAAAATTTAGATAAAATTCTGTGAAACAATTTAATTATTTTTGAAAAATTGTAAATTTTTTTTAAAAAAATTCAATTATTTTCATAATTTGTAAAATTCTTCACAAGAATTCAATTATTTTTTGTAAATTGTAAAATTTTGCACAGGAATTCAATTAATTCCTGACAATTTTAATACAATTCTTTGAAACAATTTAATTATTTTTTAAAATTGTGAAAATTCTTCGCAAGAATTTCAATTATTTTCAATTCAATTTTAATAAAATTCTTCTTCATAAAATTCAATTGCTTTCAAAATTTTCAATTAAAATTATTAAAGAAACTCCATTAATTTAAAAAGAAATTCAAAGAAATTCTTCAAGAGAATTTAATTAGCATTTTTAACAATTTTAATAAAATTCTTTCCGAGAATTCAGTTATTTTACAAATTCTTTGCAATAATTGGATAATTTTCAATACATTAATTTTACAATTGAAAATATTTGAAAAGAAAAATGAAACAAAAAACAAACAACTAACTTTATTATTATTAATATTCCTATTTATTTACTTTATTTATTATTTATTTATTATTTATTAAATCTAGATAATTAAACATATTGTTATTATTATTATTATTATTATTATTATTATTATTATTATTATTATTATTATTATTATTATTATTATTATTATTATTATTATTATTATTATTATTATTATTAAATTTATTTAAAAAATTATTATTACTATTAAACATAAATTTTTGCCGTAGGTAATAGAGTATCGACAGAAGCATCAACAAATACCTCAAAATCGTCATCAGATCATCAAAATAATCCAGAAATGAGCAACGTGCAAGAAAATTGGAAATTTAAGCAAAAAAATCCTCCAAACACTCTGGAATTTCTCTATCAATTAGAATTATCAATTTTATGTTTACTGAGAACTTCTGCATTTCCAAATTCTCCAAAATCGGTGATATTCCGAAATTCCCTGATAGCCGGACAATTCAACAATATTGTCCTCGCTTTTAAGGGAAAAACCTTCTGCATAAAAATTCAACACATCGATTCTTATTCTCCAGAGAGGAATTTAAATTACACTTCATTTCTCCCACCGGAAGATGGAAATTTCATTCTTACAAATTATCTAAACGTATTCGCCTCCGAATTACTCGAAAACTCAGTCCCCGCTTCCAATGCGCCGAATTATTTGATTTTCTACACAAATGCAAAATTAATCGAAGAAGCAAAGAAAGAGGGGAATTTAAATTATTTTTGCAGTGTCACTTCCGATAGAGATGGTGTTTTACTGGAATTATTGAAGACTGTCCAAGCTGGTAAAACTGATCAAACTGGTCTGGGCGAATTTTACCGATTTGCTAAAAATGAAAAAACGAGGAGAAAATTGAGACGAAAGGTGAAATTTACAAATGAAATCATCACACAGTTAAGTGGAAAAAAATCGAAAGGTTTCTCAGTGGATGAGGTGAGGGACGCTTTCTTCGATAGATTAATTTTGGCCGTTAATCAACCGGACGTTGAAGAATTATTCCATGCGGTTTGCACCGAAGTCGAAGAAAGTGGTGAAAATTGTTTTCGAATCAGAAACGAGGTCATAAAACAATTGACAACGGAGGAAGAGAAGGATTCGATTCTTTGTAGATTTAATTTATTTACGTTCTGTCTTCATGCCATGTATTTGAATAAGAGTATTTTCGGTGTCGAATTCAGAGAGAAAAACGAAAGTATCGTGATTAATTTTAAGGGTAAATTCCTCTACCTAAAAGTTGTGGAATTTACCAACGAATTTCGTTCTTTAATCAAACATCAAACTCTCGAAATGTCGAAGAAATTTTCTCTAGAAACGTACTTTGAATCATTTATTCGGGAATTGGACGAAGATCTCGAATATTATGTCATTTACACAAATTTAGACCTCCAGGAAATCGGTGAATTGATTCTAGGAAAGATTTCAGGGGAAACGGATTCAAAATTCACCAAAAAGGTAGGAGATGATTGTTTTCTAAACCAGTACTTCGAGGCTGGGAATCTTTACCAATTTTCGAACGGGGAGACAAGAAGAACACTCAAGGACCTGCTGAAGTTGCCACAATGTTTCGAAATTCAGGGAAAGAACCCCGCTGGCAAAATGAGCGAAGATCGAATCAAGAGTTTATTTCTGGACAAAATCGTCTTCGCCCTAAATCAACAAACTTCGGAAGAATTGTACAATCGGCTCGAGAATGATGTGGAAGATTCACAAGTGCCTTACGACTGCGAAGATCTTTTTAAAATCGGAATTCGTTCTCTAAAGTTCGCTGCTTCGATTGCTAAAAACGACCCGAAGGTAATAACTCGAGCACTGATGAAAACACTGCTTTTCGATTTGAAAAACAAGGAAAAAACTAATTTCCCTCAGAAGGAAATCGAATTCGCGAAGCAAATCGTCGAGCCGAATGTGACCGAATTCCGGAAATTCGTCGAGCCGGCGACCGAATTCCGGCAATTCGTCGAGCCGAATGTGACCGAATTCCGGAAATTCGTCGAGCCGAATGCGACCGATTTCCGGCAATTCGTCGATTTTTTAATCAACGGCAATGGAAAAAAGTGTTTGGCAACAATGCGGAAAAATGGAATCGAAATCCCGACCATCTGGAAAATTATTCAAGGATCGGAACCTAAGGAAAAGGAAAAAGTTTTTTTGGATTTGTACAATTGTTGGTTCGACCCGGGCGGTGAACAAAAGGTTCGTTTAAAGAATTTGGAAAAAATCGAAGTCCCTTTAACCAAAGTTTGCGTTGTTTTGGAAGAATCGGGACGAAATTCTTTGGAAGCCTTTCGAAAGTTGTACGATCTTTTCTTCGAGCGGTGTGGAAGAAAAACTCGTTATCTAAAAACCCTCGAGAAGGAGAAAGTGAACGCTCTGATGATTTTTGATATTCTCGCAAAAACCGGTATTGAGGTGGACAAAGTTTTTCGCAAACTCTTCAATCTTTGGTTTGAGGAATCAGGAGAAAGGACCCGCCACTTGAAAATTCTTACCAGCAAGGGAAGAAGTTTGCCCGAAATTTGCCGATGTTTGTCCGGATTCGGTGTTTATTCGATCGAAAAGTTTGAATCTTTGCTCAAAGTTGTAAGTTCGGGAAAAAAACGGAAAGGTTCGAAGTCTCCGAATTCGGCCATAAATCTAGAGTTTGAGGTCACTAACAACTTGTCGATTACTTCAGAATCTTTAGAGGAAGCAAATATGGAAAAAGAATCGAATATCGAAAATCGAGAGCAAGGGGTGCCCGAACCGGAAATTAAGACCGAACCACTTGAAGATACAAAATCGGAGCTGGAATTCATGGCGAAATTGGGGATAAAATTGGACAGCCTCCAGGACGACGAGGAGACAATCGCAGCGCTAAAAGAACTGAAGGCGGCAATCGAAGCAAAATTGAACCAAGAGGACTTGTTGTTAGTAAACGGTGAAGAAACCGCACCACCAGAAGACATCACTGAAGAAACCAATGCTTCGAAAAAAGTATTCAAAACAGCTCTAAAAGTGAAATCCGTCGAGGAACTGAATAGGAGTTTCATCTCCGAAACTCCAACAACACCAGAACCTTATATTCTTCTCGAACAGAATTCCCAATTTCCAATTCGAAAATTGATACTCTCCCATCGCAAGGAAGCGAGTTTCGCCAAGTCGATCTTCAAAAATCAAAATAGCTCCGAATTTGAAACTTTGTGTACTTTCCTAATTTTAGGACCGGGGGAAAATTATTTACAAATCCTTCAAAAGAATCGAATTTCACTTCAACATTTATCGAAAGTCTTCATCGGTTGTTTCACGGCGAACGATGTCATTCAAGTATTCAGCAAACTTTACAATTTCTGGTTCGATGAAAACGACACTATGAGAGATTCTCTACGTAACATTAAACGTGAAAATTTGAAATTGGAAAATTTCCTCACAATTCTCATTGGTTCGGGAATATTAGCTGCTGGCGGTTTTATAAATCTATACAACCTCTGGTTTGATTTGGCCGGAAATAAAACCCATTATTTGACAAAATTCGAAGAGAACGGTGTAACAATAATATACCTCAGGGAAATTTACAAAGAATCAGGATCCAGTGCTGCGGAATATATCAAAGAATTCTATGAACTTTGCTTCGATTCCAAAGGATCGAAATCCGAATTATTGACGACTTTGGAATGTGAGAATATAACTCTATTGATGATGTTAAAAATTCTCAAGAATGCCGGACGGGGGACGAAATCCACTTTTCGAATTCTCTACAATCGGTGGTTTGACACCGTAGGAAGTAAGACACCCCATCTCTTGAATTTTGAAAAAAGTGGAATTAACCTAAAAATGATAGCCGATGTTTTGATCAAAACGGGCGAAAATGCACCCAAAGCTTTTGATAATTTGTACAAATTCGTATTTGTCAGTGAAAATCAAAAGCAATACTATTTAAAGGACCTGGAAAATGAATTAGATATGAAGAAGATATTCGAAATATTGTACGGATCGGGAATTTATGTGAATTGCTTTCTGGATTTATACAGTCAATGGTTTGATTCCAAGGGAAATAAAACAAAGTGTCTGCGGATTCTCGAAGAGAATGGAGTTAATTTAAAGTGTTTGGCGAATGTTTTAAGGGGTACGGGTACTCAGGCTTTTGATATTTTCAGAAAATTGATGAATTTTTTGTTTGATGATGAGGGAAGAAAGACGGAGAATATGAAGAATATTGAAAGTGTTATAGAATTGAAGACAATGTTGGAAATTGTTAGTGGTGCAAATATACGAACGTGTGAGGCATTTTTTAATTTATACAAAGTCTGGTTTGACTCACAAGGAAGAAAGAGTAATTTTCTTCTAATTCTGGAGAAAAATGGAATTAACTTGATGGAAGTGGGAATGTTATTAAATGGAAGAGGTTATAAGGCTGTTGAGAAATTTGAAAGTCTTTGCAACATGGCGCTTAAATGTAATTTACCGAAATATCAATTATTCGAGCAATTTGAGAGAAGCTATTACGATCCAATTGTTACTAAAGTGACCGTATAGAGAGTGAAAGATTTAATTTAGTTTGTTTTGTATTTTTATTTTACAAAAGAATAATAAATATTTATATTTTTTTCTATCATATTTGTCATATGTTTTATTTCTAATAACTAAATAAAATAAAAGAAATCCTGGGAAATTGTTGTTTTCTAAAGTTATTGTGTTTATTCTTCAAAATTCAATTTTACTTAAATATTTTAAATTTTATCTTGGTGAGTAGTAATCTTTAATGTTAATAGTATAATGATTATAATTTTGAGGTTATGTTTAAGATCAAAATGTGTTTATTTAACAGAATTACACTTGAAAAGGACACCAAGGTTGGTGACAAAATTTGTAATAAATGATACCCAGAAAAATTTCCTGAAATTTATTAAATAAATTTTATAAAATTTCAATCTTGAATGAATTTAATTAAAAATTTTAATGATTTTAAAGAATAAGTTCTTTAAAATTTCTAATTTTTTGAAAAATTTTAAATTCTTCTCAAATTAAATTTTTTAATATGTATTTAATTAATTATTAAAAAATAATGGATTTATAGATAAATTTTGGTTATACAAACACTAAAAAAATTGAATTTTCGAAAAGTTAAAAATAAATTCAATTATTTTAAAAAGTAATAAAATTTTTCGCAGAAATTCAATTGTTTTCAAAAATTTAAGAAAATTATAGTCAGAATTTAAATTATCCTTTATAAATAATAAAATTCTTCACCATAATTCAATTATTTTTAAAATTCTTTTCTAAAATTCAATTATTTTCAAAAAATTTTAATAACATTTTTGTCGAAATTTCAATTATTTTCAAAAATTCTCCTAAATTCAATGATTTTTCATATCTACTATTTTTAATAAAATTTTCTGAAAGAATTCAATTATTTAAAAAAAAATTTAATAAAAATTGAACATTTAATTATTTTTATAAATAATAAAAATTTGACAGGAATTCTATTATTTATAAGCTTTTTATTAATCTCTTCGTAATAATTCAATTATTTTCATAAATAATAAAATTTATTTTAAAGAATTCACTTATTTTCAAAAATAATAAAATTCTTTTTTAAGAATTCAATTATTTTTAAAATTTTTAATCGAATTTTTCGAAAAGTGTAATTATTCTTAAAAAAGTTTATTAAAATTTATCAAAAGAATTCAATTATTTAAAAAGAAATTTTAATAAAATTCGTCTTAAGAATTCAATTATTTTCAAAAGTAATAAAATTCTTCGCAGAAATGAATTTTAAATTTTTTATGTTAAAAAATTTACAAAAATTCTTTTCAAAATTTCAACTATCTTTATAAATAATAAAATTTTTCTCCGAAATTAAAATATACCTATATTTTTTTAAATTCGCCGAAAGAATTCAATTATTTTAAAAATTTTTTGATAAAATTCTTCATAAAAATTCAATTTTAAGAAACATTCAATTTTCTAGTTAAATAATTGTAGTCTCGTAGAATTTTCTAATTAAATATTGATTTTCATTTCATAAAAATGAATTTCAGTTAAAATTTTAGATTATAATTGAATATTGAAATGGATTTTTAGAAATAATTCGAATTTTCAAAAGGCTTTAAATATTAAAATATTGAAAAATTTGAACTTTTCATACTTTTTAATTAAGAATTCTGTAGAATTAATTTTTTTCAAAAAGTTTAATAAAATTTTTTTTTTAATTACTTGAAGTTTTTAATTTCTAATATATTTAATTTAAAGAATGTCAGAATAATCGAAATTTCGTAAAATTTAATTGTAAACAAAACAATTTGAAAATTATTGTCAGAGAACTTTTTCAAAAATTTAAAAAAAAAAATGAAAATTATTTATTTTCTTATTAATTTTTAACTTTTAATTAATTTTTGTTTTTTATCTTTGTTTTTTATTTCTATTTATTTCTATTTATTTTTATTAATTTTATTTTTATTAACTTTCAATTAAATTTTGTTGTATATTTTTATTTTTGTTTTACGTACCTACTATTTTTATTTTGCGTTAATTGTGTTTTAATTTTTATTTTCGTTTTTTTACTATTGCTTAATATTCTGATTTTTTTATCTTATTATTTCGATTGTTTTATTTTATTTTACGTTTTTTATACAATATTTCGTGTGTTTTATTTTATTTCACGTATTTTTTGTACAATATTTCGATTATATTTTATTTTCTATTATGAACCTTAAAAATAATTATAAAGATAATTAAAATATAATAAATAAATAAATAGAATTATAAAATTTAATATCAAATAATATATTCATCTTTTATTAACAAAAAAAATGAACAATAATTTAAGATAATTTATTGTATATAATACAACATTTACAATGACTTTTTTTCGTTTCCTTTTAGCGAACTTAAAACTTTATCGCTACATATTAACAAAATTATAGATAAAAATATAGAAATAATAATATCAATTCCTCATTATCTTTTGAGTATAACAAATAATCAAACACTTTTGTTTAGATAATATTTTTTAAAGTTCTCAATTAACTCAATTTTCGGTAAATTATTGTGTCCAACAATGAGGCAAAGTTTTTTGAATTTACCAACAGCTAAAATTCCAGATCCACTCAATAAAACCGAAACTTCCTCTAAACCAATATTCTTCTTCTCCAAAATTAAAAGACAATTCGATTTTTTTCCCTTCTCATCAAACCACAGTTTGTACAAACTCTCAAATGCTTCATTAATTCTCTCATTTGCTCCACTTATCATTTCTAACATTGATTTCAATTCGGTGACACTTTCAATATTTTTCATTCTCTCCGTCTTTTGTCCCTTCTCATCGAACAAGGAAATGTTCAATTTTTCGTAAAAGTAAAAAGATTGTAGGCCTGAACCTTTGAGGGTGGTCGATAAAATTTTTAGATTTACTCCATTTTTTTCCAGTAGCTGAAGACTTGGTGTTTTGTCACCTTTCCCGTCGAACCAAACTTGGTATAATTTTTTAAACATCTGAACGTCGAAATCGGTTATAATTTCGAATACAGCACTCAGAGGGATCTCTTTTTCTAAATTTTTGAAACATTCCTTATTTTCCGTTGCGAATATAAATTTATACAAACTCTCAAAAGTTTCGATAGCATTCAGTCCTTTTTTCTGGAGAAATTTTACAATCATGTTTAAACCGATTCCGGTTTCTTCCAATTCGACTAGACGTTCGCTCTTCTTGTTCAAATCGAACCAAACATTAAATAATTGTCGAAAAGTCCCGCTTGCTTTTGGACCCGTATTTTCTAGGATGGCAAAAATTGATTGTAAATTGATCCTTTCGGCTTGAAGAATTCTCAGGTTTCTCGATTTTCCACCAATTGGATCGAAGAATAAATCGTAGAATTCCTGAATTGTTTCCGCAGCAAATCGGCCTGATGCTTTAAAAACAGCGCTTATGGTTTTGACGCTTATTTCGTTTTCTTCAAATGAGGTTAGGTAGCGAGTTTTATCACCTGCCGCGTCAAACCAAAGACGATGGAGATTTTGAAAAGCTTCCACTGCATTTATTCCCGATTCGTTGAAAATTGTTACAATCTCCGATAATTTTATGGAATTATTTTCTAAAATCCGTAGGCAAGGTTTCATTTCGCCGTTATTGTCGAACCAGAAGGAATACAATTCGTTGAGGGTTTTTATTACTTCAGTCGCGGTTTCACAACCTTTCAAAACGTTCGCTACTTGTTTGTAGGTTATGTTCTCGTTTTGAAGAATTCCCAGAATTCCAAAATGGCTTTTCAAATTTTGAAGCAAGAATTCAAACAAGGTTTTGTATTCCAAACTAATTGGGTCGAAGATAATTCTTGAAAATGACTCAACTTGGAAGGAATCCGAAACTGAAGTGCAATTAGTAGTCGATTTGGAATTTATTTGCACTTTTTCGATTTTGTCAAGTTCTTTGGAAACAAATTTCTTGGTTTGATTTAATAACTCGGGATTCATTTCCTTGACAAGTTGACTGCTTCGATTTAATACAGTTTCGAGTTTTATTTCCCTGCCAACAAGTTTCTTCAGCGTTTCTTCGGTTTCGACTTCTTTCTTCACTTCTTGGTCAGAAATAACTTTCGATTCGATAATTCCCCGAGCTGGTTGATCGTCAACGACCAAATTTATCGTTTCTTTCTTAATTTCCTCTTCCGTCAAACTTCCACTTTCACGATCACTGAATTCCATTTTTATCTTCTCTTTCTTCACCGTCAGATTCACCTTTGGTTTCACTGTTTTCAGCAAATATTGAAACTTCTCGATCGAATTGACACCGGAGCCGGACAAAAATCGACAAATATGGGGCAAATTTTTACCATTCGCTAGAAGAATTTTCAAGGATGCGGTCCTCTCGCCTGTTCTCTCAAACCAAAGACCGAAGAGTTTGAGAAAAATTTTCTCCACCTCAATACCGGTTTTTGGGAGAATATCCAAAATCATCAGAGCGTTCACTTTCTCCTTCTCGAGTATTTTTAGATAACGAGTTTTCCTTCCACAACGCTCGAAGAAAAGATCGTACAACCTTCGAAAGGCGTCAGAAGCATTTTGTCCCGAATTCCTCAAGACGGCGCAAACTTTGCTCAGTGGGACGCCGATTTTTTCTAAATTCTTCAAACGAACCGTTTTCTCGCCCCCCTTGTCGAACCAACAATGATACAATTTTTTGTAATAGTTCCCTGATTTTTGTAAAATATTACTGAGGGTCGACAAACGAATTCCGTTCGTCTCCAAATTCTTCAAAGTCATCTTCTTTGAACTCTTGTCATCGAACCAAAAGGTGTAGAATTCTTTAATGTTTTCGCAACAATCGGCGCCTGTTCTGTCGAAGAATGTCACTATTCTTGATGGTTTCATTCCATGTGTCATCAAAGTTCGTAAATTCGTATTATTCGAGAATTGTTGGTATAGATCGTAAAGAGTTGTCGCGCCCCTAGAACCGGCGGCGCTCAACATTTTCGATAGACAATTCATCGAGAATCCGTTCATTTCGAAAAACTTAAAAACATCACTTTTTTCCCCTCTCGCGTCAATTGACAATTTGTACAAATCCAAAAAAACATTTTCCACTTCCCAAGGTTCCGATCCTTGGATAATAGTGAAGAAAGCGGGTATTTCGATCCCATTTTTCCGCATTGTTGCCAAACACTCCTTCCCCTTGCCTTTAATCAAAAAATCGACGAATTGACCGAATTCGGGCAAATCGGGTCGAAGGACCTGTTTCGCAAGATCGATTTCCTTCTGAAAGAAATTAGCAAAAATATTCTCCGATTTTTCATTGTTTCTCAGATCGAAGAGCAGTGTTTTTATCAGTTCGCGAGTCATTGGAGTGGATTCGTGCGACTTTAGAGAACGAAGTCCAATTTTACAAAGATCCTGACAATTGTAGAAGACTTTTGAATCAGAGATTTCGTTCGCGAGTTTTTTGTACAATTCCTCCGATGTGTGTTGATTTACGGCGAAGACGATTTTATCCAGGAATAAATTCTTGATTTGAATGGTAATTTTTTTCGAACATTGAGTTATGTTCAGAAGATCGAGCAATTTTTTCCTCGTCTCACCCTCTGAGAATTGATACAAATAGTTTTCTTTAACGAATTGTCGCAAAGTTCGGAATCTTTTTTCCTCGGCGTTAATTCTGGTAAATTTCGGTCTGTACTTTGCGTCCTCTCCTTTTGTTGTCAAACGATTGCCTAGAATCAATTCCTCAAGAAGGGACAAACTCACATTTGTGTAGACGACAAGAAATCCGTCGGGAAATTCGTGATTTCGATCACAATTTAACTCTTGAAGGAATGTCAAAAAATGGGAATTTACGGAAAATATTTCCCTCTGCTTGATGAATTCTTCGGGCGATAATTTACTGATATCGAACTCGAGTGCCTTGAGAAAGAAAAAATTGTCTATCCGAATATTTTGAGTCTCATTCCTCTCCTCGTATTTAATACTAAAAATCTTGTTCAAATATAAATTGTGAAGACAATACATCAGGAGATTAAAACTATACAAAGTTGACTGTAAAAATTCCTTCTCACAATCCTCCATTGTCAATTGTCTCATAACTTCGTTCCGTAATTTCAAAAAGTCTTCATTCCTCTCAAGAACTTCTTTACGAACCATATCGATCAATTCCTCAATACTCGGTTGATTGACAGCAAATATTAATCGATCAAAAAAAGCACTTCTCACCTCCTCCACCAAAAATCCATTTATCCCCATCTGCTCAACAATATCCCTTGTGAATTTCACCGCAACGTTCAAATACTCCCGAGTTTCCCTCTCATTCGAAAATTGATAAAATTCACCATCTCTCTTGAATAAATTAAACAAATCCTTCTGTGTCTTCGCATTCACGTGACAAAATTCAGGTTGTGGTTTATTGAAAAATTTTCCATTCACTATATCCAACGCTGAATTCGTGTAGATTATCAAATATTTCGGCGCATCTGTAACACAATCTGAATAACATATCAATTCAGCGGCAAATTCATTCAAATAATTCGAAAGTGTAAAATTTCCACTTATCGACGAGAAAAATGAATTGAAATTTAGACTTTTCGGTGAATAAAATGTGTCGACGTGTTGTACTTTTATGCAAAAATTATCACCCTCGAAGCATAGGACAATATTGTTAAATTGACCATTCACGGAATTGCGAAATATCACTGATTCTGATGATTTTTTAAAGGAATATTTCCTGTGCAAGCATAGAACGGATAATTCCAATTGATACATAAAAGATATTAATCGATTTGGACAGGTATTTTCGTATTTATATCGGCAAATTTCACAAAAATTCTCGAATCCTTCTGAACAGATTTTTTGTTCATATTTCCAATTTTCTTTCAAGTGATTCGTGATATTGTTTGATGTAGTGCTTGACGATCTTGCTAGACCTGAGAACATTAAAAATATTTTTCATTTAGTAAAGTAATTAAGCAAAGCAGATGAAGAAATAAAAATATTTTCTATATTTAGTAAAATAATTCAATAATGAAGGATAATAAATAAAAACATTATCTATTCAGTAAATTAATTAAATAATAATGTTAAATAATTAAAAATTGTTATATAAATTAAATAGTTAAATGTTAAATTAAATCTAATAGTTAAATGTTAAGTTAAATTAAATAGTTAAATGTTAAATTAAATTAAATAGTTAACTGTTAAATTAAATTAAATAGTTAAATGTTAAATAAATTAAATAGTTGAATGTTAAATTAAATTAAATTAGTTAAATGTTAAATAAATTAAATAGTTAAATGTTAAATTAAATTAAATAGTTAAATGTTAAATTAAATTAAATAGTTAAATGTTAAATAAATTAAATAGTTAAATGTTAAATTAAATTAAATCAAATAGTTAACTTAAATTAAATTAAATGGTTAAATGTTAAATAAATTAAATAGTTAAATGTTAAGTTAAATAATAAGCAAAAAAAATGAAGAGAAAGAAAACTAATACTTACATTTTTTTTTATTTTCGCAATCTACTGATTTATCATTTCCTTTTCGTTTATTTGTAGAATCAGAAAATATCACACATTCATTTTCGTGTGTTTTATTATTTAATACATGTTCAGAGGCATTTGTCCCAGGCCTTTCCATTATTATAAAACCAATTAAAAGTCAAGTGAATTAATCTGAAAATTTACAAGATAATAATTATTAAAAATTCTAAGTTTTAAATAAGAAAAAAAAATTGTCGAACTTTGTCCCGTCAACTTATGTAAATAAATTAATAAATAAATAATAATATTCTGCTTATTTTTGGGTTTTTATTTTTCTTCAAAATTGATAGATTTTAAAATCCATTCGTAGAAAATATGTTTATTTATATTTACAAAAAAAAAAAAAAGTTGCCGAATGAAAAAATTAATTTTTACAATTTTTGAAGCATTTTTTTTTTAACAAAATAGTTTTGTTAAAAATGCTAAAAATTATCAGTTATTTAATTTTTGTATAATATTATGTAAATTCACTTGTTTATTTTTCTAATTAATTTAAAATTATAATTTTTAAAAATAAAAAATATAAAAATTATAATTTGAAAATAGATTTAAATTTTTTAAATTTTTTAAATATCGTATTTTTTAGCGTTTTCAACTTAAAGACAATGTTTTTATTATAAAAAAAAATGCTTTAAAAAATTGTGAAAATTAATTTTTTTTGTAGATACAAAATCATATTTTCTCGAAAAATACGAATGGATTTTAAAATCTATGAATTTTTAATAAGAAAAATAAAAATACAAAAAAGATACAGAGAAGATTTTCAGACCATTGATTTCCTCTTTAACAAATTACTATTAATAAATATAATTTTATGGACGATTTACAGTTAAAAATGAAGTCGAACTCACCCCTTAAAAAATTTCTTTTGTAAAATTAATACTTTTAATGCAATTTTACAATTTTCTCTAAATTTACTATATACTTTGAGAGAAGATAATAATTTTGTCCTTTTATTTTCTACTTTCAGATTATAGTAAATTATTACAGAAAGTTATAAAATTTACGTATATTTAGTTAACAAAAGGTATTTGAAATGCGATAATTTAAAAAAAAACATTTATATTAAATGAATAAATATAAATTTCTATATTATATTCGCTGAAAAATGTAAAATTGAAGGTTACATAGCTTTGTCAACATGTCCAATCACTTTTGATCCTTATTTTGATTATAAAACTATCAAAATTCATAATTATATTCAATATTATTAGTTTTGTGAAAATCGATAAATATTTCAGAATTGCTGTAAACCAACTTTTATAAAAAAATGTTAAAAATAAGAAATACCATCTTTTTTACCTTTTTAAAAAAACAATGAAACTAAAACTTCCTTTTCCAAATTTCGTATAATATTTTGATTTTTCTCTTCTGTGTCAAAATCCTGTAGACGGAATTATGAGGCATTTGAACTTTTTACAGTATTAATTAATTAATAATTAATAAATCATTAACGTTTTGTCTCGTGTCTCGTGTCAATTAATAAGGACGATTGTCGATATTTTCTTTAAAATAAATTATTTACATTTTTTTATGACTTTTTACCTCTGTTGAACTCAAACTTTGGTTTTTAAAATTGTGTTTACAAATAAATGACTGTAAAATGAGTTGAAATGAGTGAAAAACTTTTTATTTCTCTCTCTTTTGTTTCTTAGAAATTATTAAAGGGGCTTTCATATCGGTGTTATATTTCTCTCTCTCTCTCTCTCTCTCTCTCTCTCTCTCTCTCTCTCTCTCTCTCGTACTGGATGTGGAACATTCGAAATGCGACAATATCAAGGTTGTAAAATTACCGTTTTGCTTTTGACTGTTTGACTGTTTGTTTGTCGTTTGCTTATGAAGCAAATATTTTATTATTAAAAAAACAAAATTGAGCTCTTTATTTATCTTACTAATAGCCAATTATGGAATTTTAGTATACATTTGTTGAATTGCCAAAAAGGCAAAAAGGTAATGGTATTTATGAGTTATAGCGAATAGTGATTAGAAAAAACAATGATAGAATAAGACCTAACCTCATTTGAGGGGCCGATATAGTAAAAATGGTTTAAAATAATGACGGGAGCAAAAGTAGAATATAAGTGAATTGAGAGCAAAAACAGTTTAAAATGATTGTGTAATTTCTAGTGATGTACGTCGATGAGACACTGTCCTTTCATAAAAGAAAAAAGATGAAAATATAACATTCAATTGTTTTCATTGTTTTTCTCATACAGATTTACAAGATTCTCGGCTTTTCAAGACAAAAGGCTCGTTCGAAGTACATCACTACTAATTTCTTGATAATAAATTATACGTTAATTATATTATTAAAAACTGTTTGCTTTTTTGTTTCTTAATTTTATAAATAATTTTTCTTTTTAAATGTTTATAAAATTTTAAAACTAATGTACTGAAAATCATTGAATTCTTGTAAAGTATTTATTAAAAAAATTTATTATTTTATTAAAAAATTTTTAAATAATTGAAAAATTCAATTATTTTTAAATTTTTAAATAAATACTTTAACAAGAATTTTATCAACATTTTTTTTTCAATAATTGAATTCTTTCGAAAAAATGTAATTAAAATTGTATTCATTGTATTTGAAAATAATTTTTAATTCTTGGCATGATTTTTATCAAAATTCTTTAAAATAATTGAATTGTTTTGAAGAATTTATTTTACAATATTCTTGAAAATACTTAATTAAGTTTTTTTTAAAAATAATTTTTATTGAAATTGTTGAAAATAATTGAATTTGTAAGAAGAATTTCTTTTAAGTTTACAAAATAATCATAGTGTTTGTTATTAATTGTAATTAACGGATTTTCCTATTAAATTATATTAAAATTATTTATAGAAATTTAATTTCTTTTAAACAATTTTATTACAGAGATTTTGTAAATAATTAGGTTGGTTTTTTTTTAAGAATTTCATTAAATTTCGTAAAAAAAAATTTTTGAAAATAATTTTAATTAAAAATTTTTAAAATAATTAAAATTTACAAAGAATTTTATTAAAACCTTTGAGAAATTTTATTAAAATTTACACAAATAATTATTGTATTCTTTCAAAGAAATTTTATTAAAATTGTAATTAAAACTAATTGAATGTATCCGAAACATTTTATTATTTATTAAAATAATTCAATTCCTTTGTAGAATTTTATTATATATGAAAATATTTTAATATTCTTGCGAAAAATTTTCTTATTTATGAAAATAATTAAATTCTTGCTTGAGAATTTTACAATTCATAAAAATAATTAAATTTTTACTGAATTTTTGAAGGAATTTTATTAAAAATTTTGAAAATAATGATTTTTTTAAAAAAGAATTTTATCTTAAAATTGTTTAAAATAATTGAATTTATATTTAAATTTCTTGAAAATCGAATTATTAATTAATATTTTTGAAAATAATTGTATTCTTTCGAGAAATTTTATTAAAATTGTATTAAAAATAATTGAATTCATTCGAAACATTTTATTATTTATCAAAATTAAAATAATTTAATTCCTTTGTTTTTTATTATAATTATGAAAATATTTTAATATTCTTGCGAAGAATTTTTCTTATTTATAAAAATAATTAAATTCTTGCTTGAGGATTTTACAATTCATAAAAATAATTGAATTGTTTAAAAGAATTTTTTCTAAATTTTTGAAAATAATTGAATTTTTTTAAGAAATTTTATTAAAAATTTTGAAAAGAATTTTTTTAAAAAAATTTTATCAAAAAATTTTGAAAATAATTGAATTTATATTAAAATTCTTGAAAATAATTGAGTTTAATTAATATTTTTGAAAATAATTGTATTCTTTCGAGAAATTTTATTGAAAATAATTTAATTACTCCAAAAAAATAATATTTTTTATGAGAATAATGAAATTCTTGTGAAAAATTTTATTAAAATTTTTGAATAATATAATAAAGAAGAATAGTTAATATTTTGTATTTAAAAAGTGAATTGTTAAAATTTTGAATCTGTAATCATTCAAAAATAATAATTAAAATAACGTAGCTATTATTTTACAGAATATCAGAATTTCGTAATAATGAATAAGAAGCCACTCTATCCATCTAGTGAGGAAGAGGACTATTTCGACGCTTCGGAAAATGCCCTAAATAACAGATTACAAAAAAATAAAGTCGTAATTCTAAAACCGAGGATTGAACGAAAATTACTAGAAGAATTACCATTTGATAATCAAAACAAAAAAGAATGTACGTATAAGGAAACATTTTTTTGTTTTACCAAGTTCGTTAATACATTTTTTGCCTTTTTCGATTTTACTCAATTTTTCTGTTCTAGGCGAGAATATTTCGATGGTAAAAACGAACTCAAATGATATTTTCGAAAAGAATTGCAAATTCAAACAAAAGTCCACAGTAAAAGTTGATGAAAAATCACAATCGTTACCTACTGATGAATGTAAATTTCAAGATGAGGTCAATTTCGCAAAAAGTATCATTTCAGATGCAAATGCGTCCGAACGGAGCCAATTTCTCCAATTTTTAATCAATGGCAATGGAAAATTATATTTGGCCACTTTGAGAAGAAACAAAATCGATTTCTCCCTCATTTCTTCTATTATTAATAAAACAAATCCACAGGAGGTGGAAAAAGTTTTTCTCTATTTGTACAAAGTTTTATTCGACACTCATGGAAACAAAACGGAAAAATTGAAGATTTTCGAAAAACACGGATTTTGTGTTAAAAAACTATCGAAAATACTCGCCGGTTCAGGATCGAAGTTTCCAACCACTTTTCTCGCTCTCTCAACACTTTGGTTCGATAATTACGATAGTTCAACAAATTGTCTAAGAATTCTTGAAAAAGAGGGAATTTCCTCATCGCAAATATCGAATTTATTCGAAAAAACGGGAGAATCTTGTATTTATAGATTTCAACAATTCTATAAATTTTTATTCACCGAGAGCGGAGAGAAGAAACAAACATTGAAGAATTTAGAGGCAAACGGAATTAATTTGTCATTAATATGTGACGTTTTGTATGAATCAACGGAAAAATTTCCAATTTTGTACTTTTCTTGGTTTGATAAAAACAACGAGAAATTGCAACGTTTGCAAAATCTGGAAAAATTGGGAATTACTCTACTTCAAGTGTGCAGAGTTCTGAGATATTCGGGTCAAGATGCGAATGACGCTTTCGGAAAATTGTACTTTATTTTCTTCGAATATGAAGGGACGGAAACATTTTATTTACAAACGTTGAAAAAAGATAAAGTGAAACCGGAAAATATAGTGAATATTTTGGAGGAAACGGGCACTCAAGTTGATGATATTTTTCTCCACTTACACGCCCTTTGGTTTTATAATAATGGCGAAAAAACTCGTTGCCTAAAAATTCTCAATTCAAGGGGAATAAATTTATCCGAAATTTGCGAACGTTTGCGAGGCGAAGGCATTAACGCCGTAGAGGAGTTTAAAAAATTCACAAATTCATCGAAAATAAATAAAGATGTAAAAATTAAAAACGCTCAAACGGAGCGATTGATGCCAATTCGAAAATTAATAACATCCCATCGAAAGGAAAACGAATACGCCGAAACTGTATTTAAAAATACAAACAGTTTGGAATTTCAAGAATTTTTTACTTTTCTCCGGGAAAATAATAAATATTTTGAAATTCTCTCCAGGAATCGAATAAATTCGAAGTATTTCAAAATTTTCAGAGGCTGTAAATCAGCGTACGAAGCGATACGAACATTCAACGAATTGTACAATTCGTGGTTTAAGGAAAATGGTCAATTGAAGGCGTGGTTGAAAAATTTACGTCGAAAGAACGTGAAATTAAATGATCTCTTAGTGATTCTCTTTGGATCAGGAGACAAAGCAGCGGTAGCATTTCGAAAATTATATTATCTCTTCTTTGACGCGAAAGGAAATAAAACTCGCCACCTGACATCATTCGAGGAAAATGGAATCACTATTCCACGGATTAAAACAATTTTCCAAAAAACAGGGGCCAATGCCCCGGAAATAATAAAAGAATTCCATGATTTTTGCTTCAACTTCGATGGTGAAAACAAAAGATACTTGAATAACCTAAAAAAAGAGAATATCACCTTAATCGCTATGATCGAAATTCTAGAACCTGCTGGTTGCGAAATAAAACAAGTCTTCCTTGAATTATATCGTCTTTGGTTTGATTTTCAAGATAAGAAAACCGAGAGTCTCGAGAAATTGGAGAGTAACGGAATTTCTTTAAAAACAATAACGAATATTTTGATCAAAGAGGGAAAAAATGCTCCCGCAAGTTTCAAAAATCTGGTAAAACTTGTACTGAACAACGAAGGAGAACTACAAGATTACATAGCAAATCTTGAATCAGAACTCGAATTAACAGCAATAATTAAATTTGCATCCGAATTCGATGTTTTGTATTTCAAAAAATTGTACAATTTCTGGTTCGATTCGAGAGGTGAAAAAACTGATTGTCTTCGAGCATTTGAAAAAAATGGAGTCTCATTGAAATGTTTGGTGAATCTTTTAACGGGAACGGAAACAAAGGTTTGTGTGATTTTTACAAAATTGTATTGTGAATTATTCGATGAACGTGGCAAGAAAACGGAGTGTTTGAAAAATATTGAAAAAGTCATGGAATTAAAATCAATGTTGGAAATTATTTGTGGAGCAAATACAAAAGTTTACGAAACTTTTGGAAATTTATACAAACTCTGGTTTGATAACGAAGGAAAAAAGACTGATTGGCTTATAATGGTGGAAAAGAAGAATTTTAATTTGAAGATCCTATCGAGCTTATTAAATGAATCAGGAGAAAAAGCTGCTGAATGCTTTGAAGAATTTTTCAATAAATTAGTCCACGCGTAATTGAGGACCAAATACTCGAAGATTTTTTAAAAAAAGTAAGAGTTTGAAAATTTTATTAATAACATAAATTATTGTTTTTATTTTATATTTTTATATTCTCTTTATGTATTTTTACTTATACTCTCATAACTTTTATATTCTAATTACAAAAAAAAATCTTTATTTTTTTATATCCCTTCTTAGAGCAGGTTTTGAGAAGTGAAACACTATTTTCTTGTAAAATAAATACACAATTTTATTTACATGTATAGTACATTATTAATTTTAATATTTAATGAAGGCTTTTAAATAGTTCCTTATAGTAATTGAAATGGTCGTCATTAACCTCCTGTTCTTTACACTTTCCATTGATGCAAAGCTGGAATAAAAAATTTACTCTTTATAAAAAAAAATTATATTGTAATTATAAATTCAAATTTTCAAAAACTTGAATTGTGAACCCTTTTCAAAACTCAATTATTTCTAAAAATTCACTCAATAATACTTTTAATATCCTATTCAATTCTAATTTAAAATTTTAAGTGAAATAATTCATTTTTTAATCAATTTTTATTAGAAATTTCTACGAGAATTCAATTATTTAAATACAAAACTAAATAATTTAATAAATAATTGAATATTTCTTAAAATTGAATTTTTATGAAGTATTTTATCAAAAAATTCTTAAAATAATTGAATTTTTATGAAGAATTTTGTGAAAGTTTTTAAAAATAATTGAATTTTTATGAAGTATTTTATAAATTTTTTTAAAAATAATTGAATTTTTATAAAGAATTTTATCAAAGTTTTTAAAAATAATTCAATTCTTTCGGCGAATTTAAAAAAAAAGTTTCAGAATAAATTCAAATTTTTTATCATTTTATTTAAAATTGTTTTAAAAAATAATTGAAATTCTGCGATAAGTTTTGTTATTTATGAAAATAATTGAATTCTTGCAACGAATTTTATTAAAAAAAATTTTCAAAGAATTGAATTCCTGTGAAGAATTTTATTTGTAAAACTAATTGAATTCCGGAGAAAAATATTATTATTTATGAAAATAATTAATTTCTTCTGAATAATTTTATTCAAATTTTTTTAATTATAATTGAATTTCTGAAAATATTTTTTTAATTTTTCAGAAATAATTAAATTGCATCGAGAAATGTCATTAAAAAAATTGAAAATAATTGAATTCTGACGAAGAATTTTATTACAAATTTTTTTTAAATAATTGAATTTCTGTAAAAAATTTAATTTTTAAAAAGAATTGAATTCTTGGCAAAAATTTTTTAAATAATAGAATTGCTTCGAAGAATTTTACTTTTTACGAAAATAATTGAATTGGTTCGAAAATAATTGTATTCTATTAAATCAATTTTATTATAATTTTTCAAATTTATAAAGCATTTTATCAGAACTTTTTTAAATAATTGAATTCTCGAGAAAAAAGATATTATTTATGAAAATAATAATAAATTGAATTCTTGCGAAGAATTTTATTCAAATTTTTATAAATAATTGAATTCCCATAAAAAAGTGTATTATTTACGAAAATAATTGAATTCATAAGAATAGAATTCTATTGAAAATAATTGAATTGTATAGGAAAATTTAATTAAAATTGCAATTTTATTAACTAAATTTTGTAAAGAATTTTGTCAACATTTTTTTAAATAACAGAATTTTTATAAGAATTTTACTTAAATTTTTCGAAATAATTGAATTTATCAGAACTATTTTTTCAATTCTCTGAATATATTTGAATTCGTTCGAGAAACTTTATTAAAAAATAAGAAATAATTGAATTGGTGCGAAGAAATTTATAAGCAATTGGTAAACAATTGAATTTCTGCGAAATTTTTATTAAAATTTTGTTTAAATAATTGAATTCTTTGGGAAAATTTTATTAAAATAGTAAATATTAATAAATAATTGAAATGACGAAAATTTTTTAAAAGTAATTGAAATTTTGCCAAGAATTTTATAAATAATTGAATAATTGAAAATAATTGAATTTTGAAGAAGAATTTTATTATTTTATATTTATAAAGATGATTGAAATTTTGACGAGAATTTTTAAAAAAATTTTGAACATAATTAAATTTATGCAAAGAAGTTTATTATCACTTTTGATAATTTTCTTATAAATTCTAAGAATTTAATTTTTTCCAGTATTTTTAATACAAATAGGGATTTTTATTCAAAATACTGGAAAAAATTTAATTTTCCTGATTTCCCTAACCAACTCTAATTTCCTTGACTTTTTCCTAAATTTCCTGACCTTTGGTAATACCCAAAAGAAAATGTTCCGAAAAGGAAACATTTACTAAATTAAAATTTTACCTTTATATTATTTTTTGATGCTAGTTTTAAATTGGTCGGTTGCTGTACAACGACAGGTGTCTTTGTCGTTGTTGACACTCTTGTAGGGATTGGATTTTTTGCATGGACAGTCGCCTTTAAATTATATGGCTTCTTTGGCACTGGTTGAATATTTTGTTTTTTTGAGTATCTTTGAATATCTACACACTCTCCTGATAAGCAATACTGAAAAAAATTTTAACTCATTAGTTAATAAATATAAACACGGGTTTTTTGATTTTTTGAAAAAAAACAAGACAGAAAGATTAGCAACTTCTAGAAGACTAATTGTAGATGAAAATATAACCTCAAAATTATGCTAAAATAGAGAAAAATTTTACCTTTCCATTGCCACAAAAAGTTCCTTCCGCTGGTGGATTACTAAATGACTTATAGTATTCAGATCCATCACTTGCGGCTGCGACACACCAAAGATCCAAACACGTTGTTGGCTCCTAGAAGACATTATAAAAGTAACGTTAAACTCCATTGATAAGTCAAGTATTATGTGTTAAAACAGTGTTAAAGAAACTTACATGGTAGCATTTTACTAAACCAAGATTTTTGCATTGTTGATCTAAAGACATTAATTGACCAGGTAATATTCTAGGTAGCGGTCTGTTGTTTCTATATTCAGCAGGATTATTTTGAACGCATTTTGCATACTCTTTTCTGAAGGGAAAAATAATTTATGATCATGGACTTCATTCGGAGTATAAAAGTAAAATCCAGTGTTAATAAATGCAAATTCATAATAGGACTTTTATTATCAGAAGTTGCACTATGTTCTTAAAATTATATCCACTAAAAAACTGTTTGCTTTATTTTAAACTTACCTCAAAGTATTTTTAATATACTCTTTCGAACAAGGAGAGAAGAAAATCTTGTTTTTGGTTTTATAATTATAACTCATTATATAACCTTCCTTTTGACTACAATACTTAGCATTATATGTGTCTGACTTTAATTCCTCATCATGAGGTGCACCAAGGCTAAAACATTTTTATTTTCAATTTTTTTTTTTTGTAGACTGGGAATTTCAAGAAAACTTTTTTTTTAAGTTTATAACATTAATTAGAGGGAAGGAATTTATCATTCGGTAGTAATTATATTAAAGATAAAAGAAGTTAACATTAACTTAATAATGAGAGATCCTTACATATGACCTAATTCGTGAGCAGTAGCATCTATTCCTCCGTAACCACTTCTATCTTCAACTATTCCGCAAGATTGAAAATTCTCCCTATTCTCACATATTTTACCAAAAAAAGCATAACCTTTAAAGAAACAATTAATATTTTTGAAATTTAAACTTTTGTATCTGCTATAAGTTATATTATTTTATCATCCAATGTTCGAGTTCTAAACATACCTATTATACTAGAACGTCCTGTTCTATCCCCCACCATATCTCTTCCAGTTAACAACATAGAAATATCATAATTTTTTTCGCCTTGAATAAATTTATCTTTTTGCAAAAACTCTCTAAATGCTTCTAACAATGCGTTTGTATTTATTTTTTCTTCTCGATGATTGCCAATAGCGATACTTAAAAATGGCAATGTTTCCTTTAGAATAATAAAAACACTTGATTAGAAATTACTCTAAATATAATCTATTTATAAAAAGGTTTCTTTTTTTGAAATTTGAAACAAGAAAAATCTTACAATCTTTCGAGCTCGCTACTCGCTTTCGAGTCAATTGATATAAAAATTCAAATTTATTTTTCATTTATAGATTTTAAAAAAGAATAATTATACATAATTTGTATTCTTGAATTAAAAATAAAAGCAGTATATATACCTTAATTAATACAATTCCAGCAATATTAAGACGAATCTTTGGTTCTTCAAATTCTCTAAATCTTAAATCAACTCCATTCCAAAAGCTCAATGTGTATTCTACTGCACGTATCAAGTTAAATTCTAATTTTCTGCAATACAAATAAATTAAAGCATCAGACTTTTGTCTGACTGCTATTTTATAAAATTTTCAATTTTTTAATTAACGTACTAAGAAATCCAAATATGCAAACAAACAAAATTATGAAGCAATAGATATTTAAAAAAAATTTAAGATAGGGAACATTATCTAATTAAACTCTCACCTGAAAAGTACGTCGTCAATGAAAACCAAAATTTCTGGATACACTATGTCCGGTAACTCTGCGTCAGGACTTCGAGATACTCTATGAATATTTGAAAATCTATTGTCCATTTTAGGTGTTGCAACTTCTAAAAAAATATTTATCATTTTCTCCTTTCTCGTTTATTGTTAGGAATGAAAAAAATACATTTTTTAGTTTATTCTCTATGTCATGTAACGAAAGTACTTACGAAAAGCATTGTTGAAAGTTTGTTTATAAATTATATGTTCAGTAGTATCAATAAAACCATCGGCTACACTTTCAAATGATGAAGTATTGCTTTTCAACAGATCACGACGTTGTCGAAATTTCTTAGGCAGTGGACGGATTACCATGTTTTTATTAATAATTCCATTCTTAAAAGACAAAAAATTTATTTTTTATTGTGAATACCAAAGGAAAATTAAAAAAGTAAAAGAATATGAAACATTAGGTACAGTGTAGAAATTACTCACAAATTCGGATTTGCCATATTTATTAACACTGTGTGTAACGGATGAATAAGTTGTAGGATCTTGATAAAAATTTATAAAGATGTTGTTCATAACCTAAAATCATATTGGAATTGTAAATAATTCCCAATTATTAAATATGACGATATTATTCCACTACATTATTTTAATTATGCTAATGTAGTGAATAGCTCGACACTTTTATTTGCTAAATGCTATATATAATATAAAACGTAACTCGCCGTTTAATAGCTCTAGGGTGTAACAGTATAGCTTTAAATACGATACTTACATTCGGTATTTCTTGAAAATAAACGTTTCTTTGATAACCTCTTTGGGCTGTAAAAACCTTCGTCCCCGTTCCTGCAAGTAAACCTTCTGTAGGTTGCAAGTAAAGTTCACGCTCTACACCATTTATTTTTGTATGAAGTGTTAATTCATTGATACTTGGTTTATGGAGCATATGTCGAACAGGCACCACCTCGTAATCACTTACTAGAAAATCAAATTTAAAAATTTAAATTCGATATGCTAAAATTGATATTATTTTTATAGAACTTAGAGGAAAATCTAATAATAGGTTATTTATTCTACCTAATAGAAATAATAATTTCTATTATAGATAAAACTTATTTATTTGAATTAATTACCATCATCTATTGAAATATCATCCTCGACATTATTAACAACCGTAAATGATTGCGTGAACGGCACTATAAAAGTGCATAACAAGAATACGAAGTGATACATCTATAATGGAACAATTTTTAATTAATAAATAAATATTTATTAAATACCTAATTTACTTAAAAATAGTTTATTAAAAATTAAAATACTTTTATTGTAAACGCTATAGCAAAATTAAAGAAAAAGTTAATTAACTTACCCTTCAAAAGCAGTATTAAAGTTTACAGTTAGTGAAGAATTCAAGGGAAGGTGTATTTTTAAAAAAAATATGTGTTTGTATTTATACTCGTAAAAATATTATTTATTAAAATTTTATGCAGAAAAGAGTATGTGCTTAATTAAATATTTGTTATACTTATGAAGCTATATGGTAAATATTACATATTATAGATGCATGAATGTTTCTAAGTAAATCGTTCATTCCACTGTTATTATACCATGTTAACATTGTGTAAAACATTAACATTGTGTAAAAAAGTTTGACGGCATGAAAATAATATTTGTCTTTTTGCAAGTTTATTTTACTGTAAAATTATAATAAAAAATATCGACACGTGATAAATTACATATGAAATATTAAAGATTTTCCAGTTATATCTTTGTTAAAGACGTCAATGAATGACAATCATATGTTTTTAGAGTAAACAGAATATTAATCATTTACAGTAAATTCACGTTACGTAATACAAAATTGTTGAGTGAAGCTGTTAAACATTCTTCAAATATTTGACTGAACTGTCTTTATAACGAAATGACAATTGTCATTATTTTTTATCAGAATATTATACTTATTCACATATATTTTTAAATTACTTAAAATTTAAATAAAAGAATATTCACTATAACCGTCGGAAATATTGTCGGTTCGAAAGCTAATAAAATTCTACGATAAGACTCTTCGCAGCCCTCGGAAGACGAACTTTGTTTTAAAAATTTTAAATATAATACTATCACTTTACAAGACTCTAAAAAAGGATGCTACCCGAAGGTTATAGGATGCTGAATTTTATAAAAAGAAATAAATTGCATTTTAAATGTATATAGAAATGTTCTTTATTTTTTAAAATGTTTATACATAAAACATTTCAACTTAAGTCTATGAAGAATTTAATAAATAATCGAAGATAATTTACAATTTGCACTCAATATTCTTCACATTGGCAGGCAGTTATTAGTCTTTAAATTTCAACAAAAGCATTATGACTGTATTCGTATTATACATTAATTAAGACTTATAACATTAAAGAATGATAATAGTAATAAATAATAACCATTTGTCATATTTTCTGGTCATTTAATTTTTAATTCTCTGAATTGAGTAACTCGTTCAAAGCACACAAACAAAATAATTTGTTTATGATAGTATATTATTAATTCTAATATTAGTTTAATCTTTTAAATAGTTCACCGTAGTAGATGAAATAGTCGTCACTAACATTGCTTTCTTTACAATTACCATTTAAGCAAAGCTGAAAATAAAAATTCATGTTTTTACTTTTTATCACAAAATACAATAGTTTCGAATAATGTAAAAAATAGATTTAATCTGACGCACAACTATTTAAGATAATAACTATTTTAAGAGTATAAGAAAAGAATTTTAAACTACATAATGATTCTTTGGTGAATGTTATCAAAATATACAAAAGGTGTTTTCTGTATAAATTGAACATCCCGCAAACAATCGATGTTAGTAGATTTTGAAAAAAATATCTAGCAAAACGAAAGTATTTGTTGAATTAAAAATTTACCATTATTTTATTCTTTTGTGTAGCAGAATTTGTAGGTTGTTCGAAAAGGATAGGATTTTCTGTAGTGGTTGTTACTTTCGTAGTGATTGGATTTTTTGGAGCAACAGACTTTTTAGTTACTGGTTGAGGATTTTGTTTTTCTGAATATCTTTTAATATCTACACACTCTCCTGATAAGCAATACTAAAATATAAAATTATAATTCATTAGTTAATGAATAAACATATTTTATGAAAAATAAAGGTAGAAATAAGGAAATTTTTACCCTTCCATTACCACACGGAGATCCTTCCGCTGGTGGGTCTTTAAATGTGTAGGGTTCCTTTCCTGCCTCGACACACCAGAGTGTTAAACATGTTGTTTTCTCCTATAAGCCAATAGTAATAATGATAACATTAAACTGCATTAACAAGACAAGTATTATAGATGATGACAATGTTGGAGAAACTTACATGGCTGTGCGTTAAACCAAGATTTTTGCATTGTTCATCTAAAGACATTAATTGACCAGGTAATATTCTAGGTAGTGGTTTGTTCTTTTTATTTTCTGCAGGATTATTTCGAACGCATTTTGCATAATTTTTTCTGATAGAAAAATAATAAATTAATATTTTTGAACTTAATATTACTAACACAAAAGCAAAACCAGTTACAATTCATAGAGAACAAGTCCAGAGTGCACGCAGTCTTGCATAGGATGTTTATTCAGGTTTTTAAAATTACGTCCACTAAATTGTTGTCTACTTTTAATTCAATTTACCTTAAAGTATCTTTAATATGCTCTTTCGAACATGAAGAGAAGAAAATCTTGTTTTTGGTTTGACGATTATAACTCATTATATATCCTTCCTTTTCAGGACAGCGCTTACTATTATACAGTCTTTCCTCTAATGTGAATACTTCCTCATCATGAGGTGCTCCAAGGCTGAAAATTTTTTATTTTTGATTAAGTCTCTGAAAAATGAAAAAACGAGTTTATACATTTATAATACAAAATTAATAATTGCTGATCCTTACATATGACCTAATTCATGAGCAACAGTATTTATCCCTCCGTAACCATTCCTATCTTCAGCTAATCCGAAAGATTTATAATTATTTACCTTACTCTTACATACACCACTAACCATTCCATAACCTATTAAAAAATACCCACTTTAAAAATTTATACTTCCGTATTATATGTTAAATAACATTATTGTTTTATAATGTGCTTAATACGCATATAGATTCTAAACTTACCCAACACACCAGAATTTCCATTCTTATCGTGGATCATATCTCTTCCAGTTACTAACATAGATATATCATAATTGTTTTCATCGTGAATAAATTTATTTTTACCTAAAAAATTACTAAAATTGTTAGCCAATGAATATGTTTTTATTTGTTCATCTTCCATATTGATCATTGCAGCAGTTAAAAATGGCAAGGGTTCCTGTATAAGAATAAAAACTTTTTTTTTAAATTATTGCATACATTTCATTATTTAAAAAATAAATTTTTTTAAGTTGAAACAATAAAATTGCCACAGCCTTTCTTGTTTTTGATATAGATATAAAAAATTTATTTTTACTTTGAATCATATTACGACAATGTTTAGATTTTTTTTTTATAAATTAGAAACAACTTACCTTAATTAATACAATTCCAGCAATATTAAGACGAATCTTTGGTTCTTCAAATTCTCTAAATCTTAAATCAACTCCATTCCAAAAGCTCAATGTGTATTCTACTGCACGTATCACGTTAAATTCTAATTTTCTGTAATACAAATAAATTAAAGCATCTGTCTTTACATAAGTAACATTAGACTTTTGTCTGATTGCTTAAAATTTATAAAATTTTCAATTTTTTGATTTACGTACTAAGAAATCCAAATATGCAAACAAACAAAATTATGAAGCAATAGATATTTAAAAAAAATTTAAGATAGTGAACATTATCTAATTAAACTCTCACCTGAAAAGTACGTCGTCAATGAAAACTAAAATTTCTGGATACACTATGTCCGGTAACTCTGCGTCAGGACTTCGAGATACTCTATGAATATTTGAAAATCTATTGTCCATTTTAGGTGTTGCAACTTCTAAAAAAATATTTATCATTTTCTCCTTTCTCGTTTATTGTTTAGGAATGAAAAAAATGCATTTTTTAGTTTATTCCCTATGTCATGTAACGAAAGTACTTACGAGAAGCATTGTTGAAAGTTTGTTTATAAATTATATGTTCAGTAGTATCAATAAAACCATCGGCTACACTTTCAAATGATGAAGTATTCTTTTTTAATAGATCACGACGTTGTCGAAAATTCCAAGCCAGTGGACGTATTACCATGTTTTCATTAATAATTCCATTCTTTACAGATTAAAAAATTCTGTTTTATTATGAACCTTCAGAAGTAATTTAAAATCTTCTGGAACATTGGATACAGAAAAAAATACTTACAAATTCAGATTTTCCATATTCATTAACACTGTGTGTAATAGAAGAATAGGTGTTTGGATCTTGATAAAAGTTTAAATAGATGTTGTTCATAATCTAAAATCATATTGTAATCGAAAATAATGAAAATATTTAAAAACTGACATTGGTGTAAAAAATATATTTTCTCCCAATATTAATTCTTTAAAGATACATTTCTACGTATAAAACTATTTAAAAGCTCTAGTGTGTATACCTTTGAGGATGAAACTTACATTCGGTATTTTTTTAAAATAAACATTATTTTGATAATCTCTTTGGGCTGTAAAAACCTTCGTCTCCGTTCCTGCTAGTAAACCTTCTGTAGGTTGCAAATAAATTTCATGCTCTACACCATTTACTTTTGTTTGAAGTGTTAATTCATTGATACTTCGTTTATGGAGCATATGTCGAACAGGCACCACCTCATAATCCCTTACTAGAAAATCAAATTTGAAATTATAAATTTGGTGCTAAGTTCATCAATATTATTTTTATAGAACTTAGAAGCAAACAAAAAAACTTATTTATTTAAATTAATTACCATCATCGATTGAAAAATCATCCTCGACATTATTAACAACCGTAAATGATTGCGTGAGCGGCACCATAAAAGTGCATAAAAGGAACACGAAGTGATGCATCTATAATGGAACAATTTTTAATTAATAAATGAAATATTTTACTTAAGAATAGTTTATTAAAAATTAAAATACTTTTATTGTAAACGCTATGTCAGAATTAAAGAAAATTTTATTACATCTTTCTCTTCAAAAGCTTTATTGAAGTATACAGTTAGCGAAGAATTTAAGCGAAAATAGATTTTTAAAAAAGGTGGTTTGTATTTATACTCGTAAAATTATTATTTATCACAATTTTATACAGAAAAAAGTATGTGCGTAATTAAATATTTGTTATATTTATGATAATTCTATGTTAAATATTATAGATACATTAATGTTTCTCATTAAAATGATAATTCCACTAAAAAAAATGTTAACAACACATTGGGTACAAAAAGATTGACGGCATTAAACTAATATTTGTTTTATATGAAGTAGAATTTATCACTTGGTCGAAAATTATATATGTGAGAAAAAATCATTCGATTTTTTATTCATCATCAATCATTTTTTATTTGACTCGGAAAGAATGATTTTTTCTCACATAATATAATATTTATATATAATATATATAATATAATAATATAATATTTTTCTCCGTGTACATATTATTACAGATTTTTCTAGTTATAGCTTTTTTAAAAACGTCAATGAAAGACAATCATATGTTTTTAGAGTAAATAGTCGCGATTGATTGAAGTCGCGCGTGGAAAAGGGATGTATCTCATTTTTTATCAAATTACAAAAATATTCATAATAATAAGTATTCAAAAAACTACTCTCCAATGCTTTAATAATCAAATAACGAGCTTTAAAATAAGTTTATAAAGATAAATTTTACCTGCGAATCAGTAATTTTATTCTTCTGAATATCATTTAATAATATCTACACACTCTCCTGATGAACAATACTGAAAAATGAAATTGTATTATTTATCAATTAACAATAAGAAACATTATGAAAAATAATGCGGTAGAAATAAGGAAATTATTACCATTCCATTTACCACAAGGAGATCCTTCGGATCGTCACACACCTTAGAAAAAATTACGACATTATACACCCGTATAGGAAATCCCTCTCAGTAAAAATAGTGTGACGTTGACACATGTTTTTTTAGGTTATGTGTGAATTATTTGTAAATATCTTCTTAATCTTTTTTTAATTCTCATTCGAATTTCAAATAAAAATTTGAGTCCTTTTATTACTTTATTACATTCTAATCCCATGCACATAACATAATAACTTTTGAATTAATATTAATATTTTTACGAATATTCATTTTTGCGAAATTTCATATGTACGAATTGTCTCTTTAACGAATTTTTATTCATTCGAAATGACATTTATACGAATTTACTTTCTTTTTCTCAGTAATAGGGAAATTATTGTTGTTTTAAGGCATATATACTTAGGGGTAAAAATTTCCAGAACGAGAAATTTTCATTGGAGTAAGAGAGACAGATATACAGTCTGTCTCTCTTACTCCAATGTAAATTTCCGGTTCTGGAAATTTTTACCGAAGGTGTAAACGTACCCTTATGCTTGGTATGCTCACTATTGAAGAAACACCTTTACAGCTTAGTGTGAACGGTGTGAACGCGATTTCGACTTTTCACTAGTGAATTTTTTTTCTACCGATAGTCGATACAGGTGTAAATGCCCCCTAAGGAATAGTTGTGGACTCAACCTGAAAGAGCCTTTTTTTCATAGACCGTACTGAATAATTCATCTCAAATGATTATATTATTATTTACAGTCTTTACAGTATAAAAAATTGGTTTCTCAGTAAATTTACTTAAATATGAAGAGATTAACATGTAAGTAATTTTCAGTTAACACTTCCTAATTTTAATATTCTTAAAATTCTATTAACATTTGTCACAGAAACACTGTCTTTACCTATATGCAAAAATGATTAAGTTTATCATGTATTTATTTTTTAATCTCTACTTACATTTATCACAAAATAGAAAAATAGAAAATAATTTAGAAAGTTTACAACAAATATAGTTTCTCGTAGATTTTTTACAGTTTGAAAATCATTATAATCTGTATTAACTTGAGAAAAATGGAAATAATTTTAATTAGGTTAGGTTTCTCATTATATATAGATTATGTTTTGCCATTGTGATGATATTCAAAGATTCTCGGGCATCTAAATTATTTTTTTATTATTGATATTGAAAGAGAAAAAAACTAGTAAATTTTATTAAATTATGAAATTTAAATTTTAAAATAAATTTTCATTTTTACGATATTCGTAATTGTTAATCAGAATAAAAATAATTTAATTTTATGTTTTTCAGTAATTATTGAGATAAACTGCGACTAAATTTACATCTGATTGAATATAAGGTAAGAAACTTAGAAATTCTTATAAAAATGTTTGAAAAATTTATTGCAAGAAATATTATTGATATACTCTGATATTGCTTCTGTTTAAATCTACAAAAGTGTTTTATCCAGCCACTGAAATTTATTCTCCAATATTTTTAAAATTAAAATAATACATTCTCTGGTGAAGAGAATAATATGAAAAGTATTTAATTGTGGAATTTTTTGTTTGAAAAATTTTAACAATCTTTTTTTCAGAATTTTTCAATAAAAATATTGAAAAATCTGAAAAAATTTTTAATCTTCAAAACTTAATAAAAATTATTTTAAAAAAAGATAAATTTTTTGTTATGTTTTGAAAATAATCTTAAATTTATTTTTTTTTTAGAATATTTTATTTTTTATCAATATCTTAGAAAATAGCTTATTTTTTATTTTTGTATGATGCTTTAAAATAATATTTATGATTTTTTTTCTTAAGAAATGGAAAATATGTTTAAAAATTGAATTAAAAAAAAATTAGAAAATTAAATTCTTTTATTGGAAAGGAAAAAAATTCAATTTTTAGAATTCTTAACGAAATTCTGAATGTTTGTGTCTTTTTTGTTTGACTTATGAACTCTTTACTAATTAAACATTAAATAAATAAACTTTTGAAAATTTCAATTTTAAATTGAAATTTTATATGTAATTTTTATTTTATAAATAATTGAAATTTTATAAAATTTCAATTTTCAATGAATTTAATTAGAAATTTTAAAGAATTTAGATTTTTGAAAAATTTTAGTAATTCAAATTCTTCTGGAATTAGTTACATTTTTTAATATATATATTTAATTAATTATTAAAAATAATGGATTTATAGAAAATTTTTAGTTAAAAACACTAAAAAAAAATTGAATTTTGAAGCAATTACAAATGATTGCAGAAATTCAATTATTTTCAAAAGTAATAAAATTCTTCCTAAAAATTCAATTATGTTCAAAAATTTTGAAAAATCCTCATCAAAATTTCAATTATCTTTAAAAATAAAAAAATTCTTCTCCGAAATTCAATTATTTTTAAAAATTTTAATAAAATTCTTAGCAAAATTTCCCTCAATTAAATGATTTTTAATATTTCCTAATTTTAATAAAATTTTACAAAAGAATTCAATTATTTAAAAAAATTCTATTCGCAAACGTTTAATTATTTTCATAAATAATAAAAATTTCACAGGAATTTATAAATAATAATAAAAATAAAATAATATAATATAAAATAATAAAAAATAATAAAATAATTTATAAATTTCTTTGCAGTAATTTCATTATTTTCAAGATTTATAAAATTTTTTAAAAAGACTAAATTATTTTCATAAATAATAAAACTCATCGCAGGATTTCAATTATTTTTAATACAATTTTAATCGAATTTCTCGAAAAATGTAATTATTTTTTAAAATTTTATTAAAATTCGTCGAAAAAATTCAATTATTTAATAATTTGTTGATAAAATTCTTTATGAGAATTCAATTTTAATAAACATTTAATTATATTAATTTATTATATTTTAACCATTTTAACTAAAAAGTTTTAAAGACTTTGAATTTTATTAGAATAAAAAGAATTCAAAATGGCGGATCCAATATGTCGACCAAATTTTTTAAAGAGTTGACACAATTGTCCAAAAATGTTTACTCGAAAGTTTTAAGAGTCCCAATTTTTATTTTTTTAATTTTTATATTAAATTTGAATTCAGTGAACCTAAAAACCTCTGAGTAAACACTTTAGACAAATCCGGGAACTTTCAAAAAAAAAAAATTTGTTCGCCTTATTAAATCAGCAATTTTCAAATTTTGAAAAATGGACGTCAAGTTTAATTAATCAGCGACCCCAAAAACCCCCGAGTAATAAGTTTCAATCGAATTTGATATGTAATTTTTTAAATATTTGTGGTCGACATTTTGAATTTTTTTTATATCTGACTTCAAATTTAAATTCAAAAGCCCCAAAATCCTTAGTACATAAATTTATACAAGATCTACAAAAATTCAAAATCAAATTATTTTGAAAAAAACGAATTTAAAATCTGGGTTACCCTCCTTAACGATCTTCAAGGTGATTTGAAACTTTTTGGTAGGGACAACACTGCTATGAAACCAAATTTGAATCTGTTTCATAGCACCAGAAATTAATTTATTTTGACGATCAATGCCTTTATAATGAAACTTCGTAATCAACAAATATGTTAAACTACTTCAATCTAGCTTTGTATATAGTAACCCATTTATGGTCCCCATGGACTGCGGGTTAAAAGTGTAAATAAATAAATAAATAAAAATTAAGTATCTTAAAAATGACTATATAAAGTTACTTAAAACATCTTATATTTAAAATGTTTCTAGCCTAAATATTTTTATATTTATATTTTTTTATTTTTATATTTTTTATATTTAAGATATTTCTGGCCTAAACATCTTAATATAAGATGTTTTAAGTAACTTTATAGTCACTTTTAAGATACTTTATTTTTGCATACCTACTTTATTTTTTTTGAAACTTCCGATTATCGTGAAACAGTTTTAAATCACCAAAAATTGATCAATATTTCCCAAAGATTTTGTTTTACAACACTGAAAATTTTTACAAATTCGGTCATTTACCGAAAGTCCATATTTTCTAAACTGGATTAAAATTTTGAATCCAAAGAGTTAGATTGATAATTATGGACGGTATGTGCATTGCTTGCACACTGAAAATCCGATTTTCGCTGAGATACTTTCGGATATTGGATTTATCCCAGGATCGTGTCAAGGGTCAATTTCAGGTTGAGGAGGAGAATAGCAGATTAGATTTCGCTACCAAACAGAATGCATTCTCTTCTGATAGATTCATAACTACCACTAGAGTCTGTACTGTTTGTTCAAATCGAGTATGCTAATTCTCTAAACTTCCTGATATTACTACGAAGTAATAGGAATACTTACCCTTTGAAGAAAATGGATCTTTCGATGTTCATCAAGGTCCTACGGCTGCTCATTGTCACAGGTTCACCCGAACAGTTCCAGGATGCAGTGAAATGAAGAATAATGCAGAGAATTCCCCAGCGATCGTCAGGGGATATCAACTAGTAATCGCAGAAGTTTGGACTCCAACGGATATTAGTGTTTCTCAAAAAGTACTGAATGGGGAACCTAAAGTAAAATTGAATCTAATCTATCCAAATTGACTGAAAGAAGAAGTTATGTTATGGTTTTTAAATAAACCGAAGAACTTACGGAAACAGATTTTGAAGACGAGGCGTTACTAATCAAAAAAAGGAAAATTATTATACGTTTGACAAACATATTGGTAGGAAAATTAAAACTCACGGTTCCTCAAAAGGAATTAGGATATTGTGACAAACTAGTTGGACACCTATGGAAGTTCAAATAATTCATTTTTGCACCCAGTTGTTCATTCCTTTCGAAAGGGAATTGGAGAGATAAGAATAAATTCCCAACCTTTGTTAATGGACAGAACAAATTTATTAACCAAAATGAAACCAATGTGGAAAATACTTTCTATCATCCAATGAAGAATGGACTCCGTACGAACTCTGTGGATACCTTCGAAAAACTTAAGTTTATCTATCAAGATCCTCGACCTTTTCGATCTAGACAATAAGACTCAGATGAAGACGAACTCTGCTGGTGTTTCATCTAATTGGGGTACCAATACTTCAGCCAGATTACTTTAGAAGTTCTGTAGCAGTGAATAAGTATCAGTGTAACAGTGTCCATGATCACTCTTTCACACATCATAAGGATCCATGAGGAAGCAGAAGGAGCAGAAAAAGTAAGAATTATTAAACGAGTAATAAATTTTTTTCTAATATATACCTACTTGAATTATTCATGGTAAATTTAAGTAAATTTACAAACCTTTTATTGATGAAAAACAAAACTTTTGTTAATGGGAACGGTGGTCTAGTAACAATCTAGTGACTTTAGACCGATCTCTCCTCCATTTTGTTTTTTCTACTCTTTCTAACAGCTGTTAATTAAAGAGAGACAAAGAAAGAAAATGGAGGAATATGTCGGTCTCCCACCAGATGGCCTATTGCAGTTTAGCCGTTCCCAAATGGCAAACTTAAATCTTCTATTAATGGTAATTTAAAATCTTATTGAACCTTCTATTAATGGCAAATTTTAGTTTTCTACTAATGGCAAATAACCCTTATATTAATGGTAAATATAAACCATAAATTAATGGTAAGAAACCTTATATTAATGACAAATTTAAACCTTACATTAATGGCAAACTTAAACCTTCAATTTAAACCTACTAGTGGTAAATAATTAACTAACATCAGTATGATAAATAAATAACATAAATATGAAAATACATAAATGATAAAATTAATATAATAACAAGTCTACATGAAAATGCATTTGGTCGTGATGGCACTGTATTTAGAGAATGCTATACGAAATCAGAGAATATTTAAGTATTTGTAATTTGGATGAACTTGTTTTTCTAGTAAGTGCACTGATGCCACAGGAAAAAGTTTTGTGTTGCTGTCACACCTCAGTGGTAGTAAAGCTGCGCTCTCTTGCCTTAAGTGTTGTTGTAATCAGTTTTCAGAAGCGTAGACGCATCACAAGGGTTAGTAACGTTCCCGAAGGGACAGTACTCTGCCTTATTGATAGTTTGGAATTTCTGGAGGAAGATTTCAATCTCATCAGATCGACAGCATAATACTGCTGTTATCTTGGTGCATACGCATCATAATGAAAAATTGTTTCAAAAATGGGAGAGCAGCTACACTCTGTTTAATATTTCATAAAGAAATATAGGTAGAGTAGCAACACTTAACTTTTTTCGGAGTATAGCAGATGATAAGTAACTACTTGATGTCTTCTTGATGTAGACAGCAGAATCAGTTGTCAGCTTTTGAAGAATCCAAAGAGGATTCTTTTGGCTTACAAAGATGCTTCTTTACAAGAACTAGGAGTACACTGAGAGAATCAAGAGACTTCGGATTCCTCAAAAAAAAAATTAACTGTGGTTCTTAGGTGAACCCACAGTTTAGGAACTCTGAATTCTCTTGAGGGATGTGGTTCTTTTAGCGGTGCGGTGGCACAAACAGCTTACAGTTCTGGTTGTCGTACTTGGGTTTTGGACTTCGCCAAATAAAAGACATCTGCAGCCACACCGGTTAAAATTACTTGACCGACACAGATGTGAACACAAGTACTGAAATCAAGTCAGAACAATTTGACAACCAGGTAGTTTTGGCTTGACTGCCTCAAGTAGTATCAATCGCTTGGTCGGTATCAGTCGGTTTTGCCTGAGAAAACTATAGACGCAACTGGAGAGCCAAGTCAAGCCTTGCTCTCCGGTTATAACTACTTGACTTCATAAGATTAGCATGGCAACTAAAAAGAAAGCAGTTACAACTTTTTTTCTTCCCGTGCAGGGAGAGTAAAAACCGTATAGGTGGCTATTAGTAGCAACCTATGCTTTTAACACAACACCTAATGCTTTGAACAAACTGACTGTCATGTGTCATGATAACGATCTCTACTGAGAATGGAAGTTTAAAACCAAACACTTTTCTAGAAATAATAAACAATAATTAATAATAAATAATAAACCACCAAATGTATTTAAATATCTACTTAGAAGTACATTAAAAATTCAATGTCTTGTAACATTTCAGTTTCGAACGATTCGATAATAATGGAAATACAAAAATCTTCCTGTGCGGCTGATCATGAAGCTACACCAGTTTTACAAAATGAACCGCAAGGAAATGAAGAAGTAATAAGCGAACAATTTAGAAAACGAAAATTTACAGATGAAACAGATGATCATCAGGATCATCAGAACAAGAGAAGCTGTACGTATTAGAGAATTACTCTCTCCTGTTAATACATTAAATCATCTATTACTATTCCATCTTCCATTAAATACTAGATTTCAAATCCTACTAAATATGTATTTTTGCATTAGGTACACGGACATCAGCAGCAAGTACCTCTGACAAAAATAATACATCTACGAATCACTTGACAAGAAAACGAAAAAAATCTAAAAAACCAGATGCGGAAAGTGGTTTCAATGAATTCAAACAGTTGTACCCTTGTAAATTTATGACCCTTTTGTATCAACTAGAATTATCCATTTTATGCTCACATAGAAAAAATACTGTAACAGATTCCCAAAATTCGGGAATATTCCGAAATTCCAAAGTCGGTCAATTTAATAATATTGTTCTGCAATACGAAGGTGAATACTTTTGCATTAGAGTTGATTACTTTGATACTAGAGGGTACGATTTAAAATCATTATTAACCTCCGGAGAGCATTCTCTTTCCTGTTATTTAAAGGAATTTGCGTTAGAATTAATGTTCTACCTAGAAAACGTAGCAGATATGCCGAAATATTTAATTTTATACACAAATTCGATTTTGGGAGTAACGGATGATGTGAAATTGAAACTAACTGATTCGTATGTTCAACTGAAAACTGTTAATTCTGATACGAACAGTGATTTATTTAGGTTACTCGAAAGTAATTCGGGGAAATTTTATCAATTTGCGGATGATGATGAAACTAGGGAAACGTTATCGAATTTAGTGGTATTTCCAAATGGTGTTAAAAATCAAATAAGCGCGCAAGATTTTTGTGAGGGGGAAATAAGGGAACAATTTTTCGATAGGTTAATTTTGGCTGTTAATCAACCGTCGATTGAGGAATTAGTCAGTAAAACTCGAAAGGAAGTGAGAGATGTAAACTACTGGATGATTAGAGAAGAGGTGATGAGGCAATTAATCGAGGATCAGGAAAATGATACGAACCAAAGCGGAAATCCAATGAATATGATGTACGGTTTTAATTTATTTGTCTCTTGTGTTTATGAAATGTTCCTCCATGGCAATATTTCTGGTATTAAATTCGACGAGAGATGTAGTACAAACAATGTTGCGATGAAAATCGAAAACAGTTTTCTTTACTTCAAACCAGTCGAAATTGACGAACGAAATCAGAAACAAACGAAATTCTTGGACATTAATGATCTCTTTTCTTTCTACAGTCAACAAATGAATAAACATCTCGATTACTTTGTAATCTTTACAAATGCTACTCTTAGTCAGGTGATACAGTCAAACGAAACGATTACCAATTTAGAATTCTGCCCACTGAATATTTCCAAAAAAAACTACTCCATGTTTCGTCATTCTTTTATCGATAAGAATAATATTTTTCAATTTTCGACAGAAACTCGAAAGAGAATTTTCGGTTTACTGACAATTCCATCCGAATGTTCATCACAAAGAGTTGGTAAATTCCGACCACCAACAAGGAAAGTCAAGTCATCATTTCTCCATAAAATTATATTCGCCGTAGGACAAAATAGTTCTTTGGAAATGAACAAATTTTTGGAGGAAGAGATCAAGAAGACTCCTTTTTCGCGCTACAATTTTGAGGATTATCAGAAAATTACAATACGCTATTTAAAGTCTCATGAAACTGGTGCTTTGACCAAAGAATTAGTGAACACACTTCTTTTGGATGATTCTAATAATTTTGATCAAAAACAAAAGTCCATTGAGAGGGAAATTGAATTTGCGAGACAAGTCACCTATTCACAAGATGTTCCGAAATTTACCAAATTTGTTGAATTCCTCACCGAGGAGAAGGGAAAAGTTTGTTTGGACACTTTGAGAAAAAATGGAATCGACATCTTTGATATAGCAAATATTCTCGAGAAATTACCTATTCAAAATGCCGAAAATTATTTCCTTAAATTCTACGGATTATTCTTCGACTTTAAAGGAAGGAAGACGAAATATTTAGAAAATTTCGAGTCACAAGGGTTTAGTGTTAAAGACATGAGGAGAATTCTCTCTGGAACTGGAGACAAGAGTGGAAATTTACTTTACGACTTATACAATCTTTGGTTTGACGATTTGGGAAATCCAACAAATTACGTAAGAGTATTAAGAGGAGAAGGTATTAATTTATCACAAATTTCGATTCTTCTAACCGATACTAAATTCTCATGTGTGAAAAAATTTCTTTCTCTTTTTACAAACTGGTTTCTAAAAAAAGGAGGTAAAACAAAGAGTGTAGTGACTTTGGAAAATCATGGAATTACATTGCCTATGGTTTGTGATGTTTTACACAAATCTGGAGGATTGTACGCACAATTGTACAGCTTTTGGTTTAATGAAAAGCAAGAAAAAAAAGATTTTTTGCTAAATTTGGAACAAGTTGGAATTGATTTGAAGAAAATTTGCAGTGTTATTAAGGGAGCAGAGAAAAATGTTGTGGGGTCTTTTCATAAATTGTACAATTTATGGTTTACCAATAAAGGAAAGAAGTCATTTTATCTGAAAACATTAGAACGCGAGAATGTGAGTTTATCAACTATTTTTGATATTTTGACCGCAACTGGCAATGACGTGAGCGAAGTTTTTAAAAATCTTTTCTATTCTTGGTTTCATAATAATGGAGAGAAAACCAAGTTGTTAAAAAATCTTGAAGCCAAAGGAAGACCCCTTTCGGCAATATCTAAACTTTTGATCGGCGAAGGTTATATGGCCGCACAAAAATTTAGAGAACTTTCTCATTCTTTAAACAACGTTGAATCATCACCAGATCGACTAATTAGAATAAAAACGGAAATTACTCCCGATTATCAATTGTCTGAAAATCGGGAAGAAAACCCGTTAATTAGAAAGATTAAAGTAGAGGAGAATGAAAACACAAGTGATATAGAAATTAAGAAAGAAATTTAAATTCTGTACTTAATAATACTAAGTAATTTCGAGTTACTTCGATATTTAACTACTTTTTTTACGCTATATTTACTTTTCTATTTTTCCAGACTTGATAAACATAGCGAAAAATGAATTTTAAACTTTGTTTCTTTCTTTCAATGAAGAATATTTTTGTATTTCTACACGAGATGCTGTGATACGAATTAATAGTTTAGAAAAATATTTCTAAGTCGTAATTAAGAAGTAAATTTAAATATAAGATTGATTTACAGTACAAATAATTGTTTAGAAGAGAAATTAGACTTCTAAGACTGAAGTAATGTATTAAATATAATTAAAAATTAGTTTTTTAAACCAAAGTGTTTATAAATAAAGAGTTTTGTATTGTATAATTTTGTTTTACTGGAGAATTCCAAAATTTGTCTTTTCATTTTCAAAGAACATATAGACCTTCGTCTGCTTTGAATAAATTCTTGTTTATTCAAATAAAATATCACTAGGAATAGTAAATTCCAAAATTTGTCTTTTCATTTTCAAAGAACATATAGACCTTCGTCTCCTTTGAATAAATTCTTGTTTATTCAAATAAAATATCACTAGGAATAGTGAATTTAAAAATTTGTCTTTTCATTTTCAAAAAACCTTTAGACCTTCGTCTTCTTTGAAATAAATTTTTATTTATTCAAATAAATTCCAAATTGGCACTGAAACTTAACTCGGGGAAAAAAATTAACTTCTCAACTGCCACGGTGTCAAATTAAAGCTTTACTGTTCCTAACCAACAAAAATAAAATGTTAGATGTTAAATTGAAAACACGAATTTCCTCCGGACCTGGATTCGTTTGAAATAGTGTTAACAATCTTAATTACAAATTTACGTCAACAATTTTACAATAAAAGGTTTACAATGTTTGCTAAGCTAAAGAATAAAATCGGCGAACGAAATACAAACACTTAACCTTCGACAGTTGCTTTCTTTCCGAACTTACCAAATGCGCATGCGTCGTTTCCATGAAAACGCCAGGACCGTATCCTCAACACACCGGACCAGATTCTCCATCTAAATAACTGAAAAATAAAAAACAAACATAAATACGTTAAGATCAAGCATTTTTACGAAGAAATTCAAGCAGAATATTTCTAATCAAAAACTAATGAGAAAATAAATTTTTAAAAAATTTTCTTTAAAAAAATACGATATCTATTAAAAATCTTGTAACTTTTCAGTTCGCAACATTGGAACTAAATCAATTGGCCAATAATGGAAAGATATAACCCCTATTCATACAATTACGATTCTTCGGATCAATTATTAAGAAACAATGCATACGACAACAGACAATTAACAAGCGAATTGAATATCGATAAACGAAAATTAGAGGAACAAATATTTAACGAGAATAAAAAAAGACGTACGTATATCAGAGCCTCAACATATTTCTATTTTCTCACTATATTAGAAAATTCTAATCTATTAGTTTCTCTACATTATAAATAAATGTGGAATGATAATGTGGAATAATAATAATAATGTGGAATATTTCTGTATTAGGTGAAAATACATGGACAGCATCTGCAAGTACCTCAAAAGAATATAACGAGGATGTGAATTATTTGGAGAACGATAGACAACATTTGTCATCAAACACTTGCGATAAATTGTCTACAAAACAAATCAAAACAAATGAATTTGATAAAATCGAATATGTTCCACATCGTCTATTGAGTCTCGCATATCAAATTGAATTGTCCGCACTATGTTTACTCCGTGCGCACATGTTTCGAAATCCCCCAAAATCCGCTATATTCAAAACAACAAAAATTGGTCAATTCAATAATATCATACAATGCTTTAATGGAGATTACTATTGTATTAGAGTACAACATGTTGATACGTACTACGCTAAAAAGTGTATAAATCACAAAGCGTTGTTTTCCGCGAAAGATGCATCGCTAAGTAATTATTTAAGCGAATTTGCCGTCGAATTACTTTGTTACCTCGAAAAACCGACAGACGCGCCTAAATATTTGATTTTCTACACCAATTGCGCCTTGGATTTAACACACGATGGAAATAAGCTGAAATTACAAGATGTCGATAATCCGGAAGAAGGTATACAACTCGAGCATCTGACTTCCGAAACAGATCCCGATTTGATCAGACTATTCAAAACTGGCTTCGACAATGATTGCGAATTTTATCGATTTGGAAAGAATGGGAAAAACTTGTCAACACTGGTGAAATTTTCCAATGAAGTTAAAAATAGAATTGGAATGAATAGATTACACGAGGAGGGAATGAAGAGGAAATTCTTCGATAGAGTAGTCTTTGCTGTGAATCAACCAACAGTCGAGGAATTGGTACACGTCGTAAGGTCCGAATGCAGAAGGAGCAATGAAAACTACAGTGAATTTAGAAGAGAAATTCTCGAGCAATTGGTAATCGAAGAGGAATACGAGGATAAGGAAAAGAAACATGCGGGTAGTTTGCTGAACACGATTTACAGTTTTGATGTTTTTAATTGTTGCCTCCATGAAATGTTCATGTGGGATAATATCGTTGAGCTACGATTCAACGAGAGATTCAATGCAAACAGTATCGTGATGAATTGCAGAAATAGTTCTCTTTGTCTAATACCCCTTGAGGTGAATTTCGAAAAATTCGATCGTTGCGAATTCGAGAAACAAATCAAATTTTTTCATATCAAGAAGCACTTGAAATTCTTTATTCGTAGTTTCGATCCTGGTCTGGATTATTTTGTAATTTTTACAAATGCAAGTATGGAGGTGGTAAGGGACTTGATTTTAGGGGAGGAGTCAACTAGACTAGAATTCTCCAGGCTGGATGTTAGTCAAGAAAGGTATTCTATGTTTCAACACTCCTTCTTTGATAGGAATAATATCTATCAATTCTCTCCGGTCGAGACTGAAAAGCTCCTGGACTTCCTGACCCTGTCGGATAGTTTCGATTATCATAAATTTTCCCCACTGAATCCGATCGATGTGAAAAGGATCTTTATCGATCGGGTTGTTTTCGCTGTAAGGCAGTACAGTTCAGATGAAATGTTCAAAGGTCTAGAGGAAATTGTCGATATGGATTCTCGTGTGCCGTATGATTTAAAAGGTTTGCAGAAAATTGCGCTACGCTATCTTAAGTCGTACGATTATGGTCCTATGACAAAAGGAGTAATGGCGCAAGTTGCGGATGATTTGAAAAATCCACCTGTACAGAATCGTTACTTTTGCGAAGAGATTAAATTCGCCGAAAGTGCGATGGAACTGTTGGATGTGCCCGAGTTTCCCGAATTTGTTACATTTTTGACCAGGGGGGAAGGAACGGTTTATTTGGATACACTCAAAAGGAATGGAATTGACATCTTTCGGATGGCGAGCATGATTCGGGGATCACAGACAAAGGCTAAAAATGTGTTTCTAGAGTTGTATAATTTATGGTTTGATCAGGAGGGGAATAAGAAGAGGTTTTTGAAACTTTTCGAAGGGCAGGGATTTGGTGTTGAGAACATGAGCGATATGTTAAGGAACGCGGGGAATACGTGTAGATTCACTCTTGTTAATTTTTTCAATCTCCTGTTCGACGATTACGGTTGTCCATCGATTTATTTACGATCCCTTCAAATGGAGGGTGTGAACTTATCCCAAATTTCGTCAATCCTAAGCGGTAGTAAAGAAAAGAGTGTGAAGAAGTTTAAAGACCTCTATAAATTCTGGTTTGAACCCGATGGACAAAAGACTGAAAGTTTGAGAAACCTGGAGAAATATGGTATCAATTTGACAATTATTTGTAGTGTTATATCGAAGCCGCATAATTTTCCGAATTTGTACAATCTCTGGTTTCATAAGAGTGGGAAAATGACAATGTTTTTACAAACATTGTGTGATGCGGGACTGAGTTTGACCCAAATTTGCAGTGTTATCAAGGGACCCGAGGGCGATCCTATGGTTGCATTTCGATTGTTGTACGATTTATGGTTCGACAAGCGGGGAAGGAAGACACTTTATTCGCAGACATTGGAGAAGGAGAGAATTAGTCTGACGGTTGTTTTGGACATTCTGGTCGAGACCGGTTGTCAGGTTAGAAAGGTTTTCAAAAAGCTCTTCGATCGATGGTTTAGTGCGAGTGGTGCCAAAACACCAGTCTTAAGGAACCTGGAGGCGAAAGGAAAGACCCTCGCCGGGATTTGTAGACTTTTGTCCGGAGCCGGATGTCTAGCGGTGGAGAAATTTAGAGCCCTTTCCTCTTCTCTTGAGAGTGTCGATTCGCCAATTGATCGGCTTCTGACGAACCTGGCCTGTAAGGAGGAGGTGAAGACCGAACTTGTTGCGGAGTATCCCAAATATCGAGAATTTCAGGAGCATCAGGATTATCAAGAGTGTCAAGATTTTCAAGAGCATCAGGATTATCAGGATTATCAAGAGTGTCAAAATTATCAAGAGTATCGGGATTATCAACAATATCAAGAATCGTCATCAAGTGAAGTAATGAGGGGAAATAGGAAAGACTTCTATCAAACATACCACGATCATCAAAAAGCTTCTTCTAGTAATGTTAGGCCATCAATAAATGAAGTGATGGGAGGACATCAAAAAGCCTCTTCTAGTAATATTAGGACATCAATAAATGAAGTGATGGGAGGATATCAAGAAGCGTCGTCAAGTAACATTAGGACACCAATAGACGAAGTAATCAGAAAAGACTTCTTCGAGGCAATACCAGACCAATCGACTTCCAGTTCAGTTTACAATCCCGATTACGAACCGAATGACTACGAAGACTATGCAGACTTTGAAGAAACAAACCCCATTCGCGATGATGATGGCGAAGAAGAGGAATCAGACATTGAAGAGGGCTACATGTTTAAAAACAAATCCCACTCAAAATCACAATTAAAACAAAAGATTTATTCCTTCTTTGAACTATTCCCCACATGGAAGAAGGCGTCCCGTTACCGTCCTCAATGGAAACGTGTCATCAAGGAAGTACTACCAATCATCAATAACCCCCAGGCTCTAAAAAGTTTCCTACAATCAAAGTTGCAGAAAAAGAAAATCGATCAAACCGAATACGACGACCTATGCACCCTAAGTTCCCACGGACCTTTTAATGCCGGAAAGTTACAACATCTCCTTATCGGACACAAAAAATCAGGTAAAACTAACCTTACCAAAAAGGATAGATTCGTGAGCATTATTTTCCCAAACGAAAAAAGTGTCCAATTTAACGAACTTTTGGATTTTCTAGACCGACCCCAAGGAAAGTGGTACTTGAAAACAATGTTGGGACACAAAATTTTTCCTCAACATTTAGCGAAAATGTTGGTAGGTTGTAAGAATGTAAACGAAGTTGTTGGTCAAATGAAAGAACTACACGAACTATGGTTCGATAAAAATGGTGAACGAAATTTCTGCCTAAAGACACTGAGTTATGAAAAAAGGAACATACGATATTTATTTGTCATTCTAGGCAATTCGGGAAATAATGCCGCGGAGGCTTTTAAAAATTTATACAATCTATGGTTTGATTCAAAAGGAGAAGAAACACGGTATTTGGCAACTTTCAAGGAAAATGGAGTCACACCCATAGACATGTATATGACCTTTGAAGATTCAGGTTCGACTTCTGCGGAAAGTATCCAAAGTTTCTACAATCAATGTTTTGATTCAAACGGAAGGAAAACGAAATATTTGACGAAATTAGAAGCAGAGGGAATTTCTCTACAACTTACGATGACGATTCTAAAAGCTTGTGGGGCTAAAACGAGTCAAGTGTTTCAAGAATTTTACCATCTTCTCTTTGACCTAAGGGGCGATAAAACCCCACGTCTACAACACTTTGAAAAAAATGGAATCACTTCGCGAATGATTGCAAAATGTCTGATCAGAAAAGGTGAAAAGGTCTCCGAATATTTCGAACATCTTCACAATTTCGTCTTCGATGAAAATTCGAAGCGATACTACATGAGAAATTTAGAAGAGGAATTAAGTATCGAAGAAATCTTCGGTATCATCTCAGGTTACGAGACGGATGTGAACGTTTTTAAGGAACTCTGTGATCTTTGGTTCGATAAACGGGGAAGTAAATCAAATTATCTTCGTGCGTTGGAAGCAAACGGAGTTAATTTAAAATGTTTAGCTGGTGTTTTACGTGGAACGGGATCTACCTCCTATGTTGTATTTAACAATATATTCTCTTTCCTGTTCGATAAACAATTCAATAAATCGAAACAAATGTTCCACCTGGAGGAAATTATTGATTTGAGAGATTTCTTTGAAATTGTTAGCGGTGCAAATAAACAGGTCTTCGAAGTAGTTAAGAGTCTCTATCAACTTTGGTTCGATTTTCAAGGGCGAAAGAGTGCAAATATTTTATTTTTGGAGAAAAATAATATAAGTTTGCAGGAACTTACTCCAAGATTGGGAGGTTCAGGAAAAAATGTTGTGCAAAAGTTTAAGAAAATTTTAAATTTAGCGATTAGGAGAAATTTTCGAAAACATGATTTATTGCAACACTTTGATAAAAAATGGGATGATGATGAACTCGGGTACTTTTGAGTTTTGAGAATACTTTCGCAAATGCTACTATTGAGAATACTAAAAGAATAGTTTCAGTTTGTTACGATTTAAAGTTATGATTACAAGGTCCGGATGAAAAATTCTTTTTTTAAGTGAAGATTATTATTTAGAAATATGAAACTTTAAAAGAATCAAGAAGTTGTATTTAAAGAAATAATCACTACGATTTCAATTTATTTCTTTAATGTAATGTATTTATAAATAAACAGATTTATAGAAAAATATTCTAGGGCGATTTTTCTTATTGTATCAATTATCCTTAGGACTTAAGTTTAAAAAGTCTATTCGGATACTTTTTTTTAAATTTCAGTCACTAAAAGCCACTATTTCTGTTGTTTTTAAAATTTCCACTACATTAACTTCGTTAATAATAGAAATCAACAAACTATTCTCAAAAATTACAATCAAATTCTTTACGATTCAATTATTTTCAAAAAAAAAAATTCGAAATTCAATTATTTTCAATATCTAGTATTTTCATAAAACGCAAAAGAATTCAATTATAAAAAAAATTGGTAAAATTCATCCAAAATTCAATTATTTTCATAAATAATAAAACTCATGGAAGAATTTCAATTATTTCCAATACTATTTTAAATTAATTAATCGAAAAATTCAATTATTTTTACAAATAAAGTTTTCCTGAAGAATTAAATTTTTAAGAATTAAATTTTCATAATTATTTATTAAATTACGAAAAAATTAATTATTTAAAACAACGATTATAAAATTCTTATGAAAAATTCAATAATTTTCAAAAATAACAAAATTTTTCATCGAAATTCAATTCTTTTTAAAAATGTTAATAAAATTTGTCGCAATAATTCAATTATTTTCATAAATAATAAAATTCTTCTCAGAAATTCAATTATTTTTGAAAATTTTAATAAAATTCATTGCAGGATTTCAATTATTTTTAATACAATTTTACAGGAATTGCTAAAAAAATATCATTATTCTTAAAAATTTAGTTTCAATTTCTCGGAAAATTCAATTATTTAAAAAAATGATTTTTTGAAATTCTTTGGAAGAATTCAATTATGACGATAATTAACGAAATTTTTCCCTGAAAATTCAATTATTTTGATGTATTTTAATAAAATTCTTTGCAAAATTCAATTATTTGCATAAATAATAATAATGTTCATCACAAGAAATTCAATTATTTTTAAAAGTAATAAATTTCTTCTTGGAAATTCAATTATTTTAAAAAATTCTAATATAATCGTTCGCAAGAATTCAATTATTTTCATAAATAACAAAAAAAGAAGAATTTCAATTATTTTGAATACTAACTATTTTAAATCAATTAAACGAAAAATTCAATTATTTTCACAAATAAAGTTTTCCACAAGAATTCAATTATTTAAAATAAAATTTTTATAATTATTATTATATTTCGAAAAAATTAATTATTTAAAACAATGTTTATAAAATTTTTATGATGAATTCAATTATTTTGAAAAAAAAAACAAAATTTTTCACTGAAATTCAATTATTTTTAAACATTTTAATAAAATTTTTCAAAATAATTCAATTACCTTCATAAATAATAAAATTCTTCTCAGGAATTCAATTAATTTTGAAAATTTTAATAAAATTCATTGCAGGATTTCAATTATTTTTAATACAATATTTTACATGAATTGCCAAAAAAATGTAATTATTCTTAAAAATTTAATTTCAATACCTCGAAAAAATCAATTATTTAAAAAAAATGTTTTTTTTTAATTCTTCTAAAGAATTCAATTATTTCCAAAATATTACAATTTTTCACAAGATTTCAATTCTTTTCAAATAATTTAATAAAATTGTTCGAAAGAAATCAATTGTTTTAAATACAATTTTATTTAAATTTTTTTGAAATAATTCAATTATTTTTAATTAGATTTTAATAAAATTCTTCCGAAGAATTCAATTATTTACATAAATAATTCTTTGAATGAATTCAAATTATTAAAGATAAATAACAAAATTATTCCCGAAAAACCAATTATTTTGAGGCATTTTAATAAATTACTTCTTGGAAATTCAATTATTTTAAAAAATGGTAATAAAATCGTTCTCAAGAATTCAATTATTTTTATAAAAAATAAAATGCTTTCTAGGAATTCAATTATTTTCAAAAATTTTAATAGGATTTTTTTGTAAAATTTAATTATTTTCAACAATTTTTCGCAATTCAATAATTTTCAATATTTTTACTATTTTCAGATAATTTCCAAACAGAATTCAATTATTTAAGAATTTTTTTTTGTAAAAATCTTCGTTTTAAGAATTCAATTTTTTTCATGAATAATAAAAATTTCTCAAAATTTCAATTATATGTAAATTAGAATTTGCATAAAAATAAGTCGAAAGAAATGAATAATTTAAAAAGTTTTATAAAATACTTCGCAAGAATTAAATTATTTTTATTATAGTTGCAGAACCTTCAAATTAGAGATAATTTTTATTTTTTAATAATTTAAAAAATTTTATAAAATACTTCGCAAGAATTAAATTATTTTTATTAAAGTTGCAGAACCTTCAAATTAGAGATAATTTTTATTTTTTAATAATTTAAAAAATTTTATAAAATACTTCGCAAGAATTAAATTATTTTTATTAAAGTTGCAGAACCTTCAAATTAGAGATTATTTTAAAAATTGTATCCATATGTTAATGTAACAAAATAAAATGTTGAAGAAAGGTTCAAATATATTTTTTTTTATTATTATTTCAGTTTGGTATTTACACGAATTGAACCGATTCTATTAAAAAAAAAAAAATGGAAAGGCAACCATATTCCTACAGAGGCAGTTATGACACATCTGATCAATTATTAGTAAGAAACAGAATGTACAGAAATTCAGAAGCAATAATGAAGGAATCTATGGCCAACAAACGGAAACCAATGGAGGAACCAGTTTCTTACCAGAATAAAAAAAGATGTAAGTATTAAATATTTTATTGTTCTTATCGTTCTTATATATAATACGCATATTGCCAGTATTCCGCAGTGTCAGACAGTAATCGACTCTTACGACAGTATTACTTCATTTCTAAAGTAGCTTTCTTCACTTCGAACACTTATTACAAATTAATAAAATATTATCACAGAGGCATTTCTACAAAACTTTTATTTACATTAAATGTGCGTCACGCTCCGAAGAAAGGTACTTAAGAAGGTTAAGAAGCAACAAAATTGAGGTTATGTTTTTAATTTTTTGAGTAGAAATGAAAGAGAATCAAATATTAATCTTCAAGTCTTTATAATATTCAAAATATTCAATGAAAATTGGTTTCAAATTCAAATAATTAAAAACATAACCTCAAATTTGTTGCTTCTTAGGTACCTTTCTTGGAAGCGCGTCACAAATCATTTCTTAATATTTAAAAAAAAAATCTTAATATTTGATACTTGATAAGTTAAATTAGTGAACAATTTATATCCGGATTTAAAAATTCACCATCTCCGACCAATTCCATATCGACTTTACCCGCGTACTTAGACAAGAGTTTAAAATCCCCTTTGCCCAAGTTATCCCATAGGCTAATCGTCCAAGTAGCGAAGGGGCTTAGAACATAGTCCAACTTTCCATAATCACTAAACCGTTTTCTCCTTGACATGAAGAACTTAATACCAAAATTATAAACCCCAGACTGAAATAATTGCACTCTTTTATTACATCTATAATACGAGTCCCCATTGTGAATCAGTTTGACAGAAAATGAGGACAAATCGTTCCTCAATTCTTCATTTAAAGTTGCATTCGACGAGGTGAACAAAATATTAATATCTCGAAATTTAACCGCATTCAAATTCCGAAAATGATTTATGTTTGCAAATAGACTCACAGTTTTGCCCTGGAGAATTTCTTGTATATCGACGGAATGTCTGCTGCTATTCCAAGTGTAGAATGGTGGTAGGGGTCCGTCACCCCCAAACTTTGCCATTGTTGTCGAAAATTGTGCTTCCGCTTTCCTTTTGTTTAAATATGGCAGAAGGTACTTCAATTTTTCAACTATGATATTCGCCCTCTCCGGTGGATCAACTGTTGGTGAAGTTTCCCGTTCGGTGATATCGGGATATTCCTTAACGAACGGAAACGTGTATTGTTTGAATGCCGTCGTCCATTTCTTGTATTCGTCAATAATATCGTTGGCGTAGTGAATGTGCATCAAGTTTGTAACCCTATTTTTAAGCTCCTCGTCTTGAATATTGGTACCTATTTCTTGGTACGGAACTTTTGCTATATTCGCCAAAAATTGTGCACCTGTGATTTTATGATTCATTTCTCTGATGAGTGTATGAAGACGAATCGTTGCATCGATGGCTTTTTGAATTTTCCCCACGGCATTAGAATCAATGTTGAATGTTTCGGTCCACTGTTCCAATTGCTTGGAAATATCCGATAGATAGTCGTCCATATGCCATTTTTCGAATTCAAGGTATGTTAGTGATGAATTGTAAAATTGATTTGTTTTGGTAGTTATCTGTTTGTTCATTTGTTCAATAGCTGGCATTAGATCTTCATAGACCATTGTTTTGTAATCTTCTAGTTTCTTTATGTCTTCTAGATTTTCATTAACGTTGTTATCAATTTCATCAGTTGCGGAATTATGGTTGGAAAGGTTGTCCATTCCCGTAGCTACCGCATCGGAACCAATAGTTGCTAAATTTTTCGGTGTTCTTTCAGGAATTTTCTTTGAGATTTTTAACTTTCGTAACTTTTGATAATTACTTCTCATCGAACTGATAGAAGACACATATTCCGAATTTAACAAACATGAGTAGTCATTGGAATCCAAAAATACCGTATCGACTACAGTTGAACCAGCAGACAATGCAGAGCCTACTATCGCAAAACCCGGATTTATAAACGCTAGGGCTAGAAAAACAAATTGAAGAATTCCAAAGTATATCTTTAGACCCAATTTTATTCTCATTTTTGTCTTCATATCTTTTAATTTTTCATTTTCGAGTTTCTTCATCTTTATCATTTGATCGATTTCCTCGACTAATTGTTGAATCGAAGTGTTTAGCGTACCGATTGTATTTGTCAAATAAGTTTCAAGTTCCCCTGAAAGTAATTCATTTGCATTCTTAATTTCTTCTTCAAACTCAGCAGTGTATCGTTGAGTGATAGTTTTCATGTCAACTAAAATTTCCACATCCCTCAATTTCTTACTATCCAGAATACAAGCCTCTAAATATGGTTCAATCAACAAAACGGAATTA